CAACATTCGACTAAAATATATCATTCAAAATGAAAACTTGTATAATGAAAATTAATGAAAATAGTGAAGGCAGTATCACAATTGTCAGCAAGCATTTGCACACACACAGTGGTCACTGTTTTTCTAAATTTGAGCATCTCAATTCATGTAATTTTCTCTGGTGTTAAGAACAAACACTTCACAATGTGTAACAAGAAGTAACAAGAATATTCCTGTTACATGGTATCCCTGAGTCTCAAAAGTAGCCGTCCCCTCAAGGAAACTCCTTCAAAAGTTACCATCTTTTTTTAACATTTACATCACAAACGTAACTGTCCTCTTTGTAGAACTTTTAAGAGCATTACAACAATTACACTTTTATTCCCCAGGGTGCGATTAGGTTGAGAAAAAACGACGTGCATTTTTTTTTCACAAAAGTGTCTCTTTAGAGGCATAATCAAATCGATATTACGTTATTATATAGCGATAATTGCTAAATTAATATTTTCAAACGTGAGCAAACTCATTTGATTTACGACAGTATTTTTTGTTACAACCGCTGATGAAGTTACAAATGTGTGAGAGAAATTTTTTGCGCATGTTATTCTCTCCTCTTTTTTTGTGCAAACTTTACAGCGCAATAAATTCACCACTTGGCCATCATCCTAGTACTCAAACGAGTCAGCATTTGATGTTTCCATCCATTTTTTTACTGTATTAACTTTGCTGGTAGCTACAACCTTTCGACGAAAATGGCAAGAAAGACAAAAGTGAAAAGAGAATAACCGAATATACTTTTGCTCTCTGGTTATTAACAGTAACATCCTTGATGTTTACTTACCACAAAAAACATCATATTTATGTCATATTACAAGCAATATGTAAAAGCAAAAAGTATGGCTGATCAAGGTTGCCAGTTTGGCTTAATATTTTGAGCCAAATTTGGCTTTCTTTTCTCACGTTAGGCTTATTTAAAATTAAAAGTCCCTTTCGTTTATTTTTCAAATTTGGCTTATTTAAGTTTTTTTTGTCTTCTTTTAAGAATTAAAATCAAAATGTTTCCTGATTTTACTGAAAATACTCAAAATAGCTATGATGCCAATTTCTAAAAACAGTATGTAACGGTTTACAAAACAACGCATATGCAAAAATTGACATTAATAATGTATTACACTTCTATTGTCATAAGCATATAAGCACCATTTATGTTGCTTACTCTTGACAGACTTCCCAGTCTCAAAGTGACAACGTCTTTGAATTTGATGACATTGTGTCAAAATGGATGTTAATGTCGTGCTGCGCACCCGTTTATAAAGTAAAGATCAGTAAAGATTAAGCTTGAAAACTTTTTTCAATATATGTGGTGGTAATCAATAAAGAAGTTTTTTGCATATCGTTAGAAAAAGTGATGTGCAATTGTTTTCATTTTAGCTAAAACAATGTGCAAATTAAATTGCACATTGCACACCGTTAATTCGCACACTGTTATTCCTTAAACAGTCATGTACATTTGTGTCAACTACCGCAACTTCTCCTCCAGAGAACAGAAAAATACTTCCTCAACAATAGTAGCTACTCCAAAATTACAGAAAACTGAATGATTACCACAAATCAAGATCTACATCATCATTTATTTGACAATGTTCAAATTCATTACAAGGAGCAGTCTTTTTTTTAAGTTATTTTGCATCATACCTAAAAATATACAAAAACTCATTGGCAATCCACTTTCAACAAATATAAATTTCCTATAAAACAACTTACTTTTTATCTTAATCTCCTTGCTTCTCTTTCAGATTCCAATAAAGTGAGAACATCTCCTTCTCTTACTGGACCCTTCACATTTCTAATGATTGAACGGTTTGAATCATCAATGAACTCCACACGAACCTAGAGAATCAATCTGATATCAACACAATTTAAAATGTCTCATGCATTTTGATAATAAAAATGTTTGAGTAATCCACAAATTGTTTGAGTAATCCACAAAGCCAAACCTGAGTAGCTTGACCTTGTGATCCAGTTCTACCCAAAACTTTGGTGACCTATGCAAAAATTAAACAAATTGATCAGGTAAAGACAGGGGAGTCTTGATCTTGAAAATGACTTCGATTGATTCATCAGCCAGACTGGAAAGTTTGTCACAATTTTTAGCAAATACTTCATGGTTTGCAATGTACACAATCAATTTCACAAATAAGTACTATTCTGGATTTTTCTGGCACAGCACAATGATCAGAAAAATTAACGTGAGTACAATGCAATACTTCATTTAGGTCTACAGATTGGGTCCACCAAACTAGACCCATGGCATATCACCACACGTGTATTTACAAATATTTAGTTATTTTATACAATTTTCAGACTGGAAAGTATTTCGATCACAGTTCTTAAACTCAATAAAACAATAAAACTTTGCCCTAATATTACAAAAAATAGCACATTGCTTACATAAAAGCACCTTCAAGAATGGCCAAATAACCACAACATTAAATACCAAATTTAAAATATCACAATACCACTGTACAGAGTGCGTACATAGGGACATTAATTGAAACCATAAGATTATTTTGAGAAATACAGACTATCGTGTTTTATTGAACAAACTAAAAGGTAATTTTTATTTCAACACAAAATTCTCTGGTATTAATGATACGGAGTTAAATGATACAAGCGAGAGAAGGCGTAACTGATAAAAGACGAGTAAGAAACAGAAAAACTGAAATACCTTCGCTAATTTCACTGGTTTGTCCATCTTTCAATATGGCTGAAATAAAAAAGAATGAACAGCACGTGGTTCAAAGTTAAATTATATAAAATTATGCAAGATCCTCCCCAGTCTTTTACGCAACAAAATATTGTCTGATGATGTCTTGAGAGTCAAGACGAAACGTTACACTTTTAAATAAATATTTCTTTTTATGCATTAAATGGCTCTTTTAAAAGCACTTTGCTGGGCTTTGATATTTATATTTAAACTTCGCTTTCCGCCCGGTATATCCCTGGTCAATTCTGAACAAACTTTTATTATAACCAATTTCCAAATTTTTTTAGGTAAAATTGAGTAATTTTTTTCAGCAATGATTGAGCTGGAAAGAAAAAAAGGGTACAATTACTACGCAACTGTAAATGTTAATACTAAGAAAGTATTTATACCGCCTGGAAGATGCTTGACGGCACAAAGCTGGATGTAGCATCAGATCTTGGTCTTAGAAACTTGAAGCTTGCATTTTTCCAGCTAATTTTATCGAGAAGAACTTATAAGTGGTAACGAGTGTACAGGGTGCATAAAAAACTGAACAGTTAGGAAAAAAACGATCAGCGCGCAAGATCTGAAAAACTGTAAATGGAATAAGTAGTTGGGCACCCAAAAGTTCATCTGATGATAAAACAAGAAACCTTCAGTTAAAACTTTAATGCAAAAATACAATCGTTATTAAAGTAACTTAAATAACATGGATTATGGTTTATTTCTCATTTTTCAAATTTCTTCTATTAGTACTATACTTTTGTCCACGCTCACTTAGGACTGCAAAATGCTGTCCTCATTACGAAGGTAACAATCTTGTTAATTACGGTTGTTGTTTATTTATTCCCAAAACGAATATTCATATATTCAGCTCAGTCCTGCTGATTTCTTTTGTTGGAGCGTTTAATTTCAAATGAAACTTGTGAAAAAATAAGCTTGCTTGGCTCCGTGGCGCTTCATGACAAACTCAAAATTTTAGATATGTAAGACCACAGTGAATGCTATCTAAAGGCGGTGAACGACTTGCTGGCTATTTAAGGAAAAATAGTTTTGAATAATATGATTTTTAACAACGGGCAACGTTGTTTATACGGTAGTAAACTATGACACAAAGGAGAAAAAGGACAATTTTTCTAGAATATTGAAAGTTTGAAAACCTTAATTAAGAGATTGCAAATGATTACACTGTCGAGTACTTATGACAAATTTTTGTTTATTGTAGAATCTTTTATAAAAAGTGTCATTCAAGTTGCACAATATGCTCTTCATGAGACAAGGAAACTAAATAACATATATATGTTTCATCATGTCTTTCTTTGTAACACTGCTTTATAAGCAATATACTCGCCAGCTGTTGGAAAAACACATTTGCTTTAAACAAATCCAATGGAATTGTTTATGAATTTTCATTTATAACAAGAAAAGTTTCAATTACTCTCGTGAAAAATATAAACACATCTTATGAGTTTAAACACAGCATGAAGACTCACATGTTTGTCTGTCATTCGCACACACTAAATATTTGGTAATGTTTCATCTTGTGATTGATTTTAGGAAAAACAGCTTTCCATGGTCAACTCAAGGTAGAAGATTTTCATGATTTAAACCAAAATGAACAATATCAATGGATTTATTTTTTTATTATTATGACAAATCGTATCTTACGCCTTATATCTTTCTGCATTGTTGAAACTTCATTTAACATTTGAACTTCACGTGTGAAAAATTAATTGCAATCACATAGGAATCACATGTTGTTGATCTTCATTTGTTTACAAATTAGATATATTTTTCATCACATTAAAATACTCATATTAATTCAATAGCACGATGATCACTTTTTGTCTATCATTTGGGCTTGCTTGCACTAAACAAAATTATTCTGGGTTTGCTGCCATATTTCATGTTTATCAAGTCTGTTTAATGTTTTTTTTTTCAAGTGTTTTATCCCTGAAATAGCCATAGATTTTTTTCAATGACATGCAACTGAAGGTGCTCCTACATACCTAAACATACAAATTTGTCAAATTACAAAGCTGAACAAGATATTTTCACTATCTAGGCCTTCTCATACAACATTTTAATTTCCCCCTAAAATATGTTTATGATCGATTTGCAAATTCTCATTGACTGACTGATTGATTTGATTGGTTGAGCTCGGACTTGTTTTGCACAAGCTAATTCAAACACAGCTCTAGACCAATCAGCACACGTGTTTAATTGTGTTTATTTCATGATATTATATGTTTGTCATAAGAATAAGCTGTAACACATTTGGTTTGCCAGTGTCGCTTAAATCTTACGTGATCAGTTCGTGCTTAACTACGATGTTATGGTAAACGCATTGTTGCAAGTGGTCAGAGCTTAACAAAAAGGATAGCAAAAAAGAAGCAAATTTTACTAATTCATTCTGTTTCATCTTTGTTTCAATTGCAGAGGACAAGTTAAACGAGAGGTAATTTTTAAACTGTTGCCTCAAAGTTCATAATCTTAGACAAAAGATTGTTTTAATTATCGTCCGGAGCAAACACTTGAGGCCGACAAAACGTAGCTACCGAGGTCTGATACTTCTTTATATTAATACGCGAAAGCCGCGAATTTAATAGCTGGTTTGTTATTTTTTTTATTAAGCTTTGGTTGACTGTGAAAAAGGTGTAAACTTTAGATCAAATTTTAATCTTGTTTTCTTTCTCGCGCCGTTTGCCTCGTCTCTCGAGTAAGTGAATGGTAATATCACATAAGTATGTCATCGCTATTGGTTATGACGATTTATCTGATCACTGTCTGCTAACAAAATGCTAGCACTCAACAAAATTATTCTGGGTTTGCTACCGTATTTCACGTTTATCAAGTCTGTTTAATGTTTTTTTTCAAGTGTTTTATCCCTCAAATAACCATAGATTTTTTTCAATGACATGCAACTTAAGGTGCTCCTACATACCTAAACATACAAATTTGTCAAGTTACAAAGCTGAATAAGATATTTTCACTATCTAGGGCTTCTCATACAATCATACAGTGTATATATGTTTTTAATTTTAGTTCGCATTGATGCATAATTGATGAAATTATAAGAAAATGGCATTTAAAAACCAAAATTTCAAAATAATTTGCAATTCGAAAAGCAAAGCGTTCGCATAAGCCCAATGCCCAAAAACTTTCTTTGATCAACATATGCCATGTTTTAACCCTATGTCACCTATGTGCTGCAATTGCTTTTTAGCTGTTTCATTTACGTCGCAAGCTATTTCATAAGTGCTTCTCGATAACAAAATTTGAAATTTTTTTAAAAAATGTTTCATGTTTGCCACAATTTTACTGTCAGATAAACCATTAGAATTCCAACTATTTCCACCAAATTTTTTTGCATATCTTGCGCGATCATAACTTTGGTGACGTTCGCACAAAATGAAAATCTTAGCCTCCAAAGTTTATATACGTAAGTGACACGATTACAGGAAAACCAGAAAGAAGCAGTGATAAAAACAATTTTACAAGGATTTCATCTTTCCCTTTCATGATTTGAAAATTCTGGATATTTTTTTGGCATGGGTCAATTAACTACATGACAAGAAAGACCTAAATTTACATGATCTCTTTGTTTTAGCCATGAAGTCTTTTTGCATGGTGCTCTATCCAATGATTCTTTTTGTATTGGTCAACATGGAACAATACAAGCGATTGGAGCGAAGACCGACAAAATCATTATTGGAAACGACATACAAAGAAGTTGGTCATCTTTTTGTTTTTTACAAACATAACCTTACTATTGATAGGTCAGAACAAACAAAGATTCGCGAGGAAAAATAGGGGAAGACGGGGCAAGATCCACAGACCAAAATAAATCATATGAAGCCAGTGATATCTTGTGAATTGTTCAAGAAACCTTCAGTTTAAACTTTAAAGCAAAAATTCAATCGTATTTAAAGTAACTTAAATAATGCGATGCATGCTTAAGGGTTGTGGGTGGGTGAAGGGGGATCAGCAAACTCTAAAAACGTGGACCAACGTAATTGATATGCATTGCTCTCACAATCAAATTTCTTAGTTCTTTAGAAAATGCTTAAAAATTCCTCAAATTTCCATTAAATTCCTTAAATTTGTGAAAATTACTATAAGGCATGTCGCATGGGCTCAAAAAGTGGTTTTTTCATGGTTATTCCTCGTTTTTTGCTGTTTTCAAATTTGTCAATGTTGTATTTGTAAAGAAACATTAAATACTATTACGTGTATAACGATTTACAGTATAAAAATACCCATAAAAACATCCTTAAAACTTTTAGAAAATCCTATTTTTAAGGATAATTCCTTAAAAGTGATATGTTGATATGGTAAAGATAGGCAAAATCTTATTATCAGTCTATCACAAAAAACATTTATGAAACTTGGGTTTTAATCTTTTCTGAATTTCTGTTTTGACATGACTTGGAGACAAGTTATAGGAATTTTAATGGTTGATCTAGATACAAAAAAAACATTCATGCCCTTTCTCGAGAAAGAACCTTCTAATGAAGTTAACCTTACTGTATAGTCGAAAATATCGAAAAAAATTAGTCATATTTTATTATAAACCTGTCCTTATGAGTTAAAATTAAGCGATGGCAAAACTCTTTCTCCTATAAACATTTTCAAGAAGCAAGATCTTCAATATCGGTCAAACAATTTTCGAAATTAGAGCATCACTAGAGTTAAAAATGTGAATAGTTTGTGACACGTCATTTTTTCTTGTATATGGTAAATTGAGCAGGATCGTTGGACCTTTAGGGAATTATAGCTCACTTTAGATGCTCTCAATATTGTATTCTCAAAAGCGTAAAATGATAACTTTTTCTATACACAATAGTTAATCGATCCACCAGCTCATCGTTGTATGCTCTTTGTCCAAACGTCCTGCGCATCTGTGTGCCTACCCGTGTCTCCTCTTGTTCTATTCTTATGGTAGTTAGTGCAAATTGGGCGTTTATCACGTACATCACTTGTGCATAATTCTCAAATGTTCTATTGTGTATTACAAGTTCAACTAACTTTTAGCTTAAAGAAGAATTACAATCATCTTTAAAGAGACTTAATGAGATCAAATTTCTTCTAGAATGCAAAATCTATATTTTGTGGAATAGCACATGGAGAACGACACTATTGTCCACGCAGGCATAATTCAGCAAAATGCTGTCCAACGTACGATTCTCGCCATGGTGGCGTTATTGTAGATTATGGCTGTTGCCGTTGGCTATATGGAGAATGTTGCAATGACGGGGGTTGCTGTCGCCCTGGTTTAAGATGTGTTGGTGTTGGAATGTGCCTCAAGCAAAGAATACAACACGTGTATATGTAAAGTAATATTGACGATAAACCAAACAAAGATATTTGCATTGGTCTTTTTTGCTTGGTTTCTCTCTTTTGTCGTAACCCTATAGCTGCTAGTATAACTTGAAAAGTGTATAAAATTTTTTTATTCTGGATATATGCATAAAGATGTTTTCCTATTCATCTTGCTTTTCACAGAGAACACAACAAGATGGCATTGTTTATATGAAATTGAATTTTTAAGGAATTTCATACAATTTAATCAATAATATATAGCTTTTGAATGGTACGTGCTGCAGAATTTTTAGTTTTATTTTCCCTTATGACACTGAGATTGTGTGCATTTCCGTGGAATGAAAAATGCTTCTTGATTAAAAACCATTTTGAAAGTAGACGACTGTCTATGACAGTAGATGACTGTATACTTCAGTCATCTACAGTCATCTATAGTCATCTACAGTCATCTACAGTCATCTACAGTCATCTACAGTCATCTACAGTCATCTACAATCGTCTACTGTCATCTACAGTCATCTACTGCCATATATTTGTTATTTGGAATTGTTTGTGTTTCAGCGTAATTTAGGAGCTATTTGACGGTTTATTATATTATAAGATGACCAGTTTTTTCAACACTTTAGAATTCAGAGCATCATTGTTTGAGAAGTTTAACATGCCAAATCAAGGTTTCCCCGCAATTACACATGTGTAAAGTTTGAAAACATAACCGTTTAAGTTCAATTATTGTCAATAATATTTATACAAACTTTAATCTTGTGTTATCGAAAGCAAATTTGTCAATAACTTGAGATTGAAACAATATGTTACTGTATACTGCTAAAACAAGTAATAGACTACAAATCAAAAGACCGTCGGTCGGGGGAATTATATCGAGTTTTTATAGTGCACATTGCGCCTAGTATAAACAGTTAGTTGAATAAGCCAATGAAAATTGCTATCCTACGAAAACATGTGGCGCGTAAAAGTACCGGAGATGGACTACGGGACCGTGTCAGTGGAACATGCTGATTGGTTACTAAGAAAGCTCACAGTTTCGCTTTTTTTGCGCGTGTTTCGTGTAATTTGCATGAATGTTGAAGTTAAGACAATACATCGAAAATTGAAATAACACTTGGGAAAATTTAAAGGGATGTGTGATTCTGTGTTTTACATTTTACGGGCGAACATTTCGGTTGATGAGTTTCACAACCATTTATCAAAACAAGCTTAAGAAGACAAAGAGCATGCCAAAATATATTATTGAAAATTTGCTGGGCAAATATAAAAGCACCAATTTCAGAGCTCGCGCGGTCACAAGTTAACTGAGAATTAATCTGAGCATGCGTGGTCAACTTCACAAACTCTCCAAGTTCATGGTCATGGCAACGACCAATTGGTATGTACTAGTACCTATTATGGAAAATTAGTTCGTTCAGTCACAAATTTTCAAATAAATCATCTGCGCATGCGCAGTCTGCTCGAGCATGTGCACTCCACTTGACCAGCTGCCCAAGTTCATGGCCATGGCAACGATCCACTGCATCTACTAGCACCGATTTTGAAGTAAATAGCATGCTTAGTAGCAATTTAATAGAGAAATCATGTGCGCATGCGTTCGAGCATGCGCAATCCACTCGACTAATTGTTCATAGTCATGGCAATGACTACTTATATGTACTTGCACTACATTTGTGGTAATTACCTCACTTAGTCTCAAATTATCAAAGAAATAATCTTTGCACGCGCACTAGTGACTTTCATAATAACACAACTCTCGTAAGGCTTTGAATTTATGTATATATATATAAAGCTAAAACTTCTTATAGTAGATGTCAACTAGCAGTAAAAGCTGGGTGCGATTAGGTATGCAGTGGCTTAGGGGCCCAGACTTCGGTCGCGACCGCACTCTCCCTGCGTACCCCGAGCAAAGCCTATCGCAGGCGATCTCAGGGTCTGATGGGCGGAAGCTTGCTACGTATTGGCATCCCCAAGTAGGATAGCGTGGAGGGGCCGAAATCTTCTACCGGAAACGTTAACATGCGGCGTTCTAGTGCCTTACGCTTAAGAAGGTATCGGGAAGCATGGCCCGAAAACGGGGTTTTTTGCTTTCGAATTTCATCTTTTTGTTCATAAAATAAAGCAATGTTCATAAAATAAACCAAGCAATGTTTCAATTAACTTCTTTTGACACTGAGCCTTTTTCTGACACTTATAATTTAAGACAACCTTAAACATGTTTTATACAATTTTTATTGGTTTATATCTTTCTGATTTAACTCTCTTATTTACTGTTTCTATACGGCATGTGCCGGAAGAGGGGCAACCTTTAAAAAGAGATCATTTACTAATCTTGACAATTATAAAAATTATCAAAAAATACATGGCACCCCTGACCAAAATAGGGCTCAACTAGCTTCATGATAACATCATAACCCAGCTCATGGGGAGATGAATCGCTAGCCTTCTTACCCCATGTATATATCAAAATCCATGACTTTGTTATCTGCGAACCTCTACATTTTACCATCACTCTCCACCAATGCTCTTGACTTATTTCCCTTAAGACTTGTCATTTTAACGTCACTCTTTACTTTGTTAACCTCGAGCCTCTACATTTTACCATCAACACCGACATAATGTTACCCCCAATATGAATCACCATGTACATCTAAAAAATATCATGTTTGGCAAAAATATAGAAATACGACTAAAGAACATCGATTACATAAGGCAGAAATAAGTCATACTAACTACAAGGTATTTTCTATGTTTGGCGGGCTTTTTCAATTCCAAATGTCAAGACTGTACCTCTAAAATGCGTAGGACAATTTTTTGCTGTTAAGTGTCACTAAAGTATACTCAACAGGTCCTCTTTTAGTGGATGTGAACCATCAAATATTTTCTCCGAGAGAAAGAGTGCAAATTAAAATATTTCAACTTGCCTTGGACAGAAAATGGCAAGATGAATAAGAGATGCGATGTCTTTGTAACTATTTGCGCACAAAACCGGAACAACCATTGAGTTCTATAACTATAATTTCAGAACTCAATGGGAACAACATATTATGATTCTTCATAAGTTATAAAAAAACACTAGAAAATCATGAAAATGAAGTTCACCTATTTCATTTATAACATTTACATTTAGCTTAAGGGTAAAAATTTTTCTGAGCCTCTTTAAGGCTAACTTAGTTCATCATTTAACATGTTCATATGTTCGGAAAGTAAGGGCGTGGGTTATCGAAAATTAACTTCATCGAAGAATATTGACACAAAAATAATAAAGACTAAAGACATAAAAAATATTAAATAACAAATTATGGTGTAGTACTTGTCATTTCTGTACAATTTAAAAGCACTACAATTTACCTATTTTAAATTCCTACTTTTGGCAACAGTTTAGTTTTATTTGAGTCATTAGAGAGGACGTAGGGCGTCACAATGTAATCTTCATAAGTAGAAAAGTGTATTGTGTAAATCCCATTTTCTTTATATCACTAATGTTAAACTTAAGATCTCCTGATTATTCTCCTCTCACCTGGCGATATATTGGTTTAGTTTTCTGTTCTTTAATGGTATAAGTAATTTGACACATCAAACAGCATTAGCTTTATCATGAATAATATGCTAATTTTTGGAAAACAGACAATGTCATTACCAATTACTGTAAGCTGCTTACGTCTGCATGCCATAGTTCTTAAAGCTAATTAGCATATAATACATAAGGTTTGATTTGTTCCTTACAGTCAGTTTTCATCGCGACGCGCTTAGAGCTGGACAAGGGTTTAATACAAAAATGCCAAACAGTCAGAAGTCCGTACGTAGGAAAAGCAGCAAAATGAAGAGAAGGAGTTCTCCTAAATGTAGGAGATGCCGAAATCATGGAATAATCATTGATGTGAAAGGACATAAATGTCAACATAAAAAGTGCACGTGCAATTTATGTAAGCAGAATGTTGACAAAAATCGTCAAACGGCGGCTAGAGTAGCGGTAATAGGAGAAAACAAACGTTCATTCGGATTAAAAGGTATGTTGTACAACAATCTATATTTTCTTGTTCAATGTCAAATTGATACAATATTTGATTTAAAAACAAATTCCTACACTATAAGCGATGTTCGTTTGGTGAAAGGATAAAAATCACACTTCGTTCAACTTAACAAGTTTTATTATTCTCATGTTTCATTTCTCTAAAGCGATCTTAGCCAGCAAACTGTTTTTTCACACATCACTACGATAGACTAAATATTTAAAATTATTCGTATGAAAAATGTGCTGACTCACCCAAATGCCAATGTCGAGTCAAATGGAACATGTGTTAGTTACGAATCATTAGTTACGACATAATCTTGGGTCGAGAGACAAGATTTTATTCCAGAATGAGAAATATTTCATTGAAATGAGTAAAACAAAAAATATTTTGATTGTAGCAAAAACCACCACTTCGCCAATAAGCTCATGTAGTATTTTCGCATACCACGTGGTAGAAACTGTAAACATTGCGTACATTGTCACAGCTTTGCTATGTATTCTTATACAGCGTTGACTGTTTTTTCACAAAAAATTTCGAGTATCAATGTGTTCTTTTGGCAGTTTTATGATGCAAATATGTTTTTCACCATTTTAATGTCGACAAAGAAAATATCATAATCATTTTCACAACTTTTACACAATTTTATGTCGCACAACACTGTTTAATATGTCGGTTTTGAAATGGAGTGAGAATATCACAAATTGAAGAACTACGTTTTCATGTATGTTTCCATAACTACTAAGAGCTCTAATTTTGAGTTTTCAAGACGACTTTTTATGTTGCAATATGGTTCATCCTCTACTCTAACATGACCAATACCAGGTTCAGGAATGAGCAAAAAAATTATAACCGCTTTGAAATTTGTTTACAACAAATTATTGGTTAAGAATTTTTAAAGATAAAAATAAACTAATGGATGTTTTGAATGAATTTATTTTGCCAATAGCTCGATCTGCACCCGTACACAACTGCACACACATGCATTGCATGGAATAATTACTCCTACAATTTAATTTAACTATCCAAGCTTAAAAGACGGATTAAAGAAAATGCCACGATAAAAGCAATTAGGAAGTTGCTGCTACGAAAACCTATAATGGCTAAGAAAATGAGCACTACATTTAACAGTTAACGACGATACTGTAAAGGTGCGATTGTTCATAACCTCCGTGATTCCTATAGACCAGAAAATGTTCTTTGTTATGAGCCGTTTATGAACAATAAGTTAATTTCTATAGAGTAATCTTTTTGGGTAACGTAGATATTAAACCGGATAAGATCATTGGAGGTAATAACGTAGAATTCAATATATTACATATCTGACTCGGAAAATTCTATGATAACGTGTGAAGCAAGCCGCCATCATTAAAGTTCCAAAACTGACTATATTTGTTACTTACATCTGCTTCCTGAGTTCATATACAGTTTCAAAGTTGATAGTCTAGATTTGATTCTTTAAATTGTTTGATAGAATTGGTTTTTAAAATTTCTTTAAACTAATTTTCCATTTTGAGTTTTTGTTTTTGCCACTTTTAAAGTGCTCGGTTAAAACAGTGATCGGGTGAGGAAAATGTTTGGCCTGTATTTTTTTATGATTACGTATAATATCGGCATAAAATCAACGACAATAAGTTGATTGAGATACTTTCAAAAGGTTATTGAGAAAATAGTGAGAACAAAACTGAAGTTGTACATTATGGTCATGTCAATATTATCTGTATCAACGTATATAACTGATGGTGTTATTTTTGGGAAATTTTGTCGCTAGGTGTATAGTTGTTAGCATATGCCTGCGTGTGTGACAAAAGCGGGATGCGTAAAACCGCGTAAAACTGACAATCACGTGACACAAAAACTCTATTTGCAATTTGTTATTTTATACTTTATAGAAGAATCGAAAAAGCCACACATTGAAAAAAAAGAAAAAATCAAGAAGAAAAGAGAAAAACACCACCTTCTAAAAGCCAATCGACCAATAAAGTTTTAGCTGATTTACAATCGACGTATGTTATGAATCCAACATCAATTACGTCGAATATCGAGCTGCTCGTAAAAATATTTCCAAACCAACGTGCTGAGTGGCTCGAGATGATTCTTCAACGTAACGGTAGCAACGTTATGTATACCATCAAGTATATCGTTGGTCTAATGAAAGATGCCGCTTAGTTCCACAACCATCAAGAAGTTTTCCACTCATCAATACAAGTAATTAATGGTCAACCGGCTTTATACCAACCAGTTCTTTCAACAACCCGTACCACAATCAAATGCATCCAACACAACCAACATACCCAGTTTTCTCACCTTTTCACAACACTTATTTCACCCATTTTTCCCTGGGAGCCCCCCTACATTTACTCGTACAAGAGTTATCAGAGCCATCGAGGAAGATAAAAATGAAACATGAAAATGAAAGAATGGCCAAGGAAACGATAGACGAATAAAGAAAATGGAAAGTAACTTCATGGTGAAGCATGAAATGGCATCGTTGACATTTAACAACTTTGTGTAAGGTTACATTTAAAACTTAAGATCATTTTGCACGCGGGATTTTGTTTTATTTATATAGGGGAATTATACTTTATTTTTATTTATGCATGCAAAACAAAGCTTATTTTTTTCCACATAGTGAAATATTTGAGTTCGGATTCACTACGGTATAATAATGTTGATGCATGTACTGCATGAAAACATTTTCAATGTTTTTTTACCACATATATTTATTTCTTATTTTATCGCAATGTGTTATTAAATTATTTCAGCATATTTTTCTATTTGTTCATGTCATTAATAATAAGTGAGAGCAATCAACGCAAACAGACTTGTTCTTGCATGATTTTCAACCAGCTAAAAACATTCCTACTTTCTCTACTACTTCTTTTTAGTCTACTTATTAATTAGACTCGTTCAGATGGATACAGAGAAAAACACAAAATTTCAAACGTCTTTTTCCCAATTGATCCAACTTGTTGGTCACAAAATTTCCATGCTAAAGTGTTAACCAACAAGCGCGTCTTTTGAAGACATCGCAGTAGTTTGTCAAATACGCACCATAAGAAAACACTTATACTTACCAACACGTCAGCAACCTTTATGTAGAGTTTTGGAGAAAAATTATCTCATCCAAACTCCAACCATTTGTCTGTTGAATGAAACTCACATCGACATGACCAAAACGATTCAATAAGGAATCTTATTTTGTGCTAACTGAATCATGTCATACAGTTTGGTCCTGAAATAGACAACTAGTAATCACCAATCATGTATGTATCGTGTGTAACTACGAGTTTGAATATAAAACAAGAAAGGTGCAAAGACTTTGAAAGAAAATAATAAACATCGCTTATGCACTTCAGTCACGGTAAGTATAAAGTAAAGTTCCATTTCGAAAAAGTTTTTCAAAACTGACATTATAATGTGTGAAGTGTGACCAGAACCTATAACTTATAACACATACATATTAAAAAGCATCACTGTACTTGCCTCGGATTAAGATATGAATCACTTATGACTTTCAGCATGTAATTTGCCGCATCCCTCTCAGTTTGAAATGGAGAAAAACGAGCTCTAGTTAATACAAGAATAAGAGAATAAAATGAAGACTTTCGGATTTTTACTACTTTTTACAAAATAATGATCGAAATTTTGAGACAACAGAGTGATCAAAGGATCGTTATATATTGAAGATCATGCACCATGCAAAACTACATGTATGATTCACAAGACCATGTATGATTCGCACACACTATGTATGATCCACAAGGACTATGTATGATCCACACAGACCATGTATGATCCATGTATGATCCACAAGGACTATGTATGACCCACACAGACCATGTATGATCCACAAACACTAAGTCTGATCCACACAGACCACGTATGATGCACAAACACCATGTATTATCTACACAGCCATATGATATACAAACAATACGTATGATCCACACAGACCACGTATGATCCACACACACGATGTATGATCTCCACAAAGACCATGTATGATCCACAAACAATATGTACGATCGACACACACTATGCACGAGAAAAACCCAAGTCTAATTTTTAAATAACCAAATGAAAGGAATTTGCCTATGGTCAATACGAACAACAAAATTTTGCAACTTTTTTACATGCATGCTTTTAGTTCGCCGATTCTGTTCCAATAGCCATTTATGAGTTGCTCGACACGTAACATTTTACAAGCATAAAAAATAAAAACATCGACTCAATAATGCGGGCTCACCTTAATCTTTTTAATGTTTCTCCTCTAAAACAAGGTAGTCCTGTGTCGAGCATCAATGCAACTAAAGCACAAATTTCTTCCTGATAAGGCCTTCAATAGATATTGGAGATAAAACACGATAGTTATAATTTGCAAGGTAGAACAATAATGAACGTCACTCGAAAGTAATAAAGAAAATTTGATTACCTTACAGCAAGGTATGCTCTTACACAAAGTTCAGTAAACCATCTAGGAATAAAAGTTGCTGTGGTAAAAAGCTGATGACATGAGCCCGGTCAATCGATTAAAGTACTCTAATACTATACAAATTAGCTATTTTCTTTTTTGTCATTATATATTTCTGAAAAGCGAGAAAATAGAGAAACGCTCAATCGAATTGGCTTAGCTGGGTTTAAAATCATAAACTTAACCATGAAATTTTGTAGTCAATAACCTGAATGAATGGGATTCCACTGTTTTACCCATTATCATAGCCATTTCACGTGTAAGCTTCATGTCCGGTTCAAAGCCAAGATTTCCACCGGGAGATGACTCAAACATGAAGCCAAAATCTTAAAAAAATATCTGCCTTTTCATCTTTGTAGAGTCTTTAATAGCATAATATTATTAACAGAGATTTTATGAAAGAAGTCTTACTAATGGTGAGACCTTTGAAATATTTGAACTGATCAGAAAAGAACTATATTCCTTAATGGCTAGATAACAACATATTAAAACGTCAATGCAACTTTTAAGATGGTCATGAACGAAAAGAACGAATTTGTAATTAGCCGAGGTAAATAATATCACGAATATGTGCTTCTACCATCCATTTGCGTATTGATAGTCGCTATGTGTCGTAATACTAATCATGTCGTAATGAAATGATAAAATGGCGGAACTATTATCAATAGATTCACGGTGAACGCAAATCAAGGATATCCGTGCATACCATGAATAAGAAGAAAAGGTAGCATTCCTTATTTCATTCTTAGCTATGGGTGGCCCTGTGTATAATGAAAACTTTTCTCACCAATATGGATAACATGACCTTCATCATCAATCATAATATTTCCATTGTGACGATCTTTTATTTGAAGAAGAAAGCTCACTATTGAATAAGCAGCCATACTTTTTATGAAATTAGTGCGTGCCTAAAGCGAAGAAATTATTTTAACCTAAAAGCAACTACTCATGAACATATAATGCCTTTAAGGTAAAAAATGTCAATACAATGTAGCTTTAGAGAACACCATGTTAAGTTAAGTATTAACAATTAAAAATAAAATATAACGATTTACATCGGTCAAATGTTATCCACCTTTGCTTCTCTTCGACAGATAACATTGACCTCGGTCTGAATATCATGCACAACCTCATACGTGGATAACAACCTTATACGTGGATAACAAATACATTCTGTAAGCACTAAAGAAGAATTGAAAACCTTTTGAAATCTTTCCGTGTTTTCCTCGCCATACGTTTGGATAAAATACTCCAACAAATCAACTTCAGTCTGACGTCCAAGTTGGTCACGTGACTTAGCGTTAGGCACGCACTCTATTACACCACACTAAAGAAAATTCAATACGATTAAAATGTTGAGATGCAGATTGATTCAGGTCGATTTGCTCGACTTAAAATAATGCAAGTGGTTGCAAGTGGAAAGACCAGATTTAAATTACTCATGAGAGAGCTGAACCATGATGGAATGCAATCATTCTCGAATTGCTTTAAGTTCCAAAGTGATAGAAAATATGAGAAGTAACAGTTATATATAAACATACAAAAAAGTACCATAAACATAATGTAAAAATATCTTTATGAGCCAAAATGCACCATCAATGCGAGCAATTTTGCTATTTAACAGTTACAATAATATTACTACTCCTACTTTAAAATACTTACACCAGGCGCGGTCGCAATTACTCGATAAGGCATCAGAAATAGATCCAGACCTGCATCTTCAAATATCTTCTTAAATAATGAAATTACTTGAAGGGCCAACATATCCTGTTTACAAAGATAAAAGTTGAGTGACAGATCAAAGTGATCTTTATTAAACAATAAAATGCATCAATGCAACAGTAAGGATGTTTTTGTGCAGAATACCATCTCGGTTATAATAATTTCAAAGCTTTTCAAGGTTGACCAGATGTTTACAAAAAGACACACAATATAGTGATGAATGAAATTCGATTTTCATATTTACAATGCATTTTCGTGTATGGCGTCATATATTTAAGGAATTTGCCAATGTAGAGTATAATATACAGGAAGTATATACATATACCTGTCGAACATCGTCACCAACTTTAAATATGGCCCCTTGCCAAAATACTTTATTGTCACTTTGACGACTGACGGTTCGTGTAACACAAGCATGCTCAGCAGTGGGAATGTGACCACGCAAGGAGTTTGATTTTCCTGTTTTATAAAAAAATATGATATAATTGTTGTGAGTCAAGGGAAAGGTAATAAACAGAATGAGAGATACATGTACATACAAGGTGCGTAGAAACAGAATGACGAAATGCAAGCATGTGATTTTATATGGGAACAGCATCTCAACTTCCTGTTTTGCCAACAAGGTCATATAGTTGTTGTAAGATAATCTCAAATGTTACGTATAGATGCCTGGTCTTCTTTACGTTTTGCTGGCAGACAGATTAATCTCAAGGGAGGTTAACCATTGCTAATGGTTTTGTCTAAAAGATCACCACGACAGCAAAACGTAAACAAGGTAAGTCATCTATAAGATAGCGTGTACTGCATTTACTACCGGAACCTCGATAATCGGGGGGGGGGGATTTATATATATTCGTAGTCACAGCTCGTAAAAAGCAATTGCTTTTAAAAGAGAGTAATCAGGCTAAACAAGCATATGTGAATATTGCTCCCCCCCATTATCGAAGTTCTGACGTCCCTGGAAGGGGTGAAAAAAGGGCCAGAGGGAAAATAGAAGGGGGGAAAGATGTGAATAGCGTTGTGTATCATACGTTAGATGTATTAGACGAGTTGTAAGATAAAGTTCAAATCACTTTTGCTAATGGATATCATTTTATAAATATAACCAGTAAAAATTGAAATTGTGTTAAGACCGTCAAAATCAATCTGAATGAAAGCTCCATTTCCTTACCAACGTTCATGCGTTCCATTTCTTCAATGCCACATCTTTTTACTTTAAATTTTGCTAAAAATGGCGCTTTGGCTGCACTTTGCATGGGTGTCCCTGAAGTGTAGTCTATATCAAGTATCAGACACTCGGGATTACTTGGCAGATAAACGCCAGATTCAACCTTGATTTTTCTCAAAGCTTCCAAACATGCCTGTTTACGCTGTGGCTTAGGAATGGGCCTAAAGATTAGGTGGATAAAAAATGTTAAAAAGCGTTGATCAAAATACTTGATGTAAATAGCAAAACTTGTGACTATCCACGCCACAACTTTCACATTTATCTTTAAATTAGTTTTTGAAAGAACGAGTCATTGATACTACAATTGCATAAAAGCCTCAACTGGCAACATACACTTACTTTATTTCACCTGATATTCCAGTAACTTTGGCAAAAAAACGAAATTCACGTTCATAAAATTCCAAGGCACTTCCCGATAAACTCTCCTTGATCCTCGACATTATATCATCTAAACGATCAGCTACACCTGGATCTCTAATCTTTCCTTCTTCATCAGTGAAAATATTTGTCTTCATGTTCCAAAGCAACTGAAGAAAAGTATTCATGCAAAATGAATTATGTTTTATGTACGTAATTACAAAAGAAATGAAGAATAACCTTCCCCCAATTCAAGAAAATTTATTGATCTAGCCGTGAACAGCTATAAACATTGAATCTAGTCGTGATCAGGAAGGTACTGGGTTTAGTCATGAACAGCTATAGACATGTCTAGTCGTGATCAGGAAGGTACTGGGTCTAGTCATGAACAGCTATAGACATGTCTAGTCGTGATCAGAAAGGTACTGGGTCTAGTCATGAACAGCTAGATGCTGCATCTAATCGTTAATAACTAGGTATGAATAAAATCCAGGATTAGCTTTCAATTTCAAACTTTTGACAGATTTTCATGGATCTCAATCGTCCGAATTCTTTTCTTATTGTACTTTTAATGCCAGACAGAACACCTGGGTTTTACTATTGTTACATTTGCAACGATCATAAGGACAGACATAGATAGCATACTTGATGAGCAATAAGTTGCGACTTGCTAGCTGCCCACAGTATATACTGTGATACATAACCCAAATCATCATATCGCGTAGCCTGAACAAGCTGTGGGATATAGAATATGATCGAGTCAGGAGGGAACGATCGTAGTACACGAGTGGCATATTGAGCTGTCAGGGGATGTGCAGGGTATAGGCACGAGAAGTAACTCAATGCGGTGACTGGTGTAACAGGTGACCAACATAAAATGGCGGAGAGCTCTGGAATATTTTTTTTAATGTTTTCGAACGTAACTAGAAACTGAAAAGAGAAAAACAACAGAACAAATTATTAATGTTTACTCAATCCTTCTTTACTGTGGTTCCTTTTAAAAAACGTTATATGATTGACTATAACATAAAATATAAGATGAATTTTACATAACAACAATATATACGTACATTAACTGCTTCAGGAATGTGAATAACAGCTGAAGGATGTCGTTTCACCAAAGTTGCAACTTCTTTTTGTACTGTCGTATTCTCTTTGAATCTGGAAATTCATGCGCGCAAATGCATTAATTAATTTGCAAAGTTTCTCCTTTGACTGGGAGATTTTATCATTACCGGAAACAGAAAGGAAACGTTATTGGCGCCAAAAGCCATTTTAAAATGAAATTTTATAAATAATTTTATTTCAAACGCTTCAGTTGTGAAAGAACGTAAAATAATATTGATGTGGACTTTCACGAGTCATCGAAACGTTAAGGACATTTGTTAAAAGAATTTTATCTACACGATAGAAGTATAAAAACAACAGTTAGGTAACACACACACATTGCAGGACACATATACAAGTTGCATAATACAAACTTGTTAAACGAAATAAGTACATTACTAAGTAGCCAAAACACGTCACAATCATGGTTTTGATTGCAAGTTCATGACTAACTTAACTTTGAAAGAGAGGAAGCGAGAGAGATTAATTGTAAAAAAGCTCTGGCGAAGCTTACTTTGCAAATACAGTACTATATCTTACCTGGTACATAAATGCACAGCCAAAGATGGAGAAGTTTGCCAAGCAAGTCTGACAATATCTCGCCAGACCTTTTCATTAAACGTGGTTTGTGATGACCATTTCGTAAGCTGTTCCTCTCCAGGAAATGTTAGATTGGCATCAGCAGATGTATTATGCCAAGTCGACAAGAACTCAATCGCACGCTTTATTAACGCCAATATAAGACTGCGCCTGCGTATTAAGTTTTTCACGTGAGATTCGACGGTGTTAAGGCGCTGGTCAACTGACATTGCTTCAGTCGAATTTCGACTTGAGTATTTGTGTACTGACGACGTAGATACAGGAAGGGTGTTCATCCATTTTTGCTGTAACATAACCAACAAAGTAATGAATAGGTGACTTACGACTACATTAATTAATAGTTTAGGTAAAAAACATACAGAATATACGGCCATGTTATCGGATGACATTGACACTGATCGTTGTTTGGACTGGACGTTCAAAAGTGCCATCAACGATTTCTTCTCTTGAAATATGGCTAGCCAAAACTTTATCAACGTTGTGATGTCTGCACGAAGATCTGTACCACTTCGTTGAGGACACTCCAAAGCAACACTGATCATAAATAGTGAAGAATGAAAAATGGCGAATCCAGTTACTTGTTTAGGTGTCCCCGTATGGCGGTCAAACAATAAAATGAAAAAGATGGATGTAGTGGATTGTTTTCAAAGTTTGTTGGTTCACTTGGTTGTTTTGATGTTTACATGTTGGTTTTATGATTTCAATGTTTCAATGTAGGTTTCAATGTTTTAATGTAGATTTCAATGTTTTAACGTAGGTTTCAATGTTTTAATGTAGGTTTCAATGTTTTATAGTAGGTTTCAATGTTTTAATGTAGGTTTCAATTTAGGTTTCAATCTCGAAGTACTCGGTCCACCTTTTCTAGATCTATAATGTTCCACTGTCGAACAATAAAGAATAAGAAAATGTGCACCAAGTGCATTGTTGCGTTTGGTGGTAAAATAATAAGAAATGAGAAATAGAGGATCTAATGAACTGATATGTTTTAATTAGTAGCAGAGCAAGCCCGTTTTTACTCTTACAATGCAAATGTTTTCTTGGTCTATGAATGGATTTAATTTTCAAAAAAAATGAATAACAATTTTGAAGAAAAATTTGCATTGTATGAGTAAAAGATTGCACTATCGTTACTAGTTTCAATGCATTGCGCTCGAACAAAAAAGAAAAGACTCTTTCAGTCGAGGCATCTGATATTTGGTATCGCCATGCTAAGAACCATTAAAGGCATCCATACAATCTGATGAGTTAAGGATATACAAATCGTCAGGTTATTAATTTTGTCCTAAGTCAAATTTTTAAATTTTGAGATTTTTGCTTAAAACGACTATTTTGCCAAGTGGTGTATTCTGTATGTATTGCCGAAGTCAATTGACCAATCAAAAGTCCCTAAAATGACTTAAATAGAAAAGTTTGAAATGTGAAAAAGTGAAACCTCGTATTTATTTCCCTCCCAATCGTTATAATATTAAGTAGTAAAATAACATGATATCATACGACGACCCATAATTCCATTCTTCATTCCAACAACAGCATTAGCAAATACACAACAAAAATATCACAGATAAAATCACATGACAAAATTGATATCATCATACCAACCTGAAATAATCCAGAGCAGTGGTATAAATTCGTTCTCTTAGTATGTTCTTGATCGTCAAATTGGGTAAAATGTCGTCTTGCAGCATATTTATTCCCAATAAAAGTAGTTTGAAGCGAGCATTTAATGCACACGAATGACGAGAGAGTACATTTGCTTTTGTTACCAGCAATGGGAAGGAACGAAGCAGCAACATAAGGAAGACATTTATCTGTTTGAATGTAGAGAAAGAAACGAAATATCAAGAAACTTCAGAAATAGAAAGTTTCCACACATAGATGATGAATCGCCCAGAAATGTTTTCTGATTACAAAAATACTGCAAACATTGCTGTAAAACATCAACATCATGAGCAAACTCTCACCTGTAAGCACACAATGGTAAAAAGGCAAGAAACAATTCATTCATAAAGTGCCAACATCAGGGTCAGGGAACTAACTTTTTTAGATAGTTTAATTGATTTTAGGAACAATGGCAATATATTTAATAGAACTTTATCTTTACAGGCTTTTTGGAGCCAGAACTATACACCTATGCGCTATCTAAAATTTGTAGTGCGGTTTTTTTGGAAGCTTTACAATAACATCTTTATTCAGTATAATGAACGCTGTTCCTTAAATGCATGTTTTCTCCATTTTATCGTACATCGGCGCGAAGTCTAAGACCTAAAAGCCCGTTAAGATAAAACTTTCGTCGAATGAAAATGTTGTAAATGTTCTTAAATTTTGATTTAAAAAGTCATTTTCCAGAGTTTGATATAAGCACTTTAAGCAATCGTTATCCGTTCCTCAATCATTTTGTACCAAAATAAAATACCTTAAACGATATCATAATCTTCTTTAGTATACCCCCAAGAGTTTCTGGAAATTTTGAAAAAAACTTCACGCATATGATGTAAAGCGCTTACTTTATCCGAGTTAGAGTATTTGACGACTTCAAAGCGTTGAACGAGGAACTCTATCCATAATTCATGAGGAACTACGTTTGGTACATACAGTTCATCGTCAGCGTCATCACACCGTGAGAGGGGACTGGTACGACGTCTGTCAACACTAAATAGGCCTTTACGACAGTCAACAGTCCATTGCCACGCCGAAGATAGTTCACAAAGAAACTGCAAAGAAGAATTAGGACTTAAGAGGCGACATGACGAGTGGGCGGGTTATACAACTGGTTTGAAGCATTATTAACGGGCCAAACTAGTAAATGATACTTTTTTCAATTAGTCGCATAATAAAAATAGCTGAAGGGTCTTTTGATTTCTATTTGGTGAATATTCACTAACGATTTTTCATTAATCAATAAACTAAATATAAAATATACAGTTGATATTCCCTAAAATCTAGGATAGAAAAACGTTATAAATTTGTAAATTCTGTAGCAAAAACTTTACACCAGTCCATTTCTTGCATTTTTTAGACAAATCTGTATTCTCAAAGTTGAAAAACACAAAACGAATTCTGATACATTCTCCAAGCGCACAACAGCAAAAACTTTCTTAACTGCACATAACGACAAACAATAGCAACAAATATGTGTACCGGAAGTTCAATATCAGGTCTAGCGGCAGATATCCATTCCCAGCATACAACAGCACTTTCTAACGACAGACGTGTGAAAATTCGAGCAGGTGACCAACAGATGATTCGAAGAAGTTCACAATCAAGATCTGTAATACATGTAAAGTTGACATCAGTTTACCATCGCATGTTTACGACAATAAAAAAGGGCCACAATATAAGCATAGGAATAGTTTACCTTGTGTTTGAATGAGTAAAGCCGCTGCTCTAAATAGCACGGTCTCATACGATTTGTCATCCGCCACAATCTTCTGCAACTGAGCCACAATAGCAGCTGATAGCCTCGACGATGCTTCGTTTATGGAAGTGCCATTAAGGAGGTTTGCCATATCCAGCATGCCATTGATCTGCAGAGAAATATGGAGAATTGAGCAAAATATACGACTTTTTGTGCAAGTTACATATGGAGATCTTCTCAATCCATGTATTTGATCGTAAAGGAATGACAAATTATGGATGAGTAAAACTATATTACAGTATGTCATTCTCGGACGAATTTACATTTTAACTTTATTCAAAAGCAAGCATCAGAGAAACATCATAATGATATGAATATAAGGATTCATATTCTTAGGATATTTAGTTTTTACCTTTGAAAATATCTTAAAAGCAGTCAGTTTTTAAAATTTCATCCTCTAGACAACCAATAGCATTGTAATGTAATATAATATGAAACATACTCCGAATACAAATTTCATGTCTAACTCAGTATTTGAGAAATAAACAAGTCAATTTTTATTTTAACAGTAATACTTCGAATTTATTGCTAATTCATCATAAGACTCTATTTACAAGCTAACTGTGGCTCTACTATTTATGCGTTATTACTTCATTTCAACGGAAGTACGTAGAGCCCCAATTATGTTGTAAATAGAGTCTTATGATGAATTTGCAATAAATTCGTAGTATCGTTGAAATAAAAGTTGTCTTGTTTCTTTCTCAAATAATGAGTTAAACACGAACTTTTTGTTTGGAGTACATTTCATATTGTACAAGATAAAATTGTCGGCTAGTAATGGATACTGTTATGTAAGTGTTTCTATTTCATCATTGAGCTGCTATAATTTATATTGAAGACACTGCTACGTACAGTACAAAATCTCTACAAACCACTGTAAAGAGATTTTCCAATTCTATCAAAGTCTCCGTAACGTAACATACCTCACCAAGATATCTGCTTCTAATTGTGAGGTTTGCTGTAAACTGAGCGTTATCATCCGTCACACACGAAGGCAGTTTAGATTTCACGGCGGAGCTCGACATGGCTGTATTGTGGTTTAAAGATGGCATCGTAACAGAACTTTCGGTGACTAAAGCAATTCCAGTATGCTGCAGAACAGTGGTTTGCATATGCTCCACTTTCACCAGATATTCCTAAATTGAGTTATAAAATGAAAATATCGTAAAGAGATTTGCTCAGACCTCTTCACAAATTACTAATTAATCACGTCTCAGCATAGTGTGAATAACATATAGCCTGAAAACTACAGCTGATAAACGTACGGGTAGTACAAAACAAGTATACTAACGAACAATTAACACGGGAAACCTGATAAACAACTCAAATACTTATGTAATATTGTGAAGCAAGATTTGTCATACTTGCAAAAGTGATTTCGTAGTTAACGGTGCCCATTTTATGGCTTCTTTAAGGATGCCAGTACACCTGGCAGCAAAATCACTAACGGTCCTCTGTCGTCCCTCAGCAACATCTGATACAGTAAGAACATACGGGATATCACGAACATGCAGGTCAACACGTTGATGATTATCGTGCTAAAAAACAACAAAAAACACATTTTTGAAACGCACTGTAAGTAGGAAAAGGAAAAAAAACAACAGGAAAATGAAACTAAGAAATGAGAACGGACTCAATTTGGGAAAATAAGGGAGAGCGCTGTTAACCTAATATCGATATTCAATAAATATCATTAAATACTGTTTTTCACTAACATATACATTAATAGATGCAACCTTTGGGTCGAAGAAAAACTTATAATTATCTGTCAACCAGAGTTATCTACCATCAATAAACGCAACGAACTTGTGTTGCCTTGTCGTCATAGGAAGAAAACACTTTTACGTAATAATTAACTAATATACACACATGTACAATTTGTTGAATATCTATATTTCATAAATACATCAACGTACACAGAACAAAATACTCAGTACTTGCGGAATGTCAATATTTTTATAACCTATTCATGTCAGTTTCAATCAATAGTTTCTAAATTTACGTCATTAGTCTCAGTAGCCATTCGTGTACATGGATGTAAAAAAACCTTATACTTGACATATTAATAAAATAGTCATCGGAGGGCTATATCCAGCCTTATTTATACACAGCCGACCACTAAATGTATTTCGCTTTCACATACCTTAAGTTCCAAAGCTTGAGCAAGCACTTGCAAAATATCTAACATAGTGTGTAAAACGGTGCCATTCCACAGTAAATGAGGGAATCTAATTAAGAATAGATACACGAGCAATTTTATGACGATTCTATAGCATAAAACAGTAAGTTGTACTATACAATGCACGTTTAAGACTCTAGCACACACCTTTAGCTTGTTTAAGTGAAAAACATGACATACATACTTTTACCTTATAGAAATTTTATGAATTAATCTATTTTATCAAAATACTAAATAAGAAAGCTTTACAATGTCGGAGTAAAAGCACTTACTTATCAACAAGCAATGACAAATATTTATCAGCAATGCGTTGTATTCGAGACGATAAATGGTTGAATTTCACCAGGAAAAACTGCGCATGACTTTCGAGTTCCCTTTCTCGATCATCGGTTTTTGGCTTGTCACTAAGAGCACTTAAGAAAAGTTCAAAAACTCTATCTGCTATCACGGCTACACATTTCCACATTTCTATAAGCATATAATAAAAGGGACAATGAACAACTTTTCAATGGATAATGCTTCTTGGAACACAAGAAATACGCAAACACATATGAAAGTCTGGTGAGATTCTATAGACACCATATTTTACAGCATAGTACTGACAAATTTCTTAAATGCCACTTTTAAACAACAGAGTACTTTTAAAACTGCCGTTAAAAACCGAGGTAGGATTCAAAATATCTCGGAAGAAGATCCCCAGGAAAAACTCGGGTAAAGACCCTCAGGGAAAAGACCCCGGGAAAAACTCTCACGTAAAAACTTTCGGGGAGAGAGATCGCGGTAAAGACCCCAGGGATAGTGAAGAAATGATGAAATGTAGTTTGGAGAAATACATCAAGTCAAACAAAACATGATCTAAAATACGTATCCCCAAACCTGCTTTATCTTTCAGTAATGGTTTGTTTTCCAAATATGTGAAAACATTATTGAATGATCTCGTGTCATTAGCCACACGTAAAGACTCAAGCCTGTACACCGACAGCAGGTGAGTACATTGACCAAAATTTAACTTGTTCACTATTACTGAAATTTCATTGTATTGCCGACGACGTCAAGCACTGAAGTTCGAACATCGTTCACTTCGGACTGTGAAATGCACAAATGAGTAACGTGAGTAATTTAAAAACTAAAAACAGTAATGCTGTTGAATCAATCACGTGATTTACCGGATCCATTGCGTCACTTTTCAAAGCTCTGTTATACAATAATTCCGATCTCAAATGCTCTTCACCCAGTAAAAGTGGAGATCTGTCAGCCACCTGACAGACGCCAGTGTACCAGTGAATTGGCCAAGAGCTAGAGCCTTGGACTCCAAAGCCAAACACAACGCAGTAGAGCCAAAAATCGCGGAAAAGTTTATGAAGACGTGGTTTGGGATCTGTGATTGGTGGAAGACGAGACACTGTAGTCGCGATTGCGGGAATCAAGACACCAAGATTTCCTGCGCTTGATGAGGCCTATAAAATAAAAAATATACACATTAAAAAAGTGCTTGTCATTAAAATAGGCCTTATTGCAGTCATTAGTAATGACTTCAATCAGTGGCGGACACTTTATGAAATATTAGTAGGGGGACGGGGGTTAGCTCGTCCTCAAGGTATGAGATTTCTCGTGAGATTCCATGTATAATTTCTACGTACATATAATCCTACACACACAAAGTTTGATACGTCTGTTGGTACGTACGTGTACAGTACAGAAATCTATCAAATAGTTATTTTTCAACTTCACAGTTATGTTATATAGGTTTGATTTGAGTGATTTTGGGAAAGATTCTAAGCCTTTCATAAGTATGGGGGGCTCATAGCTAGAACTCAATGCTTGCAAAAGTTGAAATCTTAAGGGTGTAAATAAACGTATTCTAACACGTATTTAGTCGGTGAGTTCACTGCAAATGGTAAGATCCTTCATAAAAATAACTTCAATAAAACAGAATTAAACAATCAAAATAAGAAGATGGTATGATAACATAACATAATTCTAAATACTAAGACCAGCCGACAATTTGAAGAAATATAGTATAAAGCAAATTCCGAAAAAGCAAGACATCTTGAGATTGCAAAATATGCATCAAAACAAGACGAGAAGTGAACTGTAAATTTTCGACTTTATTTCAAAGTCATCCTCAGACAGAAGTCATACGGAATTTGCTTTATACTATATAATTCTAAATACCCTACGACGTCGACAGAAATATTTAAGTACGATTTAGAAAGTTCGTTAAACATTCTTTTGATAAAAGAAAAATTCAGACTTGAGAATTTCTTTTACCTTAAGAAAGGAAGCCTTCTGTGTGGCTCGTCGACTTTCCAATCCCATCTGAACAAAGAGCTCCAGAAGACTGACCAGAAGATCTTGTAACAAATCTTGTCTTTGCAAACGAGCTGCAATCTCTTCCAGGGCATTAATAACAGAGTTTTGAGCAATGTCTATGAAAATAGAATTCAATTTAATCAAGAATATATAAAATTAAATGCAATCAAAAAGAACACATCTACCTCACTCTATCATCCCACAACTCTCGACTCTACACTCTTACTATTTACGGTTTCTAAAGTTTATCATAAAACCAAAGCTTAAAAACTCCAAATAAATCTATACCAACCCACCCTACCCTCTATACTATAATTCAAAGTTTATCATATAACTAGGCTTTAAACCCCGAACATATCTCGAGCAGGTAGAAACCCTCGACCTTCGATCTCGGGCTAGCACTGATCAGCTTTCGAGTTCTCCCAAAGATCTCAGCAGTTTGCAAGTAAGCCCGTGCAAATATAGTATATATATCTCTTATTTCTTAACTAAAGAATGCGGAGGAAACGGTTCATAAGGCAAACCGTGAGGTTTTAATGCACCCAAAAGCTTACCAACCTGAATGCTTCAGTTTTCTCATCCTTTGAAGACGGTCCACTGGAATAAGCTGATGTCCCAGAGCTTGTAACAATTTTGATGAACATGTCCAGTATATTTTTATACACTTCATCCTGTTAAATATGTAAAAACAACAAAAACTTTATCAGTGTCTGTTGTGTTCCATTGCAAGTACTTTGTAGGCAATTTAATCTTAAATGAAAACATCAAACTCAAGCAGATCGTAATGTAGATATCTATGTCGGTGAGTGACGTAACAAAGTCAATAATTCGGGGAGGGGGCACATATTTATAAATTCATGTTCTGCCGTATTGAGATCTTTTGAAATCCATTTTTTTCAAGGATTAAAACATGCATATATGTATGAATATGTGCCCACCCAATTAACAAGTTTTCTACGACATTGATATAAGTTACTAAGCCCAAATTCACAATGTTATTACGCTCAAAGTGCAAAAGAACCATTTCCAATTTTACACATGGATATCTCACTTGTGTTCCAAGTTGCTCACATACATCCTATAATCATACACAGCGCACCTTCTCGATTAAAGCAATATTCATCAACTGCTCGACGATCACAAAATCCAACGATGATGGTGGCGAACCAAATTTTTGCAAGAGTCCATCTCTGACTTTCTCGAGGATACCAGGATAATCTTTAAGATGAAGACCAACAGCACCAACAATTTTGATGACGTTCGAATGTTTCAGTTCTTTGATTTGATCATCGGTACTTGTCGTGTAAAGACGATTGAGAACTAAACCCACGAATTCCTCGGTGAATTTTGGGTCAGTTCTTACGATTACACCGAGAACTCTAAAATGAATTATAACAAGGACTGTAATACATATAAATCATACAGCTTACATAAAAAACTCCGAAAAAACTACCAATAATAAAAATCACTTCAAACACAATTAATACAATTGGATTGTTTTCTACAAAGTTCACTTTGTCTGTTCAGTAAAATCCATTCTCGCTATGATAACTACCATTGGAATACATTTTTCTTTCTTCTTGAACAATTTACATGGCTTTTAAAAATTTTAATTTCACTTTGTAAACAAATACATTGAAAATAATAATACTTTCGCACCACGGTCAAGACATCGTAAAAAACTGCTCGCTAAAAAACATCACTTGGTATTTTATAAATTAAAAAATAAATTATATTTCTATGGGAGATTAAGAAACCGAATGATCAATTCATCCTCACTTGCAAATATTAGCCAGGGTAGTTTCCTGAACATGTTTGAATCCCATTTTTTCAACTGGTTCTTCAACAACTGCTTTAGGTTGGACAGCAGTAACGGTACCGGAAGTAGTGTCTGAAACGGTCACCATAGGCGATTTTGATTTACGTTTTGGTTGGTATAACTTCAAAAGGAGGAGAGAAGGAGCGAGAAAGAAATGACGGTAGCAATCCAATGCAACACTATACAAAAAATAGGCACGCACCACGTACATGAGGAAGTAAAATAACGAACATCGTTCAAATAATATAATATATTTAATGCAAGGTATTGTAAAATAATCTAAACAAAACCCAAAACAAAACCCAAGAACAACACTTACAATGTTTTTTGTGACAACATCGGATTGAATTGTAATTGTATTTATCATAATGTATTCTGACATAGCCTTGGACCGTCATTAGTTAATTAGCGGAATGATGCAGATTCTCGTTTTGTCAGTAGTTTAACATGTCAGCCATTGCAAAACTGGATACTGTAGTAACTTTTTTACATTATTTATAAGCTCTGGACTGAGTGTGCACTTAAAAATAAATGAAAGATTGTATCGAGTAGTAGAATTTGTTTTTCATCGATGACCTAAAAAGTTGCTTGCAAGAAAGACTGATGCAGTTATCACACCGTTAAAATCAAGAATAAATAAATTTAATGGACCATATCTTTCCCATCATAAGCTAACTTTTGATATAAATTGAGGGAAGAATGGAAATGGAAAGAGCACCATTTTAACATCAGCGTCATTGTACGTTGTTACCGAATAGTTGTACTGTATAAAATTTGTAAAATACATTGTCATACACGACAAGATTGACAAATTTTGTATTACACAAGAAAATTGAAAAGGTAATGATCATATTCTCAAACAAATTTTCCATTTCTTCTCTGATTATTTATCCCTTTTAAAATTATCTGGGCGATGAGACCTGAAATAGCGTAACATGACAAGAGGAGACGAAAGGTGACGATTAGAGATGAGAGACGACCGAGTATTAATGTATGATTGCACTATCCATGACATAAAACATCGTTAGTTCCACAGACAAGGGTGCAAAAATAATTTTTACTTGTTAAACATTGTTCATGAAACATCATACTGACTTATGTTCAACGCCAGCTTCGCCGCTTTTCTAGTGTTTTCCGCATTTTTTATTTAAAAACGTATGCATATCGTTTTTTAAATCTCTGGCAAACATCGCTATTTTTGACTTTTTCAAAGACCGACTTTTAATGGCGTCAATCAATAATTGTAGAAACTATTATTTGTAGATATGACATCTTACCTACAGACATCGACATTGTTTACATAGAGAATAATAATAATTGTTATCATTTAGCAATAAAACTGTGTAATGGCATTAATACCTCGCACGATTTTTAAACTTGCACGCCAATTTTCCAATGCTGTTCAAACAGCTAACAATCAAACTAGGGTCCGTCTGAAGAAGACCAAACGATGTGTTGGAATTAAGATAATCCACAAGAGGTTCCATAAGTTCGTCAAAATCTAGGATGCATGAAAATACTTTGCTAGCAAATTTTATGCAAGCATGCGTGTTTGTTCCCTTTTTTGCTGTTTGTAACATGCATGTTCTTTCTTGCGTGTTTAACGTGTGTGTTCCAATCACCGTTTGCTACGTCATGAGCAAGCCAATTTCAAGCAAGATAAAGCTTAATAACGTAACTTAATGATGGCGTCTTCAAGTTCAAATGTAGAAATAACGAATAAAGAGGAAATTCTCCCTTTCCTTACCAGAATCATCGCCGGCTGACCACACCAAAAGATCAACACACGAAGACAGGATATGAAATCTACATTGTAAATCATGCCTTGAGTGTTTGCTTTTCTGAATAGCACCCCTCTCTTTGATGAAAAGTTTCTTGATGAAGTGTTGTATGCGTTGTGTTGTCTCTTCAGGTAAATCTGAAGGGTAAAATGTATAATCTCATACGGTTAGCATGCCTTAGGTCAATGTTATGCACATGGTTATTATGTCGAAGGTCAATCTCATATGGTTAATATGTCAAAGGTAAACTAAATATGGTTAATATGCCAAAGGTCAATCTCATATGGTTAATATGCCGGAGATCAATTTCATATCGTTAAAATGTTGACGGTCAAATTAAAAATGTTTAATATGTTGAACTCAAATGTAAATCGAATGCAGTTAACAAGTAGAAGATCAGTGTGTTCATCTTAAAAGTCTAAAGCTACACGCTTGTATTAAAAGATTCTACAATTTGAATATGGGTAAGTCAAGATAAACTACACTTGACGACTTTAATCAAGGGGCTAAATGAAGACGTTTCATGCCTGCTGTACAATAAATTAGAATGCTTGATACTTCTACTGAAAATAATTTTAATTGGAAATTACTAAGTCATCAAATAACATCAAATAAAACTTTCGTTTTGAAAAATGAACAGAATATAAAAATACCCTGATTTCAACTTGTAAGTAGTAAAACTCAAGTCAGACAACAGTTCCATTATCGTAATAACGTACGTACCATTTCCGTTAACGCAAATATCCTTTAACATTGTCACCAAGGCATCCTTAATAACTTTTGGATAGTGATGATAAGGAAATTTTTCTGGCAGATTGTCAATCTGAAAGTAGAAATAGAAATAAGATCATATGGGTTAATCAACACGTTTGAAACCAGCTCTAATGAGACAGACCATCAAACTATTTGTATAGTGAACGATTTGAGCCCGGAAGTATATTTTGTAACATGTTTGAAAGACATAGATTGTCTTTCAAACATGTTACAAAACACCAACAATCTCTCTCATGTCCACGTCAGTGGAGTCATGAGAGAGATTGTTGGTGTTGGTATTGACTGACGTTTCGACACCATTAGAGTCAGTTATCTTCACAGTGAAAAACAGACAGAACATAGAACATAATGATTTCCCCAGTAATATTGTCGAAACGTCAGCCAAAACCAAAAAGAACAGTTCTTCCCAGGACTGCATTAACCTGGACGATCTACATCAATAAACATGTAACTTATCAATGATAAATGATGTGTTCTGATAGTTTCGATAGTTCTATGTTATGTGCACATTGTAACTTTGTACACAACTATCAAGTTGCAATATCCCAAGGTCATGTCAAAAAATGTACCTGATTTAACTCAGCGAGGATTTTATCCAGTTCAACAAGACTGACTGATAAAAGCAGTTTTTCGATGTCTTTGAATATCGTCTCCAGTTGACTTGGTGACACAATTGTGAAAAATACATTATTCGCTGTTTCAGAAACTCCATCATTTTCATCGCCAGTTAATTTTGCATCTTTTGCCCAATCAATTTTTGAATGCAAGATATTTTTTTTGTATTGCTTGTGACATAGAAGTTGAGAGTTGGAAAGTACTATGTTTGTTGCATTTGAAGATATGGCTTGACATACGCCAAGAAGAATTGGAATTGCAGCCTTGCAAATATGTGCTAGAATTTAAACATGAACAAATTACAGACTGTGTTCTAAGGAGAGCACATATATAAAAATGAATGATTGGACTATACTCCAGAAATGAAAAAAGCACAACGCATCGACTAAGTATGTGAGTAAATGCCCAAAGATAAAGTATGAAATGTCACAGTACGAGATGATGAATGGATCTCTTTATGACATTTTACAATTAATACGGCAATTTTTTAACAAATCAGCAGATGGCCAATTCTACAATTCTACAATTTCATTAGCTATAACAGGGGAAAAGTTTTTTTTAACATTAGCCAATTTTCACTACTAACAATAATCTATAGGAATTTCCCAGAATAAAACGAATAAAAAATTTTTGATTATTTTGTTTGTCGCCATTGTTAAATCTGACTACTCAATTCAAGATGACGGTTGCCTTTGGCAAAAATGAAATAAAAACGTTAATGTTTAGGTCAAATGTGATGAAAAAATATTTTCCAAAAGTGTGAAGATGTCAATCATTCAGAGACCTTAGGTTCTTTTTGAGAACTCAAGAAAATGTATTTCAAACGATTTGTTTTTTACTGATGAAAACTACAGAAGTGAAAGACAACTGTATGAAAATGGTGAGAAAATAAAGCTTCGTTTCAGGTCTAGGAAGTTATAAATTTTCTTTAACATTGCTTTCTTGGTCTTTATAAGGAACTATTGGACCACTTTTTTGGTCGATAATTTCTCCATAATGACCCAGTGATTGCTTAATAAGAGCTTATTCATTTACTATGCAGGTGGTTGAAAATGATCATATTCATACCTTTTTCAACATCTGTTTTGTCTTCAATATCACAACATGTTTGAATAAGCTCTTTGAATAAATGTATAAGTGCCAATATAATATCATTGGATCCATTTGGGCCTTCCAAACTTGCTATCTTCAGAAGTAGCAATACAAAATGATAGGAGAATTCTTCAGCAAGACAACCTTTAGAAATTCTTCCCAATTCACTTGCTTCATTAAACTTTATTGAAGGTAAAGACTTCAAAAGATTTAAGAGTAAAGGTAGTATCCTATCTTTATGTTGAAGTTTTGATTCAATAAGAAATATTTGAACAGCCAGAACTGCATCCAATTGTCGCTTTTCAAGTATGACAGTCGTTGATGATGCATTTGCTGACACTTTAGGATAAAGACGTGCCAATTTTCTGACCTATTATCCAATACGTAAAAATTATTGCTAAGAGAAACATTAGGAAAATAGTAATATATTAATTTCTCACCAAGCTCATGCTGAGTTAAGTCAAATTGTAAACAGTCAAACAAGGTAGTGAACTGGAAAGAGAACGCCACAACGGTGATTTTGGTGTTTTTATGTTGAAGGGAAAAACTTTGACGGGATTTAACTCACAGACACGAAATTCAAATGATTCAATTCACATTTAAAATAATCAGAACAAGAAGACTTTAGAATAAGCAAAATTCCGAACAATCAGAAGAATGATGTCCACGAATGTCAAATGTCATTTTCCGGAATTTGTTTTATTTTATTTTTGTACATACAGTGAGAGTCACAAATAACACAATTTGAGCGTTACATGTGTATTCTAAAATACAGTTAGAATGTTCAATTATAAAACAAACCTTCTCCCAAGGCACAGGGTTTAGACCTCCGAGAGACCTTGCCAAACAACCAAGACTAGATGTGGTTGGTAAACATAAGAATTCTGCCATGTTGATTGAATGTGCAATGTAAAAAAGATTTGAGTCAGCGGTTATAAACAGAGAGGGAAAGAGAGGGGAAATGGGGAATGGGTATAAATTTCCTTGAAAATTGTGAGAAGTAAATAAGTTAATGGCTAAAGCTTTTGTTTTGGTCAAAATTGTATTTATTTTAAGTTTTGTTGTTCTGCCTAATTTTAGTTTTTTTCATTTCAAGAGATACAGTTTTCGAAGGAAGGGTGGTAATGTAAGTTTTTCATTTGTTAATTAATTTTGCTTTTTGAATATCACAAGGTGGTTCAGTTCAGTGGTTGTCTGGTTGAGGAAGTTTATCAAAGACTATATATTTGTGTTCCAAACTGGAGATTTGGTTAACTGCACACCTGAGATTTAAATTTTGCTTGTATGAATCCTAGTTCTCTCATAATTGTGTGCCACTTTCCAGTTTGGTTCATGACTCATTGTGCAATTGTGAGAGATGGTTACATTTGGTTTACAGGAATGAAACCTTTTTATTAATGAAAATTTTAAAAGTTGCTCATGTATAGTATTCAAAGATTTGCTGGCTAATTTTTTGGGTAGGAGAGACGTTACCGCTCACAAGAAGAGAATTGCAAACAAAATGAAAGGTGTCAATCATTGCATGGACTAGATAGAGAGAAATGTGTCAAAATTTGTATCTCTGAATCATGTTATGAGGAGCTTTATTCTTGGAATGAGGTATATGGATATATTTAAATTGTACATTGACAAGTGATTATATATGCATGGGCATTTTGTTTTCAATAATCACCACACTTAAAAAACCTAGACACCAGAAAAACATCAAAAATTTGTGAGATAATATTAGCCCTCTTTAATACAGATAGTTGTCTCAAAACATTCAATATCAAAGTGATTGCACACTGTCCAATTCATATTCTCATATTGAAAAGAAATGTATCTCACAGTTTTTTTATAAATTTTCAGTTAGAAGAAGGTGAAATCGATGTTCGCCTGACATCATTTAAAGGATGTGTTGTGAAGCAAATCAAAGAGAATGAAATGAGACAGAGAAGAAAGGAACAATTGTGAAACAAATTGTTTTGACAGTTTGTCTTCCCTTCGATATGAGATACAGTTGTAAGACATTTCGTCAATAATCTCAACTTTTCTCACTTGCATGTTTGAACAAGCAGTAAAAATCACAACATTCATAAGTTCAAGATAATAACTGTTACATTTTTGAACTGTTACAATCTTAGAAGCTCAACAATTGTAATATATTCATCTCTGTTATCATACTTACATATGGGATGTACAGTGGTGAACCTGTTTATGAAATTTATTAAAAAATAAACTTGAGAGCATGAATATCTTTCCTTTTTATCAACAATATTAAAGTTATTGTTTTACTGACAAAGGTTGCGTTGAACTAGGCTCAACTCTTCGTTTCTTACTTCTATCAGTTGTGGACTGTGGTCTTCTTCCAGTTGTGTCTCTCTGTGGTGCACTAGATGGATTCTGTGCGTAACGCGTAACAGTGGATACTCCATCAACAAACTTAGTTTTGAACAAAACATTGGCGTTGTTGAACATGCCATCCTTAAGGGAGACGACAATAAACTGTGAATGTTTAAAGTGGGTTTTCAACATTTGACCAATATTCTGTGTATGCGAAAGATCCAATGCAGCGTCAACCTCGTCCAAGATATAAAGAGGTGCAGGCTTAAACAGTAACATCGCCAGAATCAAAGACAAAGCAACCAACGATCTAGTGTTACAGAAGAAATAATAGTATAGAATAGTAGGTTTTACAATTATAGCCATCATAAGTACAGGCTTTGATCGTAACCATTGCTTTTCCATGTATTACAGAAGTTTCATTCCAGTGGCGTAACTAACTTCAATAAATACTAGGGTGGGGGAAGCAATATTCATGTATGTATGTCATAATCCGCAGAAAAAATAGATTTCAAAAGAACTTAATAGCTGCTGCAAAAATATGCGTATATGAATATTCCCCCCAATTATCAAGCTGGCCACGCCACCGTTTCTTTCTTACCTTTGCCCACCACTTAGTTCTCCTAAACTTTCTTTCCAGACTGACCCGAATGCGACCTTTACTTCCAAGCCATCGAGCACAGTTTGACCCTCAGGTGGAGCAAGCTTTGCAGACGTACCCGGGAGGAGTGTGGAGAATATAGAACCGAAGTCCTGAGAAGCAAATTTTCTCTTTTTATAAAAACGACTAAACTGGAAAATCAGATAAGAAAGGAACTTACCAAGTTTACTTTTTCAAAAGCTTTTTTCAATGCTTCGTTTTTCTTCTCGTCAAGTTCAGCAATAACTTGTTCAATCTTTGCTTTATCGTTCTCTACAATTCCTTTCTTCTTCATGAGGTCGTTGTACTAATACGGGCAACAAATTGAGTTTGGATGACCATTGAATTACGAATCAATGGATGAGACTGTTTCCAAACGCAAACGCACTACGCATGTGTATACATGATTCGCAGCAGATTTTGTGAGTATTTAGATTTAAACGTCAGATGGAAAAACTACTGCAATTCTATCATATCTTAGTGCGTAGCTGTAATCAGTGACCTAGCATGTCTGCAAATTGGTCGTGCTATGTAAATTAAAGATCATTCGTATAATTTACTTTCTATAGAAATCTATAGTTTCTGCAGTGATCCAGCACCGAAATATTTACATAGCCAACGATCAAACATGTGGGCCGTCAAAGACACAATTATCAAGATTAATGGTTAGCCACAAATTGTGCTAGTGAAGTAATTTTACCTTTTCTTCAGCCTTGCCCAGCATATTCATTGCTCTCATGTTGACGTTCTTGCTAAGTTTATCTTTAGTTTCCTGTAATTTCGCTAATCGTCTTGATACTTCTGACATATCATGAGCTGTAAAGTCGTACGCTGTATTTGGTTGACCAAAAAACTGTCGTTCTGAAACAATCCACTCGTGTTCGGCGATCATTCTCTTAACCTGGAAAATATGAAATCGTTTATTTCTTTTTCTACAGTAATCAGATTTTATGAAATGGTCTTTCAAAATAAAAACCTTATTTTCTGCATCTTTGCTATCTTGTTGAAACTTCACCATTTTATGCTCCATTTCCTTGACTTTGATCGCATTTTCATTATTTTCATTTTCCATTTCCTTCCTACTTGATATTTTTGTATTTATGTCCTGTTATAAAAGCCAATGTTGAATTAAGAAAAACTTTCAGCCACATTCAATAAAATTCACAATCGAAGATATAACATACAAAATGACAACTTGAACGAAAATTCCCAAAGAAATGATCGACAAACAAAAAACCAGACTAGCCAGATGTTTCTCAACACTTCTCAAGAAATAATTTCAAAAACCGTCACATGACATTATAAGAAATTAGTAGGATAGCTACTATGGCAAATGTACAGCCGTTATCATCTTTATCCATAAAAAAAGTAGAGTATCTGAGCAGAGACTGTGTACCTTATTACAAGCTTGTAACGTTTTCTTCTGTTCTTTCAGGCATTCTTCAGCCTCTTTACATGATTGCTAAACACCAAAAGTTGAAACTCAATATTTTACAAATTACAATGTATTTCACATTCATTTTCAACAAACCTTGGAATTTTCAGCAATCGTTAACAGCCCCTCAATTTTCTTTTCCAACGCGTTAATAACTTCATCAGCACTACCAACCTAATAAATTTATTACGAGAGTTATTTACTCTGCCCATATGAACAATACATGAAGTACTTCACATGTTTGTAACAGATGTGGATTGTCCACGTTAGTAGATTTAAACGCTACTCTCGGGTTCAAACCATTAACTTTACATGAATTACTGAGGCAATAGTTTCTTAAATACAAATGAAAGTGTTGATGATGAGCTTCACTTGAGCAAAAGGAAAATTCTTATCTTTATCAGATAAGAATGTCAACGTCAAACTATGATGGTCTGGCCATTATGAGGTAAAATACGTATGCATGAGAAATATAGGGACGGATCCACGATGTAGAAGGAAAGAAATATTCGATTTGAACCGTTATTTGCTTTAGGAAAAAGATGATTGATGTAACAAACCTGCTGTTCAATGCTTTGTAATTCAGTTTTAATTTCACCAATTTCCAGCTTTAGTTCCTCAACTTTCTTAAGTGAAACATATTAACCATTTGTCAACCATAAAATCTAACATACCATTTCGTACAGTTTATTTTTGGAGTGGTCCTAAACACCTTAACTCAGTTGTGACGTATCTTTTGTTAGGACATGAAACTCATTAGAGAAACGTAATTAAACTATGGGCTTATAAATTCACATGTAAGGTCAATAGCGTGGCCAGGCCAACTTTTTACGATCGCTGTGAAAAGATTTCGGTTGTTTACTGACGGTTAAAAGAAAAGATTTTAAGACATATAAACGATGTCAACGATTCAATATTTACATATGTACCAAGAGTATATCTGCAGACTGGCTACACTATTAAAAAGAGTTGACCTTTTTACCTGTTCTTTATCCTTCATTTCTTTAGTAGATTCTTCAGATTTTTTCTTTCTGTCATTCAAATCTCTTTCAGCAATCTTTAGCTCTTTTTCACGATGTGTTTTTGCCTCCTATTGATTGCAAACAAGACAACAAAATACAACTCTGAAAACGTAGCATGATCATCTTTATTAATTATACAAAAAAAAAGATGACTCAAAATACCTTCATCTTTTTTTCTATATCTTTGCTCTTTTCGGTCGCAGATTTGATGGTCTTTTTTGCGTTATTCTCTATTTCTATTTGCTCCTCTACAAATGAAAAGGCAAGTATAAAATAAAAACAAATATAAATTACGTAAAGTAACCATTGACTCAATTCGGCTACAATAACATAAACAGACAAGAAAAAACAAACCGACAATTTTCTGTAAAGAATCAATTTCTTCGAGTTGATGATGATGTGAGCTTTGCTTGAGTTTGGCTTCGATCAATTCAGCCTCCTTGATCTTTAAATCGTACTGTTGCTTCAATTGCTGGAATCTAACACAAAAAAGTTAAGAAGGCGACTGTCTCCGTTTTTCGATTTGAAGTTTGAAACAAATATCTTAAATTTGAGCGGGGTAACGTTCGTATTTCTTTTAGACTAGCATGTGTAGAACGATGAGACACGAGCAGTCAAACTCAAAACAGCATTGATTGTTTTGAAGAATCAATTCTACAATCAGGTCAATGATTGGATTTGCATTTAACAGTAACTGGACAGGGCTAGGGGTGGGAAGTTTTAAAACCAAGAGACGATGCAAAATTTCTTACTTTCCAGCTATATCTTTGCATCCTTCGAGATTTTTCATTATTTCATGCAGTTCCTCGGATTTGGTAGAGAACGCATGAACTGCCTCATTGAGCTCTTGAAGCTTCGCCAAAATTGAAGGGTTTTTTGAACGAGAACCTAATGGAAACACCAACACAAAAGGCAATAAAACACGTAAAGTAAACGTCCAAAAATGACCATAACAATTACTCCATTGAATTCAACGACTCATCTACGTATAATAATGCTGTTTGATCCTCAGTTTGCAAAGCAAAAAAAGCACAAAACAAATAGGGAAATTAAAATTTCTTTCAGTGTGACATAAATTTGCTCAGTCGACTGAACGCGGTTTTGCATATCATTTAATTCATCGTGAAACACACATGACGATCCCTATGCATACCATACAGATAACTAATTACATCCATCCACCATCTAATATACAGCCAAAAGTCAAAGATGTATATTCTTACCACCAGTTAAAGTACCCGCAGGATCAAAATTATCTCCATCCAAGGTGACACATCGAGTTCGCACATCCGAATTGAATGTTACCTAGATAAAAAATCAAACCCTGATTGTTCTAAAACAAAGCTGCTTTCAAATAGAATCGTCGTGCAAATAAAAAATTTTCGAAAAAAAATCCGTCCACAATAAGTTTTAAACTGGTAAACCATTTGCTAAAGATTATATTGTTCAATGAACATTGTCGATTTAAGCATTGAATCCGGTCTGAATGATCTTTGTACAAGCTTGCTGAAGACGACTTTCTTATCATTTTAAACTACGATGCTTGACAACGAACTTTAATTTGTTCATTTCAAAACGAGTAAAGACATCAATGAAGTTAAAAATATAAAAAACGAGTCGTGGAATCGCTTGGCGCGTGTCACAAGTTAAGTAAGTAAACATGTATGCAATAAGTTCCATGTCATGTTAATAAGCGAAAAAAAAAATACCATCTTCGCATTATCCTGAGTGTCACAAACAAAGCTAGCACCAAAAACGTATGACATTGCAGCTTCGACGTCTTTTTCGTAACCAACCAACGACAAAGCAAGATTCACATTTTTCTCACCCACCTACGTAAGAAAATTTAAGTGAAATCGACCTCAATCAAATGAAATCATTCAAATTTTTCATGGAAACCATGACTTTTAACATAATAGACTTCTCCGACATCTACAAGTTTCCTATAAAAGATGAGCATATCGCGCTTAAATTGACAAACTACCAATCACTTACACATCATAATTAGCTACAATTTTACTAGACGATGTTATATTATCAGTGTCAGCCAGAATTTCGTGTCAAGGGGGGGGGGGGCAGTTAAGATGGAAGTGGGGCCACGACTGTCGTTTAAGCAATGTAATGTAAATAAATTATAATTTTCGAGAGAGGCAATGAAATTCGCCAGGCGAGGGGGGGAGGGCAGCTGGCTACATCCCTGGCGAACATTATGCTTTTTTCACAGTTAACAAATCACGTACAGTAGCAACTATACTAACCAAAGACTTGGCCTTCTTTATAGTGTCTGAATTGATTTTCCTGCTAGCAATCTTGTTTAGTGGTATGATAGTGTATCGTCTCTTGAGTTGACCTTTTTGAAGCAATTTCTTTCCCGTATCTTGAGTATCCACAACAACATTATACAACTAAAATATAAACATGGAATATTACTCCAGCAAGTAATATGTGACTGGCAATATTCCTGGCTATTTTTCCTCTTACATAAAAAATCTTTGTGCAAATGACCTCAAATGTGAAACGCTGACCTATGGGATGTACATGTATCCCTTTTCTGCCTAGTCTTGTGAAGACATTGTCTCATATACTTGAACCGACAAATAGACACACATGTTTTCTTCTGAACGAACAGACAACGACATTAAACTGCAAAATAACTATCACCTTATTTCCAGCAGCGACTTCAAGAGCGGTGGCAGTTGAAACATTCTTCACTGTGATCAACTGCGCAATCAAACCTTTTACCTAAACATATATCCTGAAATTGATTATCCAATTTCTGATAATTCTCTCTATAATAAAACTCAAACATTTCTACGTATACATGTTTGTACAAGTAGATAGTCGAGGATAGCAGATTCCTGAAGAGTGTTAGTGCTGTTGTTGACTGACGTTTCGACAACCTTAGCCGGAAGTCATCTTCAAAGTGAAGTGTACATTGTATCATACATTTGTAGACATGTATAAAAATATACAGCGCTTTGTTCCTGAAGTACGTTGCTACAATTTATGAAATTTGGTGGCACACCTAATGTATGTTTGTAAATGTCGATGGTGCAGGTTGGTATAGTCCTGAGAAGGATTGTTTTTGTTGTTGTTGACTGACGTTTCGACAACCTTAGCGGTAGTCATCTTCAGAGTCAAAATGGACGATCGACATTTACAAACATGTAACGATACTTCCGGGTTCAAACCATTTACTTTACACGTAATGTATATTAGAAATTTTATATTTCAGACAGACACGCACAATAGGAAAATTAAGCCAAGATCTACATAAAATTACAAGTATATCTGTACCTTTTTACGGTCAAAATCTGGTTCAGGATCTGTATATTGAAACTGCAAATTCGGAAACCTGTGAGTTAAAGAAAAAATATGAAGTTTTAAACAAAAAATGACACATTTCAAATACAGTTTTATGGGTTTGAGAAAGCCAAATATGTCCTTGCCAACGTCTCATGTCACAACTCGTACCGGGCCTCAAGTAACTCGCTTTTCGTGCGCAACTCAGCGACTTCAGCTTCAAGTTCCCGTCTATATGGAAATAAGACAGGAAAAGCACCAATAGTATTTGTTTATACCCTCGAAGAATCTGCTCTCTTACACTGTAATACAAATATATGAAAGTAATTGAAGCAAGATATACGTCATACATTAATAGCAAAACAATATTAGATAAAAATGAAACAAAACCATACTTTTTCTGTACCAGGCTTTCCTCTAACCCATCTTCATAATTCAACTTTTCGATTTCAATCTGCAATACACGGGTAAAAAGTAAAGAGTATACTAGTACATGTTCAACAAAAGGATAGAAGGTTTTTTTTGCGTAAGCTACTCAAACATACCTCGAGTTTTTTGGCATTTTTTTGGATGCTCTCAAACAGAACTTTATCTTTGCTGTAATCTTTTTCAGTTTTCTTTAGTTCCCCTAGTTTCTTCTTCAATTCTTCTTGGGCATGTTTCACTCTGAAAAAAAATCACCGAGACATTTACCTAACGCCTGAACATACAATCATCCATTCTCGCTTCATCACAACAAGCATACTTCATTTCTGCTTGCTTCATTTCAGTTTCGGCATTACTGATGTCGTTTTTGCAACCTAAAAACGTAACCTCATAAAATCACTATTGTTAAGTCAATGTAAAGGAAAGTGAAAGTGAGTATACGTATGTAATACCGAGAAGTTGATCTGCTAAAGTTTTGTCTTCACCATCGTCATTGCTCGAAAGTCCAGCTGACACGGCATGAAAATGATCTTGAGCACTTTGCACACTTTTTGCATCTTTTCACTTCGCGTTTTTAGTTCCGCTAAAATGCCAGACATCTTTTGAAATTCTGCCTCTTTTTGTGTCAATTGATTTTGGTCCTAAAAAAAGAATGTTGTGTGATATGTTTAGTACGTACAGTATATCAAGGTGTAGCTATACACATACACTCGCCATAAAAATCTGACAGTCGTAAAATCACAGGTTTTACTTCAGATTGTCAAAAAAATATCCATAAAAAGACGTGTTGATAAATGCACATTTATAAAGTACTATACTCACATCAGTAAGACTTTTGACTAAGGATTTTTTCTTCTTGTTTTCTGCTTCAAGTTCACTTTTCGCATGTTTCACATCGGAATTAGCTTTAACATCAGCCTAAATAAAAATTGAAGAATCAAAACCAAAGGTCTAGTTGAGATCGCTTGTTTTAAGATTTATGCAACTTTAAATTTCGTTAAATTAATGACACAATTCTTAAAACTGTATTGCTAGTTATACGTACGACTATACGTATAATTTATCCTTCATAAACGTCAGGATGCCCTTACGATAAGTCAGCATAGCGTTAAGCCCATTAAGCCACCATCATGCTAGACTTTCAAGGTTAAGCTACCGTAGAGTTAAGCTGACCAGTGGCTTAAAGTTAACCATTTCGCTACGCGAAGGAAACGTTAAGCTACACGTTAAACTACAAAAACGTTAAGCCACAAAAGATTAGGCCACCACATAACTATTCTCTACTTTTACCAACATTATCTCAATATTCTCTACTTTTCCAACGTTTCCTCACTATTCTCAACTTAGCCTCAGTATTCTCTATGAGAGGCAGCACAATAGCCAGGTTACCGTACAGGTTAGAATCATATAACGCTAACAAATTAGGCAATCGTAACGTTAAGTCTGCACAATGTGTACCACAGCAACAAATCACGATAATGTCATGCTTTCCTGACATTAGATCACCACTGTATTAGGTATATATGTTTTTATGCATACGTTGGCATATTGTAAAAGAATACTACACCTTTGATAATTCATTTGCTTTTTCTTCAAGTTGTTTTATAGCTTCACTAGACTCCTGATAAATTACAACAAGCCATGAGATATATAATTAACAAGTCCAGATTATAGCAAGGGAACTAAGGTACCTTATCTCTTCTTTTTTCCAGTTCTACTATTTCTTTATTGAGGTTTTTTATATGTTTATCAATCTAAAGGTTAAAAATACTTTTGACTCAATAATTTAAATAAACAATCCTTGGATATCCAAATTCTAAGATGGCATTTCACATGAAGGTATTTATGAAGTTATTTAAGAAGGATGAAATCTTCTTGTGATACCTCAACAGACTTCTCTTTGAGACACTTAATTGTATTGGTCATTTTCTCATAATCAGAAACCGACGTTTTCTGCAGTTTCTATAAAATACAATGTTCTAACCAAACAACTTTTACAAGTTATAGTCAGTGTGCGAATTAACGGTGTGCAATGTGCAATTTGCACATCGTTTTAGATAAAATGAAAACAATTGCATATCACTTTTTCAAACGATGTGCAAAAATCAGCGGTTTTAACGAAAAACACTGTCGTAAATCATATAAATTTGTTCACGTTTGAAAATATTAATTTAGCAATTAGCGCTATATAATAATTAACGTAATATCGATTTGATTATGCCTCTAAAGAAACACTTTTGTCAAAAAAATTGCACATCGTTTTTTCTGAACTAATTCGCACACTGGTTATAGTTAATAGCATTTGTACTGTTAATATTTTTAATTTATGGTAGTTAGGTTACTTAGGTATAGAGAATAATATAGTATGATCACAAAATTTACCTCTGCTTGTACATACTGATAGACAATGTACAATCGGGAAAAATGTTCAACCTCTCTCAATGTTTTTTGATATTCCAAATAAGATGACCGCTCCTATATACAAAACCAAAAATATCAGAAACCAACAGAAAAGACAATATTGCATAAATGAGTAGAAAATATACCTGAAAAAGGAGCTAGTGGCAAAGTAAAAGACGATATACACAAAATTGATACGCATGAACATGTACAAAAATTAAATTACATAGTCAGGTATGTGTTGTGAAGAAAAAGAAGGGGTGAAAACTTTAATTATATGTGAAAGTTTTAATGTGATACATTTAGACCACACATTTTCTCAAGCAATACAAGGGATAATTTGTTTTTAATTATTTTCAAACATGTTTCAAATCATTGGTACCTCTTTTAATTTTCTTAGAGTTGGAGTAATTTCTTCATTCAAAATCTATGATATAAATAAGTTGTTTTACAACAAAGGTGGCTATTAGTTATAGGTTCAGAACAAACCCACTCTGAATAGAATTAGAAAGAGTTGTTGGTCAAAACAAATTCCTTACCGTCTCAATTTCTTTCAGTTTTGTTTCCTTCTTCACAATAGTTTTTTGAGCAGAGAGTTTTTTGCTTTCGTACATGCGAGTACCAGCTGCTTCCTCAATCATTGAGAGAATCTGATGGCCATAAATCAAATACATCAAGACAAGAAAATAGCTCAGTATGAAATACAATGTTACCTCAGGTGGTTTCATGTTCAACACTTTAGTGATTCTCCCCTAATTGAAAACAAATAAACCTTGTTTGCAAGCAATACAATGCCATCATACATATTCCATTCATTAACTTGTTATCACTTAAATAAAATTGAGCAACTGCAAGATGTTTTTACTTCAAACGTTTTGTTTTCCATACTTGCATTATAAGAAAATGTGGATTGTTCACATTAAGCTGCACAGAACGAAATAAGTCCTGGACTCTAGTATTGTTGGCATTACATCCATTGATGAGATACTTATTTCTGCCACCAATAACAACCTAGAAAAGATAAATTTCTATTAAACCATAGGAATAATACTAAATTTTGATGATAACAAATGCAAAGTGTTTGTGATAACTACTAATATCGACATTAGTCTTGTCATATGACACAACCACAGTTTAGAAACAGAGTAGTTCCACTTTTGTGTAGTGCCTTTTATGCATGTGATTAGCATAGCAGCAGCCAGTCAATTGCTTTTTGGCCAATAGGAGGGCAAAGATGGCTAGCTGCAGCCAGTAAGCTAATTAAATATACAGCACCAAGTTGTGCAGTGAGTGAGACTGCTGTATGTTTCTATACTGTGACAAAATACAACATTATAGGATATTCATTCATCAAAGTCATGATATTTTGCAAGTATGTATAAAACATAGCAAGCATGATTCCCTGCTACCAACACCAGTCTTCTATGACTGTAGTACCTGTCTTGATACAATTATTTCCTCAAAAGTTTCATATCCAACTGGACTTTGTTTTTTATCCAAGTTATCAAATGTTATTGTTACAGTAGCCTTGCTGATCCCTGCCTGACCACCTTTGTAGACCAATTCTTGGAGGTTGCTAACACGAACCTAAAAGTAGCAGAGAATAGGTTAAAAAGGTTTTCTTGTTGTCTTAATCCGCTGTTGTGAAAATTTATTTTAAAATAAGCACGAATTCAGTCTAAATTATTCTGGCTTGAAATCATAATAGCTTTTTTAACATACATCGTTGATCTTTTATTCAATAGTAAATATAGCATTTAACTTGGATTTAATACCTGTTGCAGATTTGAAATACCAAGCAAAAAGCAAATAGAATCAAGAACATTTGACTTGCCACTACCGTTTAAACCAGTGATGGCATTGAATTGTGGATCAAAGCCATTGACCTCGGTTCGCTGAGCGTAGGACTTGAAGCCGTCTATGATTATTTGCTTAATATACATCGCAATGACTTTCAGTGAGTAAATATTAAAATAAAACCAGATCTTCGAAAGTATTTTCTTTCTTGAGAAAACGACAGATGTAAATTTGGCGCGCCAATTTGTATGTTTCAAAGCATTACTTCATGTTACACGCAGCAACACAAAGAAAATTAAGAGAGTTTTCGGTGATCGATCCAGTTTCTACATTCACTTCCATGAAAAAGTTATACCAACAGTCAACAGGCTGTCAATTGTAGTATCTTCCCCTTTGCACTATAAAATACGCTAAATTCTCTTCTGCATGCTTTCTATCCAAAACACTCGAAAATTATGAAGTGTTTTAGTTAGAAAGCAAGCAATTCAAACAGTCATCTCATAAGTATTTTAATGTATTATTATAGAATACATCTTTATTATCAACATCATTGTCAACATCATTGCTGTCATCTTTATCAAGTCAATGAATAGTATTTGGACAGTATTAAATTAGTAAATTATGCAGTTGTCAGAACAGTGAGTGAAGGGATTGCTTTTCATGTAAATAATATGCAGTTGACAAACTAAATATAAATAAATTTAAATGATCAGTATTTTATTATACTTCTAGGATTATTTGCATTATTTGGACAATCTATACATATGACAGTTTTTTTTTGTTGAATTCCATTTTGTTCGAAAAATGAAGCAAAAAGATCCTAGCAACCACAGCCTGAAGACTCATCTTTTGATGGCTTTTCCTTCAAATTAGTTACTCCTGGTTTGGATCCACCAATTCTGGTTGGATCACTATCCAGAGTCTCTGCCATTTTCTCACAGATGATATCCACCAATCGTTCAAAAACTTCTTTGACATTAATGTTGTCCTTTGCACTAGTCTCAAAGAACTCCAAACTAAGTTGATCAGCAAGCTCCATCCCACGTTCCTTTGTAACAACTCTCTCATCCTTCATATCACATTTATTACCAACAAGAATAACTTGAGCATTGTCCCATGAGTATGTCTTAATTTGAGTTGACCTGTGAAAGTCAGATCAATAGTTTGTCAAAAGATGGTAACTAATGCCATGTGTCAAAATAACCACAAATTATGAATGCATTACAAGAAAAACATTTGCACATGAGCCGTTGGTGGCAATGTATGATATATCATGATTATTTTGAATGAATAATAAAACAAAAATATTCAAATCTAACTATATGAGTAGTACATCCAAACTGTTTTCAAACATACGTATATAACAATGATAAAAATGATACATAATATAAATCCTAGGATTTATATTATGTATAATCTCTGATGATGGCTTTGGAATGATACAAATGATGCAACATCTTTCGACATTATGGCATAACAATCGTATCTCATGAATAAATCAATTCTATTTGGTTTCGTATTCTATTCTATTTGGAGGCATTCTAACAAAAATTGTCATATTGTTTAAATATATCAACCCCAATCAACCCCAATTGAACTATAAACGAAGAGTGGGAGAAAACTCATTTACTTATATCTAAGCAATAACCACCACTAGATAATATAACCACCACTAGATTGACAACATACCATTTGAAATGTAATAGTATATAATCGCGAATACTTGGTATCGTATCTTCATATTAGTTTCAGGAGAGAAATTAAAATTAAATCTATGTGAATGTGATTCGCAAAAAGGACTACGGAAGGAGTGGTCACAGCTATAATGAATTTGCATATACTTTTTACAATTATAAAATTCAAAAGCGATTAGGTTTTTTGCGCCCAAAGGAAAATCTTTGGAATGGTAATTTCAGTGTTGTGTTGACAAAGAATGATAAAAAATCATGAATGGAATCAAATTTTCACAGATAATGTAAAAATACACGGTCGATAGTCACTTTAGCGTTAAAATATTTTCCGACTGAAGTTAAGATGCATGCTGACCAACGCAACAACAACGAGTTTAAAGATTTCGTGATCGGTTTATATAGCTATTTGAGAATTTAAGCAAAGCCAGGATAATGTATGAACTTACCAGTCTTGAACGTCTTGGAATGATTCTTCATTTGTAATATCATACAATAGAATAAAACCCATGGCCCCACGATAATACGCTGTAGTTATCGTTCGATACCTTTCTTGACCAGCTAGAAATTAGTAAGAAAAAAGAATTCAAACAATTCGTCTATATATTGCTTCCTTATATTATACGCCTTGCGAATTATATTAGCATACCTGTATCCCATATTTGAAGCTTTACACGTTTATCATTTCGAAATACTGTCTTGACTTTGAAGTCTATTCCAACTGTAGAGACGAAAGCTGAAGTGAAAGAGTCGTCAGCGTAGCGAAATAACAACGACGTCTTTCCAGTCGCCGAATTTCCAATAATAAGCAATTTAAACATATAGTCAAAGTTTTGATCGGCTGCATCTCTTTGCCAAGTTTTGTCATCAGCGGACGCCATTGCTGTGACAGTTCAACAAACAAGACAAATCCACGTATAATAGTACAAGTGTTTACTCTTTTGCATATGTTGTAAAAATTATATCAAATCAGCATTCATGAATTCCTAATTCAATGCCATCCACCAATCAGTAAGTAGAATAACTTGATTTGTTCCATTTCTTCGTTCGAAGGATTCTTTCTCTGCTTCACTCAATGCAAGCAGAACGACGAAATCTTGCTCGTTGATTTGAAGACAAACTGCCGGTATTTGTTTGCGCACTAGTCTTTCGAACAAATATTGTAACAGTTTATTATGCGATCAAGTAAAATACAAAATGTTGTTTTGTAGAATACTACGATTACGAATGTAGTGTTGTAGACTATCGATTTAAAAAATAATAGTATCTAAGTGATCTAAGTGACAATCGTAAATAATCACAACAGTAGTAGCCTGTTGCTGTTGTCACGGTTTCAAAACCCCCTCTTAGGTTTTGTTTCGTGATATAAAGTTAAATCAACATTCCAAAGAGCTTGTGCTTGATTAAAAATTGTAAAAAAAATGGTTGAAAAAAGATAACCTGTTTTTCATGTTTCACAAATTTTCTTCACAGATCTTGCCCACAATACATTTCTTGTTTACATCCGGCTTGGAAGATGATCACAAAAGGTGCGGTTATATTACAATTTAATTAAGATTAACCAAACTAAATTTGATTAATCAGAATAATGAAGACAAACTGGGATTCGTATTTGCATGTTATGCCGTATTAACTTTCTTTGAAATCAATGTTATTTGATGGATAATGACATGCATGTATGAATTTTTGCTTCCCAATCATAGAGATAGCTACGCCACTGATAAGAGGTATCGTTTACAAGTTCTACCTATGAAAATTGACCCAACCATCCTTAAGTAGGACCAGGAAAATATTTTCGTTGCATATTTTTTCAACTAAAAAGACAAGTTTGACTTCAGTGAGAACTAACATAAAAAGTACATAAAGTAAAGTACTTCAGTAATTTCCACCCAGAAAATTTGACCCTATACAAAGCTAAGTAAATAGTCTTTGACGTACCTACAAATACTGACCATCAAGAGCTACATTGAAACAAGATTTTTGATAAAACACCAGGATATGTAAAATAATGAAAAATGAAGTTGTAAAAGAACGAATGTAAAAACAAGAAGAGAAGGAGCATAGAAGACAAATTGTGCGGAAATGCAACAACTTAATTAAATATACCATCTAATTTAAGTTTGTACACGTCGAAACTTGCTTCAGTGCCAAACAACACACGACAAAACATTTTTAGCGATGGAATTTATTTTTAAATGTAAAAAATACTCTCGAATGGTACGAAGTATTTGAATGAATAGGAAGTGAACTGGGAATTTCTACTTAAATCCAGTGATCATAAATAATGTTTCTGAAATTATTTCTAAAGGTATCTTTTATTCGCCCAGGCCACAACTATCCCAAAGGCCGAAGCTTAGACTTTCATCTGGCTTGTTGTTAAGACGTTGATATACATGGCTTCGCGAAAGTCACTCGTCTAAGTCGTCTTCATAGCTCTCAAGAGGTGGACAAGAGCACATCAAATGTGTATCCCCATGCTTATCGTCCACCCGAGATACAGTTGGCCAAAATTTGTTTGTACTATTTATCCAGGGCTTCAATAAAAATTTTCACGAGAATATTAAAAGATTAATTAGTGTGAGGGACAACATCACATTTCAATACAACCACTACTTACAGCAGGGTAAACAGCTTGCTTACGCGAATATGATTTATCCCACTTTTCAGCAGTTAGAACAAGTTGAGTATGGGGAGCATTCTAAAAACACAAGAGAAAATATTTTAAGTCTCGGGTTACAAACACTACGCGTGGATACGCGACTGAACTTATACAACAAGTATTTGGACATACTTTCATGCTGGTAAAGGTAACAATTAAATACGTGCCGTACCAAGAAAAAAACACAAATAGTAAACAGTTTTTTCTTGGCGTCGATTATTCTAATTTTTTTTAAGATGCCTGTCATAAAGTCATTGCATATGGTGCCAGATGTAATATGCAGTTGAACTTATGAGATATACATCTGAAAAATCAACAGTTTTTGAAACACAACGGCAAGACAATGAAGATCTTCGTCCAAGCTAACCACAAAACTAATCATAAATTCCGTGCTTCATTAATTCTTGTCTCGTCTTGTATTAACTTTATCTCGAGATTGGCAGGACGAGGAATTAGAGTAGTCGGCCAGGATTCGTTACGCAAGAGTAATAAAATTCATGCACTTTTCAAGCACGAGCAAGACTATGAATTGATAGCAAAGCACAACCAAGTCAAGAAACTATCGAAAACATCAAAATTAAACCAAAGAATTATAAAGTAAGAACAAATGGTGTCTTTTCATGCGAGGTGAAGGTCGACGATTTGAAAGGCCATTTCAAAGTTTTGACATTGAGACAACTAGTGTGTCGATTAACATGTTTGTAAAAGTTTCATTAAAAAATTAGAATCCAACGACATGTTTAAAAAAATTCAAGGAAATTCAACTTATGTACAAGCCCTCTTACCTTTAATGGATTATCCTTGTCATCCAGTCGCCCTTCTTCAATGTCTCTAATCTCTTGCCGTATTTCTACATAATGAAAGAAATCCACATGTACAATTCTTTACGTACTGTTAATGATCCAATAAACGCCCTCTATTAAATAAAGATGTAGTGCGTCTTATAAACGCCCCCCCCCCTCACCGAAGCGCGAGTTTGTTTTAGATGCCCTCGAAATACTCACGCAAGGTCTCTAATGGTACCGTCACCGTCTACCAGCGCAATACAATTGTTATTGTGATATTATAACCGTGGGTCGTTGGTGGGTTCAAAAACTGAATAGTTAGTCTTAGTTTTGTTTTCATTTGTTCACACAGTGATGATAGAAATCATATAATGATGGAAACCAAAGTGTGCAAGGTGCAAGCAAGGTACATGAGTTGCAACCAAGGTACACAAGGTGCAACAAAGGTACATGATGAGAGGTATATAAGTTACATGATATAGAATCAAGGTAGATAAGGAGGAAAGAAGGTAAACATAAAGTGCTACAATGATACATGAGATGCATACAAGTTACACCAAGTGGAATCAAGGTAGATAAATTTTAATCATGGAAATAAAGCAACCCTTAAGAAGCAAATTCCATTGATTAAGAATTTGCGACTCCTTGCTGATGGTTATGTTCCTTTAATTCTGATCTTTTCAGATGAAAAATCGATGCGTTGTTAAAGAACAAGGGGGGATGTGATAACGACACATACTTATAAGAGAATCACAGAATCTATCTAGCTCCGCTTTATCTTCACTCTCAGTCGGTTCAATCATGAGACTACTAGCCACTGGCCATGACATCGTTGGCGCATGAAAGCCTACAAAAATGAAAAAGCTTGCATTATTTCATCGTTAAATTATCACGCAGATAACGCAGTCGTTAGTTGAGTCGATTTTAATTTCTTTACCGTAGTCCATAAGGCGTTTTGCTATATCAATATCTTCAATATTAGCAGATGCTTTGAACGACTTTACGTCCAGTATGAATTCATGTGCACAATAACCTAAAAAGAGAGAGTCCACTTTTTGTGTTCAACAGATAGCTGAATGTTATGAGTCTCAAGACCAAGTGAACTATCGTTGTATAAAAGATCTAGACCATAGCAATTAGCATCTTCCCTCTATTTAGCCCACCTTTTCACTAACCACCCCTTGAAAGGTTGCAAAACTAAATCCCCACCATCCATTTACCATCCACTCTCAGTACTGAGAGGTCAATCTCGCGATGAAGTCATAACAAAATATAAAAGCTAATTAAGCTATTCATTAATATAAGCGTTTATTCGTTGAAAATTTACGAATGTGAATTTCAAAATAGTGAGCGATAGCAATTTTACGCTCGATTTAGCGAGAAAATTTATTTCGCCTTAGCCTTTTCTGCTGTCTCCTCTTCTAATAATCCCCCACTCGAAATGTAGCAAAAAACTGAAATCAACAGCAAGCTAAATAAGTTATGAACAACTGCTAGAATAACCCAAACCCCGACTGATTACATGAAAATGTATATAATGGTTTCTGATATGATAGATGAGATATACACACCGTTTTTACCAACAAATCGAATGGAATAGTAATCCTTCAGTCGTGCAGCCATATAGTTGGCGTTAAGGATTGCCACCTGAGCACAAGGAAAGAATGGAAGTTTTGATTAGTTTGACTTTGAGAACGTAGTAATGTTAATTTACACTCAGCCTACAAACAGCAAATATTTTAATAGTTGACTACAACACCAAACCATTATTGACACGTAATCATTTAGCGCATAAAGCTCAAATAAATACTTGACATCATCTCCTCTTACTTATCTACATCAATTGATTTTGCACCAGTAAATATGTCCAGTTTGGTAAATTTACTATATATTGTACAATAAACGAAAATAAACAATTTATCATTTTAACGTACAAAGGCCATTTTTTCTCTTCATTAGCTAAATATGTAAAACGCAAGGAAGGTGTCACTGACGCTAATCGCTACTTGTTACAGATAGACATCGTTAGCTGTTTCTTCATCATACAATGAAACTATCAATAAAGTTATGCTTAAAAATGAATGTCAGCTTAAAACCTAGCAAATCATTATAAAATACTACAAATAAAACGCGCACCAGAACCACTCCGCCACTCTTCAAAAAAGTTCACACCATGTACAATGCATAACTCGCACGACTTTTTGAATTAATCACAACATTGTCAGATTTGTTTGGAAACGCTGCACTAAAATAACTGTCAACATAGGCAACGTATACCAACAGAGATACCGGAACGTCGATAATTTTTTTTCGGGGTATTCATATATGCGTGTTTTGCCTGATTACTTTTGAAATCAAATGTTTTTTATGAGCTGTGACTACGAATATTTGCTCCCCCCTCCCCAATTATCGAGCTTCCGTGAAAATATAAAACTCAAGCGCAAAGTAAGAATGATGTAACGTAATCGTAATTCGAACCCACCTTCGACGCATGAGCAAGACCTTTGCCGCCCATCATTTTGATGTAGGCATAGGAGATGGGAAGTATTCCAGGTGAACCATACGGAGCTGCAGAAATAGTTCCCAAGCTCGTGGCATCATTTGTTCCCATCGGAGGCACAATAGGATGTGTGGGAAGAAACGGGATCAAATGTTTCTTTCTAAAATAAAAATAGGTTATCAAACGCCAGAGCTACGCGATATCGATATTGCCATCTTACATATGTAAATTAAACACTAGGGATCCAAGGTTAGTGCAAAGTTTCGAAAAACTCTGATTTTTAACTCGTTATTTGAATCAACCATAAAATGTTTCACACATTTATTTCATTTCTTCATTAACTTCCATTTAGTTTTGATTCATGTATCATGAGGTGAACGAGGTGAACATCCATTGACTTAACATGAAAAATAAAAACATTTCGAATGCAATCCGCTCAAGAATGATCTGTCCGCTTGACCAATTGTTTGAGTTTATATAGATGGCAATCACCAACGGATCTACTAGCACCAAGTTTGGAGAATACAGCTCGTTTGGTCATAATTTATCAAACAATAGTCTTGCAGTGCATTCAGAGTAACTGCATCACTTCGTCACATATTATTAGAGATATCATCTGAGAATGCGCAATCGACTCGACCAACTGTCTGAGGCGATGGCAATGATCAACTGAATCTTTTTGCATGACTTTCTTAGAAGATAGCTCGCTTAGTCACAAATCATTAAAAAAAGTATATGCGCATCTCTCACCAAAACGTAACATGCGACATTCTAGTGCTCAACTACCTCAGGGTATCGGGAAGCATGGATCGAAAAGCATTTTTTGCTTTTCAAAATTTTTAAGCACCTTCCAATAGACGAATGTCAACGTACATGCATAACGGTGTCACCAACTGGTAATTGACTGTTATGATTAAGGTACAAATAAAAATAGTCATAGTTTCCCTAGCCCTTTATAAAATTAAAATTATGTCTGAACTGTGAAGTTACACATGCAATAATTATTAGAGGGTCGATTAAAGGTTTTCTAAAAATGCTATCCTCTGCAGTCGTTGTGCATGTTCAATACGAAGCTTGCTTTTAAATGCTACAAACGATCAATTACTTACACTCCTATGGGTCCCACACCAGGTCCCCCGCCACCATGAGGAATTGAAAATGTTTTGTGTAAATTTAAATGAGAAACATCCGCGCCATAATCGCCAGGACGGCACAGACCCACCTGAAAATGACATCATAACGTTGTTTACAACAAGATAGTGAGGCATGTACCACACGTACAAACACTTATGAAAACAAAGGTATGTACACAAATCATAAACTGTTACCGATTTTAACTGATTAAAGAAGAAATTAAAACCACAAACTTTAATTGTACCTGTGCATTCATGTTTGCTCCATCAAGATACACTTGCCCTCCATTTTCGTGAATAAGAGCTAGAACATCCCTAAAGAAGGGAACACAATACTGGAAACTTTATCGTCATGCACACGTATCGTCATATTCTTGTACGTTCAAGCTTTTGATTAGATGACTTACCGTACGCCTTCGTCAAAAACTCCGTTAGTCGAGGGATATGTGATCATTACAGCACCAAGGTTTTGTTTGTGTTTCTCAACCTAGTGAACACGTTGCATTATATAAAAGTTTTGGGATAACAAACATGAAGTTTGATAAAACAACTGTGCAGTCGAAGTAAATAAAAATTGAAATAATTCATCACTTACTTCCTCCAGTAAATGATTCATGCTTATTTCACCGTTTTTCCCAATGTCGATGAAAACAATCTTAAAGCCGGCCATTTGCGCACTAGCTGGATTAGTTCCATGAGCAGACTTTGGAACAAGACAAACCTAGAATACGTGCACAGTATTAATCCTGTGATTATGCCTATTCTCTGATGATGGCTTTGGAATAAATACGTACACAGCATACAAAACTATTCTCGCTCTCAGTGTTCTCGCAAAAATTATTGCATACAAGCAATGGTAACGAAAGAAAACATCGTCTCACATATAACATACCTTTCTGTGCGACTCCCCCTTACTTTCGTGGTAAGCTTTGATGGCCATCAATCCTGCGTACTCACCCTGGGCGCCACTAAAACGAGATTAAACAATGAACTAATAAACAGAATATGTAAGCAAAAGGTAAAAAAGTATGCTGCAAATCTCTTTCCACATTTACTTAGCCACAAGCCAAAATAAGCATTTTTGAAGATTTCGAATTTAAAATATCGATTTCGAAACAAAAACAGAAAACCAATTTTTAAGTTCATCAATTTCAACAGCCTTTCCAAAACTTAATGTTGAGCAATCGTATTTGATATGAAAATTATAAAACAGTTGTCGTGATACCACGACAGAATTATCCAAGAAACATTCTCGAAAAGTTAATTGCATGATAAAATGCGTAGATCACGACACAGAACAAACCTGTTTGGCTGGAAGCTAATTGCATCAAATCCGGTGATCTCGCAAAGATCTTGTTCCAACTCTTTGATCATTTGTGTATATCCGTCAACTTGCTCAATTGGTACAAATGGATGTATGTTGGCAAACTCTGGCCAACTTATAGCCTAAACAATGAGGAAATTAAGAAGTGCACATGCGTACAAAAACTACAAAACCTAAAAAAACTATTTTCATGGTTACGCAGCCGGGAATAAACTATTGATTTTAAGATAGACTCACTAAATGCAAAAATCGACTGTTCATATGTGGTATCAAAAACATATTGATTTGTATCCTCTTAGTTCTTAGGATAAACTCTAACCTTCAATTCGGAAGCAGCATTCAATTTCATGGTACAGGAGCCCTAAATATAATTTAGTTTAATTACAGTCATTCATTTCCTTTAATTCTACCATACAAACAGTGAAAGTTGAAAAAATAGTATTTCCAAACAATTGAAGTTGACAACAGAAAGCATTTTTGTACCAATGGAATCATAGAATGAACGAGGGAAAGGTCTTTCTTCTCCAAATATTTCATATATCTCATTATCTGCGTTTCCGAGTGATAAGTATTAAAAACAGGGTGTTCTAGATAACTGCTTTCACGCTTATGAGCGCTCGACATTAAACTTCTGCCAGAGGCTTCATTGAGTTGATCGTTCGCCAAAGTGTCCTAAAGAAAAACTGAAGTTATATAACATATAAACAAACAATAAAAGATCGACTCCTCGTGCCAGCATAGCGTTCGATGAAGAAAACACAGAAATAAACTTCAATTAAATAAGGGTATAAATTTTCTTTTGAATGCAGTATAGAGATAAAAAGTTCGAAACTAATCGTTTTAACGTTTCAAATATGACTTATGACGATATATTGTTATCCAATCACAATAGTTGTGAGCAAAGAGGACACCAGACTCAACATTGATTTGATTTAAATGAGTAGGAAATTGGCAAGAATGTCATTATACGTAACTTACCAAACTTTCTTTGCACCCAAATACTGACAAGAGATCATTTAAATCCTTTTCTTCCACTGTCTCGTCCATTGATACAGCAACCTGAGATAACATATAAGATAAACATAGAACAGAGAACAACAAAAAAACATCTAGAAACTCAACAGAAAGAGCCACGCCTAATATATATATTAAAATTTTGCACAAAACTGCCTAATCTTTGACAATTTTGTTAGCAAATATAAAATAAAATAGTGTGTTGAACATTCACATGATTTTCAAATGAAATGATTGAATAGTAACGAAAGCAATTTGTCACCATCCCCCTTGACTGAATGCTTCCCAAAGCTGGATAACTGTCTATTAAAACCCACCAATCGGGGTCTCATTTTGCAAAGTGGACAGCTAAAATATATTATTTACATGGTCGCTGTCCAACTTTCGAAGGTTTATTTTATATGCAGCAGCTTTCTTCATAACTTCGTCGGCAGAGGTATTTGTACATTTCACCTGAAACAGTAATATGAACAACTATTACAACGAAGACGAGGAAAAAGTTACAAAATTGCAATGAAAATTAAATGTAATCAAATGTGAGTGTGATATACGATATAACGACCAAAAGGAAAATGTCAACAATGAACATTTTGTAGAATGCGGTGTTCTGATTTTCATATAAACGTAAGCGACATAAAAACCATGAAAAACATACAGGAAAAGTATTTGGTAGGAGTACATTGAATTATACATGGCAACATAACAACCATGAAAAACATACAGGGAAGAGTGTGGTAGGAGTACATTGAGTTACACAGAGCTACAAAACAATCGAATGCAATCTAATGTTTAATATTGTGTGGTAGAGGTACAATGAGGAGCAAAATATGACATGAAGACCAAATAAAAGAAACTAAAGAATGACGACTTTTCGTAAGAATATAATACAATAATGAATCAGTAATAAACAGTAACATGACGATCAAATTGAAAGTTCTGATAAGCAATATTGTGTGGCATGGAATTGAGTAAAACACAGTGACATAACATAAAGAAAAAAAGAAAAAACAACATAAAATCTTATATGAAAGTTAAACAGAAGTTATGATCTTCGTTGATATTTGATGATAAAGTCTCTTCACACCTTGATGGTATCAAAGAAGCAATCTTTCTGAATTTCATGACCAGCACGAACAATTCCTATAGTTAACATGTACATACAAAGGTTTCTAAAATGAAACTGTGCGTTTGTGCCTTCAATACTCCACCTAGCTAAAACCTCTTCAAAAAACCAACCTTCAGCTAATAAGAGAGTAGCGTTGTGTACTCTTGTTGCAATATTTTTCAGACCAGTCGGCCCATGGTAAACAGTGAATAGTGATGCAAGATTTGCAAGCAATGCCTAACAAGGAAATGTCAAATTAATAGAAATTAACTCAGATACCATTGTCAAAGAAAAGGCTAAAATGAAAAACAAAGATAAAAACCTGAGCGGTGCAGATATTACTCGTCGCTTTATCTTTCCGTATGTGTTGTTCTCGTGTTTGTAGAGCAAGTCTGTAGCAAATATTTCCCAACTTGTCCCTGGAAAATCCACAAACAATTTGATTTGGATGCATGAAATGCGTAGTGAAAACGATAATTGAGGGATATATTATTCAAATATTCATTTGTACACGACCGAGTTTTTTCGGACGTGAATTGACTTTTAAGCACAACTGAATATAAGAATATTCACCCCCCCCCGATCAATGATCTAGCTACGGCCACGATGAAAAGAGTTTCAAACCACGGCGTCGACACAACAATAACGTCATGAATCAATAAAAGACTACAGTTGCTTAAGTTGCAAATACCCAAATATATAACGCTCATTCATTTTTTACCTTGTCACACCGACAAGACGTCCGGGCAAAGATCTTGGTAAATTTCCGATGTTTCGAATGGCAAAAAAGGCAGCATGTGGTCCTCCGTAGCCTAGAGTTTTGAAGGATCGTTGTTAAAACACATTGCAACAAATAACATTCACGAATAATATGAAACTCATCATAGTCTTGCAACATAAGTATACGTTGTGTATTTTGCAGCGTTAAAGGCTGCAGTGTTCTGATTTTCACATATTACATTTTGGCCTACGTACAGGTTTTGGCCTACGTACACAAACTTACAAATACCCTAGGTTGACAAATACTGTAATACGTAGTTAGTACATACTTTACATCAGACCAATAAGGGCCTGATTATATGGAGGCGAGCTGGCACGGATAGCGATTGGGATTGAAAAGAGCCAAAACTTCAAGGTTAAAAATTGCGACTGTTTGTGAAGCATCACACGTTACTCCGGTGTAAATCTCAAATTAGGGTAACTTGGTTGTTTCTGATTTTAAATGTTTTAAGAAGTTATTAAATCAGAAAAGTGTAAAATTGCTTGAGAAGATTTATCTGATGATAAGAATTGAACCGTTTCCATTTGCCAAAATCATTTAACGCTTGGCTGAGTCCCGGCTACCGGGCTCATGTAATCAGCCCTGCAAGACAATACTGTGTAACAGCAAGGATGCATAATATGAAATTGTCATAAATACCCACCTAACGGTACACCAAATCTTTGGCTGTTACCAAACGCAATATCAGCTCCAAATTCACCTGGAGGTTTGATTACTGTAAGAGCAAGCAGGTCTGTAGCGCACGCAACCAAAGCCTGGGTACATAAATAATAAAAATGTATTGATAACATTTATAACTAAATCATAGTAAAGTTACTGCACCATGGATAAATAATCTAGTGCAGAAGAAACGATCAATCATAGGACCAAATTTTCACAACCACGCACTGGAATTAGCTGACGCCATTCCGTTTGACCCACAGTTGCAGGTTCATTTTCCCTTTTCCTTCTTAATTCCCTCCTAATCCCAACCTAATCACTAAAAACGGCAGGAGGACAACGTCATACTTTAGCATGATGAGCTCTTTCCGTGATGTCGGTATAGTCAAAGATACTGCCGTTTGTATCAGGATATTGAATGATTACTCCACTGACATCTTTGTTTGAAAAATCAAAGCTTTCTTTTCCTGTCACTATTATTTCTAAGCCTTCACCATTCGGTCCCAGTGTGCTACGATCAAAAATACATTCACGATCTTAAATTTAGCAATGCAATTAAATGTCACGACGAACCGAATTTCATAATAAACTACCTTCCTCGGGTTTTAATTAACGCAATGGTTTGCGGATGTAAGTTCTCGTCGACATAAAACTTCTTCTTTTTGTTAAACCTACAGACATATTTACATTATTGTAAATAAGAAAACAGAAGAAGCAAAAAATGTTTTACATGGAGGGGGGGGGTATGGTAAAAAGACAACTTTTGTGCAATTGTTTTGCATTTAATAAAAAACTTAAGCATGTTTTGGCAGCAAAAGGAGATGCCTAAATGCAGTAAATGGATAAAAGTCTAGCTCCTTCAGAAACAATTTTGTGCTGCCGTACCTGTACACCCAATCTCAATAAACACTTCACTGTTGCATGCAGTGAGGGAGGAAAAGTTTTTTTGGAGGTAGGGGTGGTAGGAACCTTTTGGGTGTAAGAACCAAAAAATAGTTCTTACATAGTACACTTTGTCATATTTTATATTTAGACTTTTATCTACCTGTAACAAATACCAACAGCCTCTGCGCCAGCTGTAGCTTCATCTAACAATGAAGCATTGGCAACATCCAGTCCAGTAAGATTGCACACCATCGTTTGAAAGTTTAACAAGCTCTCTAATCGACCTTGAGCTATCTCAGGTTGATATGGTGTATATTGTGTGTACCTGAATATGAACAAAGTTTGTTTTAGTATCATTCAGAAGTTTTGAAAATACTTATAGTTGTTCATATGACACAATAAATGCAACTTGTGTTCTGTACCATGTTGCCCAGTTTTGTGACTTAAATGTCTTATATAGATACATACATTATCATTAATCTACAAACTAGCATGCCAGACCATATTCTAACAACTGTTTTATCAAGATTTGTAGGAACAAAATGACTTTTGTTCATTATGCTACTTTACTAAAGCTCATTATTAATGTAAAAGTACTCACCAGCCAGGATTTTCCAAACAGCATCGCAAAATAGGTGGTGGTATGAAACAGTTATAATAACCAAGGCCGATGTATGATCTCCATAACTCATTTTTACTTGCTATATGAGCCAAAAGTTTATGTAGATCATGTTCCCCTATCATAAATGAAAATAACCTCACATTAGATAACACAGTAATTCCACAAGTGTCAAGTGTCCAGAACAACAAAAACAAAGCCCGTATTAGCTTGAATGAATTTGTATACTGCTTAAAACTACTGTAGGCAATAGAACATCTATTCTAAGACATGACAGAAGGAAACACAGAGGCAAGGGTGGCTCAAATCCCTTCAATTCTTCAAAGCTGAAACCTGAGCCCTTCTCCAGAGGAGTTCCCCTCCCCCTGCATACTTGGTGATCACTGTTGAGCTCCCACCTGACTTTAATCATGTTTCTACACCACGGCCTTGTTTTAAAATGTGATGGATAAAAAACTAGCGAACAAAAAGGTAGATTTGGGCAAACCATGACATTTTAATTATCAATTATTTTTTCTATCCTATGTATCATGTTCAACTTGACACCTCAAGCATTCCTGTCTGTCAAAACGTTTTGAATTGGATTAGATTGGATTTTAATAAACATGATGGGAATCTAACCCATGCCAATTTATTGCATACAGAAGAACAAGTATCTCTCTACCTTTACTGGCTGGAATTTGCAGTTCCCTCTCAAAACGTATGTCAGATGGCACAGTTTTATCAACCAAATCATGGATGTTCTTACAAGTAAAAAAATTATAAATATTACGTAATACGTATTGCGTTTGAACTTTATTATTATTTCGAACGAAAAAACTCCTGAAGTTTAAGCCTATACCTCTAATCCTAAGAAGTTAGCCATTTCCTGCTCAGATTTAGCATCTACACCGATATGTCGGGGAACAAAATCATCTGTTTGAACTAACAACTCATCGATTTTGGAAAAGCTTGACGTACGCGATTGACACACAATCGCCTGTATCCCAGCACATTTCCACTTTCCCAAAGGTGTCCTAACGGCACGAACGATATTCGTTGCATTGAATTGCCTGTACATTGCGTTTCAAGGATTTCCAAATGCAAAGAAAACACCTAACCACGGATTAAACTGTTGTTATAGTGTTCAGTGCAAATAATGCACATTTTATTTGCACAGGTAATTCGGCGACGAGCATGCATCATTCCGCATGTTGATCTCCCAAATAAGGAAGGTATGAAGGAAATCCATTGTAAACTCGTGGCAGATAATCGGCAAGGCGACAAGGGCGGGTTTGGGGGTCTAGCATGTTCGTTGCCAAAATACATGATTTTTACGGTGAGTTATAATGCTAAAATTGAGCAGTTTCTTTTTTACATCATAAGCCAAACCTGCGAAGCGTCATCTTACCTTCATTCATACACACGACGTTTCTAGTCACTGGAAAAAAAATGCATATTCCAAAGTATCAGATTACCTTTTTTGATTTCTCGATGCAAAACTCTGAATTACGGACGTAAACGATGTAAAATCCCGTGCGGAATTTTCCATGTCAAAAACAACATGTATATCTCAAAACTAAATTCATGGGAAATATCAAATCCTCTTTTACGGGGAATCACGTGCGACGTGTTCTTTCTACAACGTACTTCGACCTTCAAAATAACAAGGCGAAATTTAAATTGCTTCTAGCTTGTAAAGCTAATCTCGCCCGCAATGAAAAAGAGCTAGTTACTCAACAAAGATAAACATTAAATTTCATTAGAACTAAAAGCCGTTATCAGCAAGTATACAGCCATAGCATGGTTAAGCTCAAAGTGGTTCATTCAGACGTAAGGCAGGGAGTGTGATATCATTCCTTTAAATGTGGGCATTAGCAATTTGCAAATCTAAACCATTACATTAGCAGATAGTGATTTCGAACTTGAAGAAGAGCTGATCCTCTTCTTATAGTCTCTTAAGTTTTTACTCAATAAAATGTTGAGCTGAAAGTGCTAAACTTTGCAAAGTTCATATGATCATAAAAAAGCAATCTAGCCAAGCAGCTCTCTTTAGAATTTAGAATACGTTTCTTTTATGCCGTTACTTTATCGTGTGACCATCAAGGGCAACTTTTTTGCCGTGCAGATGAAATATGAACATATTGTCATTTGCGTGGTAAGAGCTCGAAGTCAACACACTCGAACTTTGACGCGATAAAACTTTGTTCCGGTATTAACTTTAAATCTGTTGTTAGCCTAAAAACAATAAAAAAGATAAACTCGTACTGTTCTAAACATTGAGCTACATGAAAACTCAAATGGTTCTAAATAGAAACTACTAAAATGGGTACGCAGCACGTACGCAAGAGTAGCCTGGCATACGTGTCTGTGACAACAAAAATAGATATCACATATATATTTGATGTCATAAGCATTAAACTTTATGGAATATGTCTACACACAAAAACAGAGAGAACGATACCTTTTTCGCTTGACAATACTCTTTCTCCAAAATTTGAGCTTTTAATGAATGCCTGTACAAACGTAACGCAATATATATAAAAAATGGAAGACAAACACTATTTCAATTTGGACTTAAAAAAAGAAGAAAGAAACATACCCTGACTTTGATTCTGCAAACAAAGAAAGTAATAAATTATATGGTGTATAGTAATGAACCATAATATATACACTGGAAAAGAATATTAAACTTATCGTGTTTTCACTACTTTTGAACAAGAACAATAGGTTAATAATATATCAGAGCTTGTCTGATGAAACAAAAGAAATAAAAGATATTTACTGTGTTTGCACAGGCTTATGCAAACTGAGAAGATCTTTGGGAGAAGTCGAGAACAGATAAGTACAAGCCCGAAACCGAAGGTCGAGTGCTCAGGGTTGCAACTGCTCGAGAGTTCTCACAAACTTCTCCAAGGTTTGCATAAGCCAGTACAAACACGAAAACATCTTTTATTTCTTTTATAAAATAAACAATAATGCAAAATGGACAAATGTCAAACAAACGTTTCGATTTTTCCTCTAAAGCTATTCGTGATTGATTTGAAAATCGTCTTTCATTGATTGATTGGTTGAGCTCAGATCGGTTTGCACAAACTAACGCAAAACGGCTGTTAACCAATCACCGCACGCATTTTAATGTGTTGGTATAATAAAATTAGTTAAAGTTCAAAATAAAGCCTAACTGTGATATGTATTGAATTGATAGTTTTCAGGTACAATGTTAACCGTACTATGCCACAATCAATTTCATGACTTTCAGGCGTGACGTTGCATCTTTCTGAGAAAGTACTCTGGTTCACACATGACAATTGTACAATTGTCAGACAGTTGTTAAATATGTCAATATGAAAGTTCTGTACTCTTTACCATAACAAAAACTAACCTGGCAACTCTATACTGATCAAAGAGTCTGGGTGAACAAAGTGAAGAGTTTCTCCATGAGCCTTAATCATGTAATGATCGTACTGCTCGTTATAATAAACTTCCACGATATCACCTTTCTGTAAACTGCATACAGCGAATTATTAGAAATTCAATAAAAAAATATTAGAATTATTGGAAATTTATTAGAAAATATAATAATTACCAGAAATTCAATAGAAAATATTAGAATTATTAGAAATTCAAAAGAAAATATTAAAATTATTAGAAATTCAATAGAAAATATTAGAATTACAAATTTTGTGTGTGATGTAAAGGACACCTACTCTTTGGAAACAACTTGAGAATTTTGCGGTGTTTGCTTCAATAGCTCCTGAAATGATAGAAATGAAAATAAATGCGTTAAAGTGTGTTGGATGAAACTGAAAACGACGGTTGGAACCTAGTGCTTCAAATTTCATTGCACGAAAATTTTACAAAATTTCATAAAATAATGTTCTAAACTAGAACTTCACGTGTGTCATTACTTTCCATTAAAAATGTTCGATGTGTCATTAAATGCACTCGATAATTTAATAATACGCTTAAGCTTCAATATTACAGTAGATTAGTATTTAGTGAATTTGCATCAGGTAATGTTTTTATAAGAATCACATGTTCAACAAGTATTGGCTGTTGTATATAAAATATATAAATCAATATTTTCATTTCCATGCATGCAGCACTGTGGCAGAAGATTGAATTAAAAGGTTTTAAACTCTCACATGTTTTGTTACAAACAGGTACTAATGAAAACACCTTGCTAAATGCGTATAATTTCATACTCACTAATTCTGCTCGCAGAGAATCACACTCTTTACATTTGTCGTTCAACTTCTTCATCATCAAACAACATAAATAATAATATAGAATATTGCTTAATTACACCTACTCATATATCAGAGAGTGAATACAGGAAGAAGCCGAAAACAGCAAGATACCAACAACAGTAAAAAATTGAAAAAGATTGTAACCACCGACCCCCCACCCCTCCCCCCAAATCACCGTAAGAAATAAGGTGTAGGCAAAAGAATACCATAGTTAATGCTCCATCGAGTTAATTAAAGATTACCATAGTTAAATACCGTGTCATTTACCTGTTGTAGCTCAACAAACGAAAGTTTCATATCGCCATCTAAACAAGAAAACAACTTAACGAGACTTCTGAATTTTATCAATGTTGGGGCAGCGCGGGCGTAGTGCTAAAAGATCTCGACATAAAATCCTCCCAAGAGAGTAGAATGTCAACACTAAACTCTATGTCGCACAAAATATGACATTTGGAGTTCTATGATAGATCGACTTAGCTGCGAGTGAAGATTTCTAACAAGGAGAACAGTAATCCTGGTAAGCTCATGAAATCATTCCCATTATTTGCAAATGTTTCCAAAAGACAAACAACGTGTATACGGATCATAGACGTTCTTCTGAAGATATCTTTTCTACAACATTTGTCGATCTATGTTAAATTTTTAAGTATTCTTTCCGAGACTAATTGTCGAAAACAAAATCTTGGCGTCTGATATAAAACGTAAACAAAAATAAGTCATGCGAAAAATAACGGCAGAAGAATTACTGGTCAGGTGACCACTTTTTCTCTCCGACAACGCATCTTTCTGGTTGGAAAATTATTAATGGTGGACCAAAAGTTTTCTTTCAATTTCGTCCAAAATGACCGGTCGATTGACCGTTCAAGCTACAGCCCGGTCGGACATTGTCCATCGACCGGCTTTCATTTTACACCATAAAAGATGAATAACACAGGATACATACCCACAGTGGACTTCATACGTTTTTTTAACAAATCATTTTCCTATAAAAAGCAGATCATATATTAATGTCGGAAAAGATTTGAAATGCAGTAATGCGCATGCCTGAACGTCGACAACATGCCAAGTATGCGGTGATAATTGTATAAACGACTGTAAGGATTGGATAAAACAATTATAAAATTAAAAGTTATTTAGTACCTCCTCTAGATATTTGATTCTTTTTTTGAAACGATCTACAACAAGCTCACTGATGATTTGCCTAAATGAAACGATAAAATGCTGCATTGTGGAGGAGGTAGGGGCAGAGAAATGTATATGGTGAGAAGAGCAGAGAGAGGGAAATGCTACATAGTGGGGAAAGGGCAGAGAGAGGGAAATGCTACATAGTGGGGAGAGGGCAGAGAGAGAATCACATAGTGGGGAGAGGGCAGAGGAGAATGCTGGGGAGGCAGGGAGAGAAATGCAGTGGAGGGAGGAGAGAAATGCGTGGGGAGAGAGGAGAAATGCACATAGAGGGAGAGGGCAGGAGAAATGCTACATAGAGAGGAAATGCTAAATAGTGGGGAGAGGGAAATGCTACATAGTGGAAACAGGGAAATGCTATATAATGTGGGAGAGAAATGCTGCATAGTGTGGGGGGTAGAAATGCTACATAGTGGGGAGAGGGAAATGCTGGTTTGCTCGAGTCTTCACATTGCAATTTTTTCAAAGCTAAAATTCATATTAACACTCAATATCATTCAAACCTATACGCAGAGTTTGTTTTGTTTTCAACACAATTTGATAACAGTAGATTGCTTTCCACGTATTAGTTAAATCAGTACCCGCTACATCCAGTGGCGTAGCCAGCCTGTCATTATTCATTTCTTTAGAAATCTATTGTTTTTACAGTGAATAAACACAGAAAATTTAACATAGCAGGACCAAATTTGTGCGCTGGCTACGCCACTGGATAAAACCCTCTTTCAAAGATTGAAGGAATGCGCAACCCCACAGCACAAATCCATCCTTTTTGAATAGTAAAAACGATTTCAATATTACTTCACGATCATTCACAAAATTACTTCATTCATGTATGCATTCTTATTTTGGGTGTTCACATATGCATTCTTACCCAGAGCCTGATCCAGATTCAGCTTCCCACTTTAATTTCTCTGATTCAAGTACCCTCGCAGCTTCGTCTCTTTGATTCTCCAATTGTTTCGTATACTCTCTTTCTTTTTCTTTAATATGTTCCAGTGCCTCTACTTTAGATTTCTCCAATTCCAACTCGAGTTGGGAAACCATTCTCTCAGTATTTATCAGTTTTTTCGACACCTCGTCGCTTTCCTGTCTCAAAGCTTCTTTTTCATTAAAAATAACTTGAAGTTTCTCATCACTTTTCTCCTGCAAAAACTTGAAATTGAGTAGTTGCTCATCGGCTTTCTTCAAAGCTACCTCTTTCTCTTTCAAAACTCGACCAATCGCGCTGTTGAATCGAATTTGCTGTTCTGATTCAAACGATTCTTTAGCCGCTTCCAACTCAGAGGCGTAAAGTTTTTGTCGTTCAAGATCCCTTTGATACATTAGTTCTTTCTCGGAAAAATTTCTATCTTTCGCTTCAATTTCTTTCCTCAATGATTCATTCTCATAGTTAAGTCCACTCGTTTTCTTCTTTAAGTTATCGACATTTTCACTCAACTCTTTCAGTAGTTCACGGTTTTGTCAAAAGTAACTAACTTATTTTCTTCCTCTGCTTTAAGGATTTCAAGCATATTTCGCCTGTCATTAAAGCATGTACTCATGTCTTCAAGCCAATTTGATGTAATTACTCTTAAGAGCTGCAGGTCTTCGCGTAGCTTTTCAACATCTTTTAGCAAAGTTTCTTTGTATGGAAATATTGAAGTACTCATTCGAAACAACAATTTTCACAGTCCTTGCTCTTCTCAACGTTACCAGCACCACTGTTTTCGACAAAACGTTCGTTTTCCTGTTCACTCGTACTTTCAATACCAGTCCTGATTTTATCTTTATCGATGACTTTACCATCAATGGTATCTGATGATGATTTTATTTCAACCTCTTCAGTCCTCATCGTATCTTCATTGATGACTTTACCATCAATGGTATCTGATGATGATTTTATTTCAACCTCTTCAGTCCTCATCGTATCTTCATTGATGACTTTACCATCAATGGTATCTGATGATGATTTTATTTCAACCTCTTTAGTCCTCATCGTATCTTCATCGATGACTTTACCATCAATGGTATCTGATGATTTTATTTCAATTTCTTTCACTGTAGATAGATTGCAACAACTTGAAGACTTTCTTTCCTTGTCTGCGTGTAGTTTTTCTCTAGTCAAATAATCCAAGCAATTTTCGAACAACTCTGGCACAAGTTTTAATAGTTCATCGAGATGAGAGAATGAAAGCGAAGGTAATTCAATGTCAAGGTTTTCAGGGACGGTCTAAAATAAAAATAAAAATCACTTGCTTCTCCATAAATTTATTGTGAACATGTATCTTTTAGGTTATTTTTGATATTGATTTGTGCTTGATTAGGCTTAGCGCACATTCATGTGGGAGAAAATACTCTTTTGCTCTTTATGTTTCTTTACTCGTGTTGAATGTGAAGGTAAAGTCAAAATTTGGCTAAGGTCGTGGGATTGAGTGTAAGAGCTAAATAACTTCTCGTATCCATTATTTAATTGTACATATTTTAAAAATGTATATTTTAGGATTCGGAGACAGAAGAGTGTGTCGAAAGATAAATTTAAAAAATATGCAACATTGTTGTTGGCCGACACCAAGAAGTGTGCTTGCACCGCTGACCAGAATAGAAGCATAATTAAGATAAATAATTACATGTCACTGCATAGAGGCCGAGCGGATACTTACAATGTACTGCTTTGGAAGTTCCTCAATTCCATTAAAAAGAATTAGAACAAAGTGGTTTCCTGAAATAAAACACGACGTTCTTACCTACGAACAGGAATTAGCTACAAAATCATACCTTAAAATTCTATTCATTTGACACAAAGTCAGGCGCCGTACCCCATAGCATCGTTTTATGTGAACAACTATAGTCTTCAAGTCGACAGTTTTAAAACGACTTACGTACCAACACAGTCAAAATATTTATGTCGATGAGCAATTTCTTCCTGACAAACTGAATCTGACTGCTGATACACATCTTTCGCCCACTTGGAAAATTCAAAAAGTTCGTTGTCAGGCAAAAACATCAAAATATAAATGTTTGCAAAAACTATAGACAACTATAAACCAAAGTCTTTATACTTGATAGTGAACTTTTCAATTTTCAACTTTGATTTTACAAGATTTTACAAAGTTGTACAAGATTTGTTTGAAATTATTTTTTCAATGCAAAAATCTAGCCGCTAGGAAATTTTTGAGCTAATTAAAAAAAACCTAATTATCTTTTTAATAGTAACTTAGTCGTAACTCGTTTTCTGCTGTATATATATAGTATCTCTGCTAATAGAGATCTGGCTGTAGATGCAATCTTGCAAGTGTCATTTCTTTTGTTTTGTTGGTAAACGTACAGATAATTTTAAATGCTCTTTGCTTCTCTCATTAAATGAAGTCGTTAACTTTCGAAAAAGATATAAATAATGCAATTTTACCTTAGTAAAATGTGAAGTAAATTCTCGTCTTCGAATAACTTCTTTTACTGTCAAAGCATAAGTGCGAGGAGCAAAACTAATTTGCTCCAAAATTTCCATGCTGCAAAAAGAAAGATTTGTCAAAATACACAGTTCCAAATATATTCTAAATATTTTAAGACATATTTCGAAAAGTTTACGGGCTCACATATATAAAAACAATAACGAAAAATATATTAAGTCAAAAAGAGACAATAAGCTGCCTTATTATAACGGGAAAAGAAATATATGTAAAACATACAGTGCGTCAAATTTTCAATATGGCATAAAGCACAGTTTATCATAAAGCAATACAAAAAGAATTCCTTTAGTATATTGAAAAACTGGACTAATAATATTCAAATAAAATGAAAAAGTCCTAAAGAAAAAATTCAAATTTTACCGTTTCTTCATTCTTTTCATGCTTTCGTGATAAAACACCAGCTTATTATCACAATCACAAATTTTCTTCTCTATCATCATTACCCATCTGATTTATAATAAAAACAACATCATGTGACTGAGTTATTCATCTTTAGAGAATTTCATGAATTTCAAATGATTCAAAGGATAATCATGATGTAAAATACTTGTGCGTTTCATAAATGTTATTTCATTTGTCGCCTACAAATGGCTATGTTTGCGTTAGGAAATTTTAAAGCATTGAGTGGGAAACAATCCATCATACACAAGTTAAGAAATATGATGAAAGTTCTTCTAAAAAAACTTTTTCAAAAAATACTACATTCATGAATGAGCTTAATGTTACAGCCAGTACATCCTACAATCATAAATTAGCTTAATCTTACAGCCAGACTGAGCCAGTAGATGCTACATTCATGAATTAGCTTATTGTTACAGCCAGTATATCCTACAATCATAAATTAGCTTAATCTTACAGCCAGACTGAGCCAGTAGATGCTACATTCATGAATTAGCTTAATGTTACAGCCAGTATATCCTACAATCATAAATTAGCTTAATCTTACAGCCAGACTGAGCCAGTAGATGCTACATTCATGAATTAGCTTAATGTTACAGCCAGTATATCCTACAATCATAAATTAGCTTAATCTTACAGCCAGACTGAGCCAGTAGATGCTACATTCATGAATTAGCATAATGTTACAGCCAATACATCCTACATTCATAAATTAGCCCAAGTTACAGCCAGTATATCCTACATTAATAAATTAGCCCAAGTTACAGCCAGTATATCCTACATTCATAAATTAGCCCAAGTTACAGCCAGTATATCCTACATTCATAAATTAGCCCAAGTTACAGCCAGTATATCCTACATTCATAAATTGGCTAACGCCAGTTATTTTTCTTCCACAATATCATTATTTTGTCTGAGCCTTTTAACAATCAAAATATTTTCACATCGTCAGGAAACTGTAGCTAGCTATATATTGCATAAATTTGATGATTTATAATGTTGTTTATAAAAAAAGACTTTTTTAAGAGAACTTCGTGGAAAGAAAAGATCAGTTAGCACCACACCACTGGCGTTTTTACTCTTAAAAAACAAAAGGTTGATATCCTCACCATACTCCATGGAACTGTGTTTCATTCAGAAAAAATATGAAACAACTCAAATCAACATAAGAAAAAGATACCTCAGACGTGTGTGTAGATTAACAGAAAGTTCATCTTTCGCTTTCGCACATCTACGACGTATGTCTCTAAAAATTATAAATACTTTAAAAAATAGAATAAAGATATTCTATAGCAGCCACTTACACGGTAGGTCTACAATCTCTTTTCAACGATGATTGTTCAAAAAAGTACAAAAAAAAGACACAGTCTGGATACGAGATTGCTAGGTCTGGAACAAATTTACATTAATAAGCCCTTAATAAGGTTATTAGAAGGATTATTATATGGCATTATTTGACCTGAAACGAAGCTTGCTTTCTTTCTTGTCCTTGCTGTTTTTTACCGGTTGGCTTTCATTTTTCTATTTTTAGTCCATGAAAAATAAATCGTTTCAAATTGTATCGTCTGGATAGTCGAACTGTTTTCCAAGTGTTTTTCCTACGAATAACATTCCTAAATGTTTTTTGTTTCGTTTACTTTGCGTTTTGCTGTTTGCATCACGAAGGTTTTACATTTGACAGTAAAATTACGCGTTTCGGACCGTGGTCGATTACGAGAAAATAATGGACTGGCGAAAATGTTTCTGAACCAATCAAAGCGCGCCATTTTGCCGGAAGTGACGCTTGCCATATAATAATATTAATTAATTAATCATCAATGTGTTCTGTGACAAAAATTATAATTGCTTATTAAAGTAAAACTAAGACAAAACGACCAAACGCTATGTTTGTACGTTTTCATAGAATCACGTGACGTGGTAATCATTTCAATGAATTGAACCATTCGGTCAGGTGACGTAAAAGTAGAAAGAATTGGCAGTTGTATAGTTGGTCAATAAGAAAGAGTTTTAGAGTTGAATACCTTAACTGTGTATGATTGTGCATCATTAAAGAAAGTTGGGCTTGATGGCTGGAGCAAAGATCTGGCAATACAGATGGATCACCAATATTCTGAGCTCTCATTTGATTCTGAAAAAACCCCTGGACCAAAAAATGGAGAAAAATTTTATCCAACGATGACAATAACAAATACTAACGAAGTGATCACGAAAACGTACTTTCGCCATATCAGCTTGTTCTTCAGAGAAAGCACACGCTTTTTCCTTCAATTTTTCCAACATTGCCAGCCGTTCCTCCAAACCACCGATTTCTTTCATGTTCGTGTTTGAAACGTCACCTATTAGAGAAATCTAGATTATATTATAGAGGAAAGAAAAGGTTTCAAACTTCATTTCAATAACCATGTCATCAGATGAGTTTTTTTCAGAGGAAGATTTAGAATAACAGCTTTCAAAAAAGTGGAACGTAGAGTAAGACAGAATATCTCAGTGACTGAGTTCTATTTAATGTATCGTGACCTATACATAAGTTGACTTGGACAATATAGGAGCATTTGTTAGAAGGCGAATCTGTTCATTTTTATCAACAGAAGCAATTCAATTATTTAAAACTCTTTCTCAATGTATTTGCAAAGCGAAATGCTTAAAGTGTTGACGTCTATGCGTATCAAATATTTTTCTTTCTTCAAGTCCATATTTTCAGTCATTTTAAGACGCAACTAAATACATTCCTTCTCGATCCTCCTACACGAACAAATATTACGTAAACTGGAGTAATATAATGAAGAGTAAAAAAAATACATTAAACGCACCAAGTACTTGAACACGATCTTTCTGTATCTCCAGCAAAGAGGAGTTCTCGAACTGTGCCAAAGCATCTTCACATTGTTTAACAGTATCATTTAGACTATTCCTTTCATCCTGGAGAAACGGAGATAAAGTGGAGAGGAGATTCAGTGTGAATCTTCAGCATAAACTAACGGTGTGTTCACCTTCATACCTGAGCATTTATCCAGTCGAGCAAAGAAAACTTGCCGTTATTGGATGAACTTGATTTTATTTCATCGTTGATCAAACATTCAAACACAGGCAGCCTCGATAGTTGGTCAATTATGGTAGGAAAACTATGTATGTATTAAAATCCAAAGTCAAAAGATTTTTGTTCAAGATAAGGTCTTTTTAGGAAGTCACAGTTTCCACGTAAATTTTTAGAGTGTGGAGTGTGTCTACATGAATATTATAAAATACGAAAATGCAAATTCTTGCTTTCGAATTTGAACAATTCGTTTTTCCATTAACGAATCTGGCGTTAGTCAAAATAAATTGCAGCAACTCAATTTCAAATGTAAAAACTTTTTCGACAATACGATAGGTCAAATTTTTAATGAATAAAATTCACCAATAAAAATAAAATAGTGTCAAAAATCAAAATAATGTGAATTGTCAATTTATAGATAAATGAGCTGTAATATATTATTCTGACTTACCCTAGATCCGTCAATGTATTCTTCGATTATAATTGCTGTAAGCAATTACATGAATGCAGGCAATGAAAAGTCACGACTAAAACAATGCGCTCTTACTGCGACAATCATGCTATTTACATAAACAACACCATACTTTCATTTTCGTAATTAAAACCTTTGGGGTGTATGTTTACCTAAGCTTAAAATTGAGAGTGTTTACCAAGCTACGTACATCGAGAACGATGAAAGTAGGTATGATGAAAAAGGCCAGAACTTTATCCTGAACGATTTTTTCGTCCTTCATTTGTATTTGTTTTTGCTGGGTCATTTCATACATACTTGGAAAAGCTGGGGGTCTGACACCCCCACAAACCCCTCATGTGTGACTCAGCTCTTACTTTGTGTAATTGTTCATACCTATCCAAAAGAGATCGGTACGAGGGAGTCAACTCCTTGAATTCAGCAAAATTTTCTTCTAGAATCAAAGCACGAGTTTCAAATGTTCTGCAAATAGATAAAAGAAATGCTGAATCCTTCAAATTCTTAATAATAAAACAATCCTATGTCCGAAAAACATTATGAAAGTGTTCATGATGTACTTTGCAATATTTTCCAAGTTTGCCACCACCGCAAACCAACCATTTCTTTGAAGCATTTGTTCATGGATAAGTGATACAGAGCTATCAAGCATTGCCATAGACATTTCTTCAAATGTCTGAAAATAATTTCAAAACCAAAACATAGTTGAACAAAACATAGATAGGATATTATTTAAGTAAGTTTTGTTTGTGTGGTAAGCAATAGTACTAACTAAATATTTTGGTTTGTGAACCATAAATTTATAGTACAGTTAGCATTGCAAATAAACATGCAATTCCCATGATTTTATTTTCTCGAGGAAATTGTTCAACCTCTCTCAAATTATTGAAGATTTTTATCTTTGTTAGTTGTATCAAACCATTGTGGAAAGCAAAAACAATCAACAGGCCAAACAAGCTATAAGCTAATCTTTAAAACTGCCCATCACTACTTGATAAAATGTCAGTAACAAAACAAATTAAACAAATATACATCATCATACCGAAGCAAGCTGTGACCTGGAAACTAGTGTTTCATAAGTCGGATGCAAATTCAGAGATTTTTCTACTTCTTCTTGAAGAGCGGTCTCTAAAATGTAAAACAGACAGAACATTCTAGCTTTCCCCTCAGCTTTCAAGGAACAAGAAAATTCATTTAACACTCCTTTAGCAGAGAATATGCTGACCACTTTGCAAATCTTTTTCTTTATAATTTTGTATCAGAGAAATTCAATGAAGAATTTTGTTTTCTTTATTTTTTAAGTAAAGATGTATGAAGAAATGCAATGAAATCAAAATACATTCAGATTACTCATATTTTAACTTGTTGTAATAACCTCTCAAACATATGTATAAAAGTTTGGGGTGATATGATTAAAAGAAACTCAAATGGGTATTTACCTGAACCCATGTTCAAACTTGGTGATGGTGGCACAGGAGATTCAATCTTTATTTTGCTGAATAAGAATATGGGATTGCTTTCCTGAAGAGATACATGCACAATATGTCATTAATAGTTCAACAGCAACATGTCAATTGCAACAGACTGAAGTTCAAATGCTCACAGCAATCATCTAATTGATTGGACCAGTTGATAACTTGAGTTTTTTTTTCAATAAAATGTCATCAACAAGAAGTAAAACTTACAGTCCCTGCACTTGAATAGTTGCATATACGATGACTAGGATCCAGTGCTTCTCCCTCAGGTGTTATCAATACTTGTTTTTCAACAGGAATCAGCAAAGTAGATTCAATTGATTTCATCAATGTCTCAACACTACATAAGATGTTGAATTACATAATAGAGAGTTGTCAATTAGTTGCATTTTAAACGACTAACTACTTCGAACTACAATTCAACATAGAATATACATTATATACATAAACTACATTCTTTGAATTAAAAGCCATCGCAAGACAATAAAGTGCTCAACATATTTTCAAATAGAGGAATATATAAACTATCAGGAAATTTATGATTAAAGAAAATCTCGAAATGTGTCACAAAACAGTATTAATTTGACATTTATGTACATAATCTTCCATATATCGATTAACAAAATTTATATGTTATAGATTTAAATGTTAATGTTATAGATACTTGTTATTGGTATCTATAACAAAATGTCATTATTTATGAAGAACAAAATACAGCATTTCTGAGATTCTATCTGTTAGGTGTCTCTACTAAGCATCTTTTCTGACAAATTTCGCCGAATTACAGTCAGCTTATTTTTAAATGTATAAAATAAATAGCAGACTAACCTTTCCATTGCCAACTCCATTTCAAACGTCTGCATTGCTCCAGTGTCGACCAAAAAAACGTACAACATTTTAAAAAAATATGTGTCCACTTCTAGTCTATAAATTGTGGGTTTAGTGCAGAAATTGATTATATTGAACTTTCTTTAGTCAACTTTCAATATCCAGCCTGGCCAGGCAAGCCATTTTTGACTGTCGACAAATTCCAATAAACATTATCCCATTATGATCGTCAAATACATATAATTTTTTTTACTTATTTTGGCTGTAAGTACACTTCATCCACTTTTCTTCAATTCGAAAAAAAATCCATCAGTTCATGATGATAAGGCAAAAAAAAAGGAAAAGTGCTTCTGTTCCTCTTATGCCTGTGATCCACACTTAGTCACTTCCAGTTATTCTTTGACTGTGGTGTTCACTGTTCACCCCACCCCCCTGTCTACAACAGTGCTTCCGCCTTTAAAATCTATATTGCGCATTTAATAAAAACGACAAGTTTTTTTTAAAATAAACATGTTTCAACATCTCATGATGCCATCTTCATGATGTTTATTTTAAAAAATTTGTCGTTTTTATTAAATGCGAAATATCCATAGTGCTTTAACGCAGTTAAGGTAAAATCTATATTCCTGATTCATAAAACTTCCTTCCAGACGATGCTATAATTCTATAACACTTTCCTGCAATTTACTTCTAAGTTGTGATCACACTATAACAACAAACAATAATAAAGATGACACTCTTCTGTGACCTAATCATGCATAAACATACCAGAGATACTCAAAATTAGCGCAATGTACTTAACAATCATTTAATACAAGAAAGTGATCCGTAATCCAAACTTTAATCCTATTTGAGTGTTAGTCGAATCTGTCGAACTGAATCGAAATTATTGCATATTATGAAAATTTACAGACGTGGGAACAGAAACCTTTACATCATATTTTGTGAAAACTTCCTTGATTTTTACAAAATTGCCCCACACGATCGGACCGGTTTGCTACTCCCATACGACTACCGAGAAGAAACAACATTTGCATAATGTGCGCAACTGGAAATTTTATAGAATTTCAATCATTCCTTTTTGTTGTGAAATTTCATTAACCTATATTACGAAAATAGTTTACATTGAATTGCAGTTTTCTAAATTACTTCATTTTGTGCTCATTGCAACGATGGTTTGTATGATAAATAGAGCTGCTGCAAGTTGGATTTAATCAGAACTGTATATTATTATGTATGGTATTCAGGAAAAACTTCTGAATGCTTGAAGGCAAAACGTCTGAACGGGCAAGAAATATCTTTTTAGCTCATCTGTTGCAATGGAATTATTTGAGAGTCACACTTTCTCTAACGTGGCCGATATCCATTGAAGATATAAATGTATGTATAGCAGAGTGAATTGTACATTAATGAAAAATGATCCCAGACGTGAAATTCATTCATCACGACTATGAACCAGATTCTTCTAAAGATTTTTTCAAAGCCATGGCTAATTGTTTTTCCTCCTCGTCTTGTAAAGATTTCATTTTCTTTTGCCTGTCTTTTTCATCTCTCTTGCTCTGGCGTTTAGCCCATTCAATGATTTCTTTGTCTGATTTTGTAGACTGCAAATACAAGGAGCAAAAATGTGAAGTGGTAGAACTACATTATTTAATCATTTACAAAAATGGTAGACTACAATAGCTACCACAACTGATTTTCAAGGGATCGTATGAAAATAAATCTAACTAAAATCAAAAACATTTACTTAGTAGAATTCAAAAACAGTTCTTTTCAGAACTCTCGAGAGTTTTTCTCGGTTTTCTCTTGGGAGTGCATTCACTATGGCAATTACGCTTTTTGAGGTAATATTTAAGTTGGTCACCACGAAAAAATCTCTGTTTTACTTAACTTATTAATATAAAAACAATGTAATAATACATATATATTTAAAACAACGTAAAAATAAAATTATAATACTGTTACAAGAAATATTGCTACCAAAAGTACTTTTAAATTGTGCATATGTCAAGCTTTGTTCTTTTATAGTGGCTGGCAGGTTATTCAACAATGATGCACGTTGACGTAGAACGCAATATACAAGATACCTGACTATGATATGTACGACTAAAATATGCTTCTACGTAGATTTTAGTTGCATATGTGAAAATTATTAAATGTTTAATGATATTGGTTTTTAAACTTCTATTATTAACATATATTTTACTGAGATTCTCGCTTTATGCCACCTTTCAAGATGGCATTCTCGCCTCAACTTGACACGGTGATTAGATATCTAGGGAATTGGGTTCTAAGTCATTGGATAAACAAAATAAAAGCCTGGCATTGGTTCTGTATGAATGCTGTTCACTGTACTGACGGCTATATCTAATGTAGAAAGTTTCATTTTGAAAGCATAAGGAACCTTTTCCTATCGTTAGTAAATATCAATTAAATAATAAGTTGGCAGTGTGACAATGATTGAATAATAACGAATGTTATAAAGCAACTGATGCCTACAGTACATTAAAAACAAGATGATTAAAACATCTTTTACCGCACCCTCTCCCCAAGTTCTAGACTAACGTACGACGATTTATTACTAAGCTTAACCCACCTTTGTCTCAGATTTCTGTTTCACAGGCTCGCTAAAACTTGCAAATGATGCAGTGAAAGGATCGTTCGATTTTGTTGCGTTGCTTGATGCAAACGGATCAGAAATGTTAGTACTGCTTGAGAACGAATCACTTTTGGGAGATTTGCTCTTTTCGTCGTCTACATGATTGGGAGGTCCGTCAAATAAATCTGTTCCAGAAAAAAAGTCGGAACTTTGAAACGGATCTGTAACAGAACCACTGTTGCTTGTTGTCGATTTGAACGGATCCCCCGAGAAGAAATCGTCTGAAGAACTCTGAAACGGATAAAAATAAATTGGTAATTACACATGTCAGTTTTTAGGAGTCATTTTACCGCATGGTGAGCTTATATAGCAGCAAATTTTAAAGAAAATCGTCTGAAGTTTCTGCCAAACAAAACACACCGCCTGTTGTATAAAACACATTTAATCAACAACATTAAAATTAACAACGACTACAACAACAACAACAACATCGACGACGATCACTATGACGACAACAAAAACGACAACAAAAACAACAAAAAAACCCCAACAACAACAACAACAAAAACCAGACACGCAGTATTGCAATCACCACCTTATCCTTCATTTGATTTTCATCATTTCTGCATTGTCATGAGAAATATCTCGTAAGTTTTTCTTTGTAATTTCGGAATTTCCCACTTACTTTATCACTTGGAAATGATGCTTGAAAAGGGTCATTACTAGAGGAACTGAAAGGATCTGAACTTGCATTTGGTGTTGCATCGGAATTTGCAAATGGGTCGGACTTGAAACCGTTTTCCTGTGCACATAAAGCGTCAAATTATGCTAGACTAAACAACATATCATACAAGTGATACAATACAAAAATAATAAAATATTCTTAAAGTCTAAAACCCAGCTGTATCATGCGATTTTTTTGCGCACACAATCACCTCATCTGCATTTTACGTGGCGAAAGAGCATTATCTTTCAAAGACAATAAAAATCCAAGGAGGCGACTCTTAAATCGGGTCGTATCAGCCCTCAAACTTGAGACATTAATAACCTGCCTTCATCAAATAGAAACCGAAAAATGCAATTGTGCTAGCTTACCGGGGATTTTTCACCGGAACTTCCAAATGGATCTTTCTCCTGTATCGGGTATCAATGGAGAATTGAATGAAGTATGGAAAGCAATTTTTGAATGTTGAGAAAAAATTTCACGTAGTTGTTTTTACCAACCTCAAAAGGATCAGAAGAAAACGGATCAGCAAATGAAACAGTTTTGAAAGGAGCAAATGGATCTATCTTTAATGCATCGTTTGTAGTAAATGGATCGTGTGCTTCTAAAAAAAATCCAATCACAAATTATATCAATTTGATAATCTTTCTCATATAATAGAAATCACAATTACATTAATAAATTTACAAAGTTATCAAACAAATCAAATAATTCCCTGTTTTTTATCGATTTTTTTAAATGCATGCACAACAACCAAAGGTAATATTGGAATATTCGTTAACAAAAGCATTCAAATTTATATCTATGAATGTCTTTCACAAGATACAAAGCAAAGCACGTTACATGGAATTCATATTAGACATCTTCTAACAACTTAGTATGAGTCTGTTTTCGTAATCTTAACACAAGTTTATTCGTTAAAATAAATACCACGTTCGGAAAATCATTGCGACTAACAGCAAACGGGTCTTAAGACAATGTTTGTACTAAACGATGAATTTCGTGAGATATAAAAATAAAAATATTGTTTTCTAACCAGAATCATCTTTGCTTTTGAATGGGTCAAGCTCCTAAAACATGTACAGAAGATTTTTCAATCAAGCCGTGAAGAAGTCCTGAGTCAGGCTTGATGTTACAAATAATTAAAATTTGCCACAACATAATCCAACCTTATCATCATCAGCACCGTCTTTGTCCTAAAAAAACACCATATACTATGTTCATTTTTTAGGAAGCTGTCTCAAAATGTACGTAACACAGACAGACATAAAACAACTCACAAAGAATCTTATCTAAAATCCCTAATCAAAAATTATGTTAAAACTTAGAACAATGTTCGTAGCATAGTAACCTTAAAGTCATCGACAGCTTCATCAACTCTTCCTGATCCAACACTGAATCCACTGATACTACTAACTGGACTGCTTCCCGCCTGAAATAATAAAACCACTTTATTATTCAGTGAGCTCGAAACTACAACAGTCGTAATATTAAACCTACATCACTACAAAAATAACATGATGGTCAAGTTGTGGAGTATGACAGGTTAAATCTCAGTCTCCAACTTCGAAATCATTAAATTCCATCCTTCTGTTTGAAAACATATCTATTTTAAATGTCGTGAAATTGATGAGAACAGTATAATGAAGATTGTGCCGGATACCAAAAATATACATTTTGTATGCATATATAATCTTGATATATTGAAAGAACTCCTATCTTTATAATATTTCTGACAATGAAAGATGAACGAAATACAATTTAGCATCTCAACTTTTGCCATAACAATAACTTACAGTTGCCCTAATGCTCATCGTATCCACTTCGGACGTCGTCGTAAGAATGTCTGTGAAGCCATCGGAACTGATAGGAGCAAAGTCACCTATACCTATCGAATTTGATTGATTGTTTACACTGCCACCAGACTGAAGAAGACTATTATACGTGTTGATTTCACCATTCAGCACATCATTGGACTCTTTCACCGACTTAAGCTTAGTTTGTACCTGAAAATTGCAAACATCAGTATATTCACATAAAACAATTTATGCTGTCCACATAAATTGTGTAATACTTCATTTAAAGTCTGATATGGCCCGCACGGAAATACGCACAAAGTAGTAACCAAAATCTCAAACTATCTTGCGCGCACACAAACTTATCATGGATCCAGCCCTATATTAGATTATATTTATACAGCACGATGTAGCAATATGTAGAACCAAGTATAAAGAACGTGTATAAAGAACGTTGAAAGCGTAACATGGCTGCAATATATTATTATGGTCGGCTATATAATACAATATTCTATCTTTTGCCTATAGAGACAACGGCAAATTGTATGGAAGAAGGTTCACATGATCTTCCCCATAAAATATATTGAAGACAAAAGTCTTTACTTATACAGTAAAAAATATAAGTACGCACTAAATGTAAGAGCAATTCTAGGGTTGTCTCCCCCCTAAAAAAAACTGGCCGGCGTGGTTATTTGTCTACGTTCCACAGTTTTTTGTGGTGACAGAAAAATAAAAAATAAAAAGCAACAGGTACATAAGATAAATCTTTGATTTGACGTAGACGATGGTTCAAACCTGCATTATTTCATCTTGAACGACATTCACTTGTTTTTGCACATTTTCTAATTTTTCTTTCTCCATTTGAACCTGAAATCATAGATTGACAACACACTCACTTCGCAGTTATTTTGACAAGATTTGAGCGCAAAAGAAATAAATCTTGAACTTGCACCATCACGTTTTAATTTCGCATAGATCACAACACAAAATAACCATAAATTGCAGATAAAATAGTTGAGAAAATGGCTCAAAATTATGAAAAGCAACCATCATGTCAGACAAACTATAATCGTTTTTGCTAGCTAAAACATTTTCAAAAACTTCTCCATTTTGTAAAGCACACCGTTCCTAAAACGTTGCAAATTCAAATCTAACCCCCCCCCCATTTAGTCATGGCTGACCAAATTCTTTTTAAATAACATTACGTAATAATAACCTCTTTTTCTAATTCTGTTTCTTGTTGTCTTAGTTTGTTCAATTCATTTCTTGCTGTGCTTAGTTCATCCTCTCTTTTCTGTTAAAATAAATACAAATCGTTTCATTTGACAATAACTGTTTTACTGTTCAAAATACATGCACTGCTTATATTACAAAAATTGGCTTATATTTCACCTGAATTGCAACATCTTCGTCGGCAATTTGAGCTTTCAAACTGTTTATCTGTAGAAAGCGTAAATACAAAAAAATATTTAAACTGCAAACTAAAATGTCACCACGTAACAAAGCTAAAAAACAGAACAACAAAACACTGAAATTGACAGCTAGTCCTTCCAGCACAAGAAACTTTGAAAATTAAATTAATGCCACAACTACGCATAAACAAGATAAATGTGCCAAACCTTTTGAGTTTCGTCATGGCATTTGCCTTGTATTTCCTTCAACTGGGTCTCAAAATTTACTTTCTAAACAATACCCAGATAAAATTTTCAATTTTAAATAGATTTTAAAAGATAGGTACATACAAAAACGTGTCTCACAAAGCACAATGCATAAATCTGTGAATAAATACATTTATATTCTTTTAAAGGGATATTCGAGCATTTTCGAAAAATCGTTCATATAAATTGCATAGTTTCTAGAGGGGTTGGAACCCACCCTACATAGACATACCCACCCCAAATTGGTAACCCACCCCTACATTTGGGTCTAAAATTTCCTTACCCACCCCTACATACGAGCCGAAAAAAAATTCGTTTTTTTCTACGGAAAGCTGATTTTAGACTTATTTATGGTCTCTCTATGCATACTATATACAACACTGATAAAGTCTATGTATAAATGGCTGATGCAATCAATGGCTGATGCAATCAATGGCTGATGCAATAACATGGTGTCAAATTAAGGAGATATCTTTGGTCCCTTATAGGGTAATATGAAGATAGATGATGCAATAACATGGGGGCAAAAATTGAGTGATGTTGAACTTTGAAGTTATTAACTTTTTTTATCATAGATGCATTTCATCTATTTTTTAATTTTTCTAATAGGGAAAATCTCGGAACCCACCCCTACATAGACATACCCACCCCTAGTTTATAACCCACCCCTAGAAATTCAAAATTTTTTCGACCCACCCCTAGAAGGCATTTTTGAAAATTCCAAGACCCCCCCCCCTAAATTTGGGGGGGGTAAAAAATGAGAATTGTTGGCAGCCAAAACTTTGCACAAATAAACTCCACACATGAATATTACAGTATGAAGTTTTGGTACCAAAACGTACAAGAGTTGCACGCTTTAATAGTCGCTTCTGGTAGCTTGTGACGTCGTAATTTGACTTGATCAGAGGAATGGCTTGGTTTCCATACTTCAATCAAGACTTTTTTGCCAAAAGTTTCTAGAGTGATTTTTCATGCACGGAGCTTTCTTTGTGCAAAGTTTCGGCTGCTAGCAATTAATTTAAAAAATGCTAACAAATGCGTTAGAGTACCTCTAAATCTTCCTGAAATATACCCAAAAAACTGAATGCAAAATAAATATAAGCTCGTAGAGTGAAAATGCACTCGCGTACCTCATGGTCTAGTTTGTCCAGTTGTTGTTTTGTTTCTTCTTTTCGTTTATCTAACTGTTTTATTTCGTCTTTCGCTTTCTCCAATTCGCTTTCCAATTCCTATTATCGAAATAAAAAGGATTCACAAAGTCAACGTTTATCGTTTTAAATCGCAACTGTCTAGTGGAAACAAAATATTATTCTCCTCAGATTATTAAATTACCTGAACTTCGATATGTCTTCGTCGAACTAAATCTTCGTTTTCTTCAATCTCCTTTTGCAAAGATGTTTTTGTTCTTTTAAGCAGAAAACCAAAAGAAATGCATCATACATTCAAATAGCTTCAAAAGCATTGAAGACGAAGCCAAAGAACTATTTCATAAATAAATTCAAAGAATGACAGTGTTTTGTAAACCAGAAAAACTAAAATTTAAACTTTTGTCATCTTTGGGTACAACTTAAAATAGGAAAGTCCGCAACCGCGCCTGTTCTGTGACCAATAAGAACGAAATAAAGTATTCATAGCAACAAAAATGTCAAAAGGCTAGTTGGTATAATAGAATATTAACTTCAATAACGCTATGTACATAAAGTATAACATTCTTAACCAACGAATACAGGCTCGATGCGTTAAAAAATATTCTCCCCTCATCTCAAGTCACGAATCAACCAATAAGGATAGATAAACTTACTTTCCCAACTCTTCAATTTCCTTTGATATTTTGTCGAGTTCCCCAGCCATTGACGAAGATGCGGTGCTCTAAAATACGGAGATACTTAATAGCTGTTCCTTACTCCATTAAAATATGATGAACCTCCCTGAGTACAGTACATTAAGTTGGTTGACATAGCACACCTTAATTGCTTCATCAATTGCACCAGGTATAATTAATGCCTGCCCACCAGCTCGCATTGATGGTGGAACCATCTCAGGTGGTAATGTTTTAGGTGGTTCGATCCCTTTCACCTATACGTATTTATGTATGATCGTCATTATTTCAAGATGCCATTAACATTATATATTTTAGGTGTTTATAACAATGATAAAGCTTTGAAGTTTTATAAAAACATTGAAAGTCGTTGTTACATGGATCGAGTAGCCTCACCCGTCCGAGTTGAATATTGCAAATGACTAAACCTATGTTTGTAAAGCTGCAGATAAAAACAACATAAATCCAGAATGATATTCGTTTTCAAATAAAGTCCTAGAGGCCGATCCTTAATGAGAAAGTTCAGGCTAGTCTCTTTTAATTAATACATCGAGTGTAGGCAGAACAATTTCATTATGTCGAAAAAACCTAACACTTACCTTTTGTTGTATGAGAAACATTGCCAGACAAAATTGTTCGACGTTTAAGCGACCAGAATTGTTCACGTCACACAAACTCCTTTATGAAAGTAAATTATAAAAAAAATTTTTGGGGGTACGTACCTTGCTCGCAGGGCAGCCACTATGCAACCGGCGTAATGCGAATTGTTCTGTAAAAGTTTACTTGTCATCACGCTGCATTTTTTTGTTCGTCTAACCATTATATAATTGGTTGCATGGGCAAGAGTTTGATTGAAGCAATATTATAGAACAATGCATTCTGATTGTTGTCACAGTACTAAAGGAATGTGTGATGCAATACTGCTGCTAGGTACCAGCAAAAAATTTTCATTGGCGTTAATAAAACAGTTTCTAACGTACGTAACGGTAAGAAAATTTTTCAATTTAGTGAATTTTTTCTGCTATTACTGCGATTCAAAGTTGTTCTTCAATGGACCTTGACCGTCGCGGCATGAAGTCTGGGTCGGGCCACATTGTGAAGTCATCCAAGGTAAATGGCATATATATTTTGTATTGACGATTCCCTTGAATGACGTCAGAAAAATAAAACTATCAAGACTTTCTGACGACGGAAAAGATCCATCAAAAAGGACATTTTTGCCCAATTTAAACCGCCATAAACACAGAACGATTTGACAATATAAAAAACTTTGTTCGCGGATAACGTAGAAATCCCACATAAATTTAACAAACGCTAATAAAAAATTTTACTGCTAGGGGTACTTTAACTATTGCAATATTTTACAATGCTTTACCAGGTTGACCGTAAATAACCCACCATATATGAGCAAGAAGTAGCTGCGATAGTCCAGAAGCCATGAAAATACTTTTTACCTCGTCTCCTAGAGAGAAAGTACAATGAAAATATTTCCACTGACTTTATCAGGTTTTATATATTCACTCTGGTAATGTGATGTTCATGTGGCGAGTAATAACAAAAAATGATCAATATTTGCTAATTTTTTTATTTAGATAAGTATTGCTCTAAAAAAATTTCGTCCATTTTTGGTCACGAAACACTGAACTTCATAAACAGTATGTGTGTACATATTTCAATGCTTCGCAAATGTGAAGAATGAAGATTACGTCATTTTAAAAGTTGATCTTCTGAAGTTAGAACGAGGTCAGCCGGTGAAAGACTCGGAGAAAACAGCCTATTGGCGCAAATGAATTTTAAACACAGAGCTGTATTTTATTATTTTATCCATTGATCATGTTGACACAAAATTTGACTTACCTGTGACAAAATTATCGTTATCTTTGTCAACAGTTTTAAACATTGCGTCGTATTTCGATTTTTCCGCTGGTGTAACGACCCAGGGAACGTTACTGGACACCTACGTATATGAGAAAAAAATATGAATACATTGCAATGGAAGCACACTATATGCACATTCTATAAACTATAAAGCAAGCAATAAGACGAAAAAAGACAAACGTCGTGTACTGATGTACATTTGATGAAACCTAAAATCAACTCACGGAGGTTGTAGTAACTTAGAGTGCACGCGATTAGTAAAGATCACCAACAAATGCATCACTTTTCATGGAGAAAATAAATTATTTACAAGGCAAAATTATCATTGTACATCAAGGATGAAAACTTCGTAACATTTACGATAGTGTGTCAGGCACGTAGAATGAACGATAATTGGGGGGGGAGGGGGGGCGTATCCATATATGCATGACATTTCGTATTAGTTTCTTTTGCAATCCATTGTTTTTGATGGATTATAAAATGAATAAACGTATGAATACGACCCGCCATCCAATTATCGTTCTGGCTACATGCCTGCAGTGTGTAGTCCAGAATTTGACACACTCATGGCAACGAGCAGTCCAGATTGTGACACATTCATGGCAGTGTAGTCCACATTACATAACGTTTATTGCATACATTATTTTACTACTAACGTGTGAAGAAGTGGTAGACGCCATTATAGGTGTAGGAGATACACCTGGTGATTTCTTAGGTGATACGCTATCTGGTACGAAGAATCTCTTGGACGGTGGAATAAGAGAAGGAGATAAAGATTGCGGCACTGCTTCACCTTCGAGAGCTTTGTACACTAAATGCATTGCCTGAAAATATAAAATGTGAACGTGTAACATAGAAGTGACTTGAAAATTAAATCTCAAAAAACTTATATGATCCTACGTAAATTATTAATGGTTACTGAACATGTCTATTCAAATACGTTGTATAACATAAAAAATTTACATGACACCATTCAAATTATTTACATGACACCGCGCAAATTATTAATGGCTACTGAGTACGGTATGTCTAATGCTATTACGTTGTAGCTATGTATACTTGACGACGTATGTTGTGAAACTACAGTAAAGCTGCTCAGTAGCGAAGCCATGCCGCTTCTTACTCTAAACAATTTAAAAGTTTAAATTTTGATTACAAACGAGCTACGTGAAACAATCAAAGTTCAAATTTTGTTTTTACACGTACTACATGACACTAAAAAAGTTTAAATTTTGGTTTTACACGTACTACATAACAAAATCAAAGTTTAAATTTTGTTTTTACACGTACTACATAACAAAATCAAAGTTCAAATTTTGTTTTTACACGTACTACATGACACTAAAAAAGTTTAAACTTTGGTTTTACACGTAGCACATGACAAGATCAAAGTTTAAATTTTGTTTTTGCACGTACTACATGACAAAATCAAAGTTTCAATTTTGTTTTTACACGTACTACATGAAACTATCAAAGTTTAAATCTTGGTTTTACACGTACTACATGACACTAAAAAAGTTTAAACTTTGGTTTTACACGTACTACATGACAAAATCAAAGTTTAAATTTTGTTTTTACACGTAGTACATGACAAAATCAAAGTTTAAATTTTGTTTTTACACGTACTACATGACAAAATCAAAGTTTAAATTTTGTTTTTACACGTACTACATGACAAAATCAAAGTTTAAATTTTGTTTTTACACGTAGTACATGACAAAATCAAAGTTTAAATTTTGTTTTTACACGTACTACATGACAAAATCAAAGTTTAAATTTTGTTTTTACACGTACTACATGACAAAATCAAAGTTTAAATTTTGTTTTTACACGTACTACATGACAAGATCAAAGTTCAAATTTTGTTTTTACACGTACTACATGAAACTATCAAAGTTTAAATCTTGGTTTTACACGTACTACATGACACTAAAAAAGTTTAAACTTTGGTTTTACATGAACCACATGACAAAATCAAAGTTTAAATTTTGTTTTTACACGTACTACATGACACTAAAAAAGTTTAAACTTTGGTTTTACATGAACCACATGACAAGATCAAAGTTTAAATTTTGTTTTTACACGTACTACATGACAAATCAAAGTTTCAATTTGGTTTTTACACGTACTACATGAAACCATCAAAGTTTAAATCTTGGTTTTATACGTACTACATGACACTAAAAAAGTTTAAACTTTGGTTTTACATGAACCACATGACAAAATCAAAGTTTAAATTTTGTTTTTACACGTACTACATGACAAAATCAAAGTTTCAATTTTGTTTTTACACCTACTACATGAAACTATCAAAGTTTAAATCTTGGTTTTACACGTACTACATGACACTAAAAAAGTTTAAATTTTGGTTTTACACGTAGTACATGACAAAATCAAAGTTTAAATTTTGTTTTTACAAGTACTACATAACAAAATCAAAGTTTCAATTTTGTTTTTACACCTACTACATGAAACTATCAAAGTTTAAATCTTGGTTTTACACGTACTACATGACACTAAAAAAGTTTAAATTTTGGTTTTACACGTAGTACATAACAAAATCAAAGTTTAAATTTTGTTTTTACACGTACTACATGACAAAATCAAAGTTCAAATTTTGTTTTTACACGTACTACATGACACTAAAAAAGTTTAAACTTTGGTTTTACACGTAGCACATGACAAGATCAAAGTTTAAATTTTGTTTTTGCACGTACTACATGACAAAATCAAAGTTTAAATTTTGTTTTTACACGTACTACATGAAACTATCAAAGTTTAAATCTTGGTTTTACACGTACTACATGACACTAAAAAAGTTTAAACTTTGGTTTTACACGTACTACATGACAAAATCAAAGTTTAAATTTTGTTTTTACACGTACTACATGACAAGATCAAAGTTCAAATTTTGTTTTTACACGTACTACATGAAACTATCAAAATTTAAATCTTGGTTTTACACGTACTACATGACACTAAAAAAGTTTAAATTTTGTTTTTACACGTACTACATAACAAAATCAAAGTTTCAATTTTGTTTTTACACCTACTACATGAAACTATCAAAGTTTAAATCTTGGTTTTACACGTACTACATGACACTAAAAAAGTTTAAATTTTGGTTTTACACGTAGTACATAACAAAATCAAAGTTTAAATTTTGTTTTTACACGTACTACATAACAAAATGAAAGTTCAAATTTTATTTTTACACGTACTACATGACAAAATCAAAGTTTAAATTTTGTTTTTACACGTACTACATGACAAAATCAAAGTTTAAATTTTGTTTTTACACGTACTACATAACAAAATCAAAGTTCAAATTTTATTTTTACACGTACTACATGACAAAATCAAAGTTTAAATTTTGTTTTTACACGTACTACATGACAAAATCAAAGTTTAAATTTTGGTTTCACACGTACTACATGACAACAGCATTAACGAAAGAACAAAGAGAGAAAGTGTGAGACTTACGTACCACGGAAAATTCATCCTTGTCCAACATCCCATCGTTGTCAATATCAGAGAGATCCCAAACTCGACCAAGAATATCAACATGTAACTTAGAATTCAGTAAAACCTGTAAAGAAAAAAAAATCACAATTGCCGTCCTCGTCTGTAGCTAGAGATAAAGGAAAGGACATATACCATGTTCAAAATCAGAAATAAATTTAACAGGAAAGATAGAAATATTTTTTAAACCAACCCTTCGTTTTGAACCAAGCCTACCAAACGAGCGCAACGTCCTAGCTGACAAATGTTTATTATTTTAATAACTTACTGGTTTGACTTTATCCCCAGACAGCAAGCCGTTCACTGGTGTTAAGGACTAAAAATATCATAAATTATTAAACAGTTTGTACTTAAGTCCACAATGTTTCATTTATCTCGTTGACAAAGTGTTTCGAAGTTCATTTGAAGATTCAGAAAACTCAATTCTTAGCTATCCAATTATTATAGTCTTCGAAACTGAGATTTGCAATTTTATTGTATATAATGACAGAGAACAAACTTTCAAACGATTGAACAAAATTTGCAGTATCATTCAAAAAAATGTTGTTAAATTGTGAGGGTTATTGCATAAAGACAGTTATCCCCGCATAACCAGTTAAAAACATAATCTAAGGAGCGACAATGAGTATTTGATTTCGTGCTGTGTTTTAAGCCCCCTAGTGAAAAAGTATCCATCAACGTTGATACCAAGTACAAAGCTCCTAATTCAAAAGCAATTTCATTCAAACTTCACGGACATCTCGTGATATAGAGACACGCGACCATAAAGCTTCATTAGGATGATGGATGCTAACACGAGTACTTACCTCAAATATACCATCGTACTTTGATTTTTCAGCAGGCTAAACAACAATAGACACATGGATTTAAAAGATTGTTAGAAAAACAAGGTCATGTAGACATTCATTAGTTAGCGAACTAATTGATTACAGTTGCATGACAAAGTGACAATATTCAATTTTGCCTCTCAAAACCAAATCATGTTCTAGATACTATTTGCATAGTTTGATTTAATAAAGTAGAAACACGGGGACACTTTTACATCACATACATCTAATTAAATAATTTGAATAGGTATGTTCTCAAGCGGTGAATTTTCTGCACGGTGCAGGGGGGTGTGTAACCCCTCAAAAATTCTCTAGCACCCCGCCAAGAAAAGTTCTAAAATGGTATAACCTACATGCTGTAAACAATTAATATAACAGTATTAGAGGCTAAGAAATTGTAGAATATGACTAAGTAAAGGTAGTCAAAGAAAACTTCTCATTTCAAAGGCAATTATGTATTTCATACCATCACCATTGGCAATTGAGTATGACCATGCACCTTTTCATTGAAACATTGAAATTGAAATAAATTACTAAATGCGCATTTCTTAACAAGAAATAAATACAATTTTTTTGAAAAGGTAAAAGCGCTATCATTACGCAAAGTTCACTCAGCTCTAAACAAAAAATCTGAGATAGCTTGATTTCTGATGATTCAAAATATTTTTAATACTAAAATTATTAAACATTAAAACATTTTGCAAGATGTTCAATCTTTAATTTACCTGAATCAACCATCCGGAATTGTCACCAGATAAAGAGGTCACGTTATGCTCACCCTAAAATGTGAAAATTATTGTGAAATATTGCAGTTAATTGAAACATAAATTTTGTGACATGAAATCAATGCATGACATTACTTACCAAATTAGGAGGTGGTCCAGGCAGCGATATATGAAGCAAACTGACCTCTTTGCCATTTTGGGCATTAGCAATGAGCCGTAATGCAACATAAAAACCCTATGAATAATTGAAAGAGAAACCAGTAGGTTAAAATGAAACATAATAATCCAGGTAAAGGGATAATTGTTTGCAATTAAAATGTATTAGTTGAAATGCTAGAGTTAGCTCAAAGACAACAAACAAATTTATACACAGAACAAATGAAAGACAAGCATTTTTAGGCCCATCCCAAGACTATGTACCTGCTTGTCCAGGTGAGAGTTTCCAGTTGGATTAGATAATTCCCATATCTAGAAAGGAAAACATTATTATGATCGCAGCATTCATTATTTCAAAGACAAAATCTTCATCAAGCATATCCTACAACACTTAAACATGATATCTAGTGTATTTAATTAGTATTCACGTATCTACAGTAAAAGTAATTACCTCACGTAATATTGCATCACCAAGACCTGATCGTTTAAGGAACCGTGCTGCTTCTTCTGCATTGATCTTTCCTGATCCTGAAATGTCTACCTAATATAAATGTATTTCATAGAAGTAATGAACAACTTGGTTATGTTATCAATACTTTTTGGCTCCTATGCAAATATAATCAACTTTACACAATTTTTTTCCATCCAAATGAATGTTATCGGTGAATCTAACATACTTATTATTAACCAGTGAATCTAAGTAGTCATTATCAAAAGTACAAACTAATACAAACCTGTTTCCAGTAATTCTCATAAAGAGTTGAATGGCCACTTGAGAGCTAAAAATTGAATTAACAAGCTAAACAAACATTAATGTACACAACTATATGTACAAGAAGCAATGGTCATTTAAGCAATGGAAAACTATGGCAAACCCATTACACTTCAATATGCAAATATTTCTCAGTTGACTCAATAGTAAAACATTGAGTGAGAAGAAGATAGTAAGAATGGTCATTTCTTAAGAAATGAAAGATAAATATTGCTGGATAATCTGCAAAAAGAAGCAAATAATCTGGATAGCATTGCCAATAATCCACTATCATCGAGTCTGTCTTTTAGGCATTTGAAATGTTCCTATTACTGCTGTCTTTGATGATACTTTCTTATTATTTTTCAACAAATAAAATAGAAATATGAAACAACACCTGTGAAAGCTAAAAGGTGAAAGTTGATCAAGTGAAATTAAAACAAGACTAAATGAAATTACAACTATGTTCAACAAGATTTCATATTTCTTTTAGTGTGGTATTTGACAAAATTAAAAACCTCGCCTTTTAACTCTTCAAAATACATAAATTTGACAATGCGAGATATACTTTATGAATCAACATTCAGGCTTCAGCAACGTATAATCTGCAAGGTGAGTGATCACTGAATGAAATCGCCATTAAGATAAACTACGCTCACAAGAAGCTTTGATTATTATGAATGAGAAAAACTATAATGCATCATTTACTAGTACAACACACTTTCTGAATTGATCAATGACAAGAGTTTGCAATTATTACTATCTTTTTAATATACAGGTATTATTTCTGGAGTTGCACACACAATGACAAATTAACTCATTCCGATAACATGTCGTTTCAAATTGATTTCAAACGACCATAAAAATGAATGAAATAAAAGCACTCAAGCTTAAAAAGTGGCCGCTTACCTGAGATAATGATAACGAACTAACTGCAGCCATATTCGTCGAAGCTTTGATCAATGACTGGAGTCATGAATGATCATAACACCTCAGTAAATGTTATGTATTTAGATCAGTGGGAATAATATATGTGAAATATGCACATGTGAATAAGAACGTCATTATTTCATTAAAGAAATCTGGGAAATCTTTCTCTTAAGTCTTTGGCCAGATTAGCCAATTGTCCCCTGGCTGACACATGAACCTGTAAAAATATGTTTGTGGTATGAATGAAGGAATGAGGCAAAGTACTCGAGTATTTACAGTTTGACTAATTACAAATGTCTCAGAGCAAGAACGAAAAAGGTATTAGGAGAAAATTCCTTTACTCTGTCATCATGCAAAATAAGCATTTCTAATGTTTTCGATTCCTGGAAAAATCGATTCATTAAATTTACCACTTTAATATAAAGTGGTAACTTAAAAATATTCGTCATGATTTAATATGTCATAAGATTTTGTTTAAAACGATCAGTCCTGCAGGTGTATGGTTTAAAAAATCTTCAAAAATTCTGAATATTATACAAAGGTAGAGGTTTTCTTTCTTTGAGATCTCTAATTATTGATTATATCATAAAGAATAATCATGAGCCCACAAACGTTCCTTGGACCTTAAGGTACTCCTGCTGTAACCAGGAAGAGTTTCAAGTCAACTGTCTTTGCTTTTGATGACAAGCTATACCCAGTGGTGTAGCCAGCCTGCGAATTTGGTCCTGCTATGTTAGTTTTTCTGTGTTCACTCGCTGTAAAAACAACAGATTTCTAAAGAAATGAATAATGTTAGTTAATGACATAAAATTTACATAGCAGGACCAAAACTTCTGGGCTGACTACGTCACTGTATATATCTTTGCAATAAGCATATTGTTGTCAACAAAATCAAAAGTTTAAATGTAGTTGCACTATTCTTCTATTGTGATTTTGTGAGTCCCATCTTAGAGCGCAATTAAATTTGTTCATGCGGTGCAAATTTTTCATCATTAGCATTATTTATTTCTTTTACAGTGAGTAAACACAAAAAGAAACTTACATAGCATAAACAAACTTGCGTGCTGACTACGCCACTGCTTCCAGGTGATATTACTCACTTTCTACCAGCCTTTCTCGTGATTTTTATCAGTGTTCTGTACTGAACATGGTTTCAATGATTTCATCATCTCCCTCAGCTTTTTAATCTTTATATAGATAGACGGTAAATATACACCTCATAACAAATGAAGAGGCTTCTTCTGTAGGAGTAAATTGATATTTCTAATAATCAATTCACCATAGATGATAGGTATTGAAGTTAAACAAACTATCCATAGAGTAACTAAGCAAAGTCATGCGATATAATTTTTGTACATATGCTATCATGTGCATCATGATCATAAAGACACTGAACCGATGGAATACACGCTGTGCTAAAGTCAAGGGGACTTAGCTGAGATAGAGCATGATTTCCTTATTCTGTTTTTTATTGAAGCTTAGTTGCCGAACAATCATGATAGAATTTTTGTGAGGATGCAAAAAAAGTGCCACGCCACAGTGACCATCGTTTCCATGACTGATGACGGTCATGCCATTAACGAATTATCTTTTCACGGCTGCAGTCACCTGATACCTAAGAAGAATCTAACCCTTTTGCTACGAAAGATATAGCAAACACGTCCTCTTTGTGATGTAGCAACATCACACGTACTATATATATATATATATACGTCCCAGTTGTGATTTTTGTATAAACCTTAGTTTTTGTGCCAAAAAAGATAGCAAATAATTCTGCCTGTTGTGGCATAAGCTGTTGATGTAGCGAAAAGATTATAAAGGAAGAAAAAGGTTGCCCAAGAGGTATACCTCATTACGTATACATGAAATACAAGATCGGGTGATTTAATAGGCATTCCTGGGGTTTTTTTCTTATCCATGTAACTTGACGCATAGTTAGTTGTTGCTATGGATAAACGAAATGTAAACAATTCTTAAAATATATGATCTTGAACAACGTATGAAATTTGTCGTTAATGTAGACAGACAATTACAATTTTATTCTAAATATTAAATGGAATGGGCTCTGCTGTATCGACATTTAATAGCAAGTCTAATGCCTTAGGAAAATTTTGCCATGACGATAATGTGAGTGGATTCTATACTATGTTTGTATGTCTCAACATCTCTTCAGTGAAGACTGACTTGAAATCTGCTGAACTTGAATGTGCTTTGCATGCTTTTGTGGGATGTTTGATTGTTGTTTTCATAATATATTTCTTCATATCATAGTTTAATTTGAAGCAAAATTTTAATTTAGATAACTCAGAAACTTTGCATGTCCAGTCGTAAGAGTGATATTCTCATTTCGTTTATCTCTTTCAAAATCTCTTCGGAGAACTTGTAACCTTGAAAGTAAATGATGAATTAAAATCATTCTAGATATTGCCAATGCATTCACCCTCCTTATTGGACTTGGGCCATGGTACCATAAGACATCGTCATATTCGGTTAAATGAAGAAATTTCAGAAAAACCTAAAAGTTTAAAAACAAGCTATTTTTATCATCCAAAATTAGAAGATTACAGCGAAGGTAAGAGAGTTATGTTGTTAAATACATCATTAAATTTGAATGCTTTTTGCAATACTCGAGTATAAGCGTGTGAGAACAGTTGAAACGGCGAGTCTAGCCTGACTCTGCATTTAAATATTGAACGTTTTTTCTTTTTAATTTATTATATATAAGATGCTGTGGTGAAACCTGAGGATGCTTTTAAGTTTTACTATGTGTTCAAAGGAGCAAGAAAAGATCAGACGAAAAACCTGTATTATGTTTATGGAACCAACGTACACAGCAAGGATCCTGGCGTCAAACATGTGTCATACAAGCCACAAGGAAAAGGATATAAGTGGCCTGAGTCTTTTAGGAAATCAAATAACCTTTATTATGACCTCATATTCTTAGAGCAAGGTAGTTATTCAGTAATAAGAAACTGCCATTAATCAATGCCCAAAGATGCCTATGTGGGAGCACCTGCGGCCACGTGACGTTTTTCAACACGGAGATGTTTTTGAATGATAGCATGATTTACAGAGAAGTATTTTGAGCAAAACAAGTCACGAGAATATATATGTGCTCAAATGTTTATTCGCGACTGTTTGTATATGATGTGATCATTGGCAAAATTTGCATTTAGATTCAGTCTTTTAATGGTGATGGTGTATATCATTCATGTTCTTTTTTCAGATCGTGGGATTTCTAACTATGCAGATACCATAAGTTTGGACTCACATGTAACACTTGATAGTGGAAACACTAATTCCACCCAGTCAAAAGATACAATAAGGTATCTTTCCGCAATTTCGTTCTTACTCCCCCATATTTTATCTCTAATCCTGAAATTAGTTTGATTTTTTTTGTCTTTTAAGGATGACATTAACAAATCTAGATAGTGCTGAAACAATCAAACGAAAACTGGCCGTTAAACTTCTTGTTCCTGCCATAAATATCCATATCACATTTAACAGAGCTGAGTTGAGGTGAACAGATGGTCTTTATTGAAAAGACACTTAATTAATTATTTAATCAATTATCTACAGATATATAGCATTATGGCAGCTTCTTCCGAACGGCATTTTACTTCAGTAGCTCATAGCCTCATAACGGAATGTTGTTGATGGTTTTTACAGCAAAATTTGCACCGAAATATTTTGAAGGTCTTTTTTCAAACATGGCAGACCCCAGCCTAACTCCAAATTCATAGCAAATATAAAGGAATCTAAAAACAGGTTTATACGATAAAAATTTTATTGGCTTTGTTTTAAAGTGTGTCACGAAGCACTCGGCATGTATTCTGTAAAGTTTTTTGAAATCGATTTTTAAATTCATTGCATGCAGGACACCAAAAATAATTTGTTTTTAAAACACCGTCTCAAATGTAAGAAAAGTACCACATATATTTCTTATTTTTAGGAATGAAGATGTCATTAGTGACTTGAGATCACCTGAAGAAGGAATGTGGAGACAGTTTTCGGTGTTGCTACGTTTAACTTGACAGTTGACATCCATTGAATTAAAATTGTCAAGTGTGCGTCTACATACAAAGATTAACGTATTACGAGTGTGTTTACAAGTGTAAAATTACAGTGAGAACAAGACAAACAGTGATGACATTACAGTGATGAAAAAGACAACAAATATATAAGAAAAAATATATAGTATAAAGTGTGAGTGACGATGAAGATGGTGCAAATCAACACAAAACGTAGTGGGATAGTCAAAACAGGTCGAGAGAGATGGAACTGCCTTGGAAATTCTGTGAGGGTGCGAGTTTAGACTTTAGAGATCAGGAGGCTTTCATTGTCAGGTATGAGTCTAGGGTGGTAAGGTGAATTGTGAAGAAGATAAAATTGTGAAGTCGTTAAAGGAAGCAGTGTAACCTGACGTGTCAATATGGATAAGAGACTGCATCTGGTAGGGCATGCTGACTGTTTTCCTGTGAAAGGCAAAATTCCCATGTTCTAAGTGATTCTGGTGTGAAGATGCTACATGGCGTGTGGTTTGACCCATAGAGTCATACGACGCGTGTGCCACTCGACCTTTCCTACTACGTTTTGTGTTGATTTGCACCAACTGTACCTTTACTATAACTTTATACCATATATTTCTCTTTACTTTTTTTGTCCTGTTCATCAAACTAAATTCACTGTAATCATTTGTAGCCACGTCACTAATATGCAAATCTTTGTATATATATAAACGCACACATAGTCTAATGTCACAACGTCTTTTAACAATGAATTGATGAAAAAATTGTGTACTTCAAAAAGTTCATATTCACCTTTCTTTTTTCTAATCTTGATTGTAAAAACAAATTTGAAACACAAATACAAAGATGCACTTGAAAAAAGTGTAATGCAAACTATGCAATAATGTGTAAGCCTCCAAAAAATTTAAAGTGGTAAGAAACGCGCATTAAACTTCGTGGGTTACGGTTTGCTAATTGTGATTCGATCTTATACAGATATCATATACTTTCAAAACTGTCAAATTAGTTCTCTAATAAGGAAATAATAACCTTTGTTAATAATTACGTTTGTTGCAATTATGTAGCAATAATTATGTAACAACTCGCTGTCCAAGCTTAAATGTCTTGTTCGTATCATTGTATGTGGTCCATCAGCTGTTAAACAAACAGTATTCACATGCTATCACCTATAACGCTTGCGTGACGTATCTGTTGTGTTGTCATTTGTCTTCCGGCCTTTACGAAAATAGCAGATTCTGAAATAGCAGATTCTGAAATAGCAGATTCAAAATAAGTACTTCATGGCGTTTTTGCGAGACAGATCAATATTTTGTCTACCTGAGACTCTACTTCGTGACGAACAACGGCAAATAATTAGCGGAATATGTATCTTTACTGCTATTTTGGGATTTGCAGGAGCAGCTTTCCAACTTTGCTCAATGAGACAATTTCGAAACCGACAGAGACGATGGCCTTTTCCTAACCCTGATATCATTCGTTGTTTGGCAGTGTCTGATTTGATCTCCTGCGTCGGTTTGTTTCATCGTTATTTTTTTTTAATGGTTCTTTGTATTTTTGTTATGATGATTTTGGTATTGATACATGTTGTTTGTATGATGTTGGCACTGCCAATATGCGCAGGTGAAGTAAGTTAGGCATAAGATGAACACACAAAAACTTGATTCCAAAGAACAACATTGTTCAGAATTCAAAGATATGTTTTTGAAAAATTCTCTTGGGGATCAATTATACCTGTGTTGTTGGATTTAAGTTTACCTAGCTGAAATAGTGAACATGAATGGTTTGTTTGGTTGTAATAATGAGTTGGTGACAGGTCTTTACACATTATGTCACAACAAAACAAGGTTCATTTTGTGTTACAGTAAACATGATCTTTCGATCTTGTTGAGAATCATTTTTAGATAAAGTAGGAAACATTCTTAAAGTTTGCATAAACTACTTGTATGCTTCATATGAGCAACTATCTCCTAATCTGTATTATTACTCATAATCGAGTTTGAAAGTATGTGTAGCTAGGTAAATCAATGGAAATTTAAACATTTGACTATTTCACTTGATATCAAAGTTGTGAGAGCATATGATTTCAAGTTGTGAAGCTTATAATTCATAAGTACTTTTTTTGTGCATTTTGTCTACTAATGAGCATTTCTAGTTTGCAATAACTTATTAATGGAGGAATCACATAAACCTAACTTTGTGTTTATGTTTACACCTATATGCTGCTAGTGAGGACAGGATTAACTACAACATACAATGAATGAAGTATATTTTGTTTCAGTGGTGGGTTGCTCAAACAAGGCGGCCAAGTAGTGAAACTGCACCCAAGTGCAGATGCCAAAATAAATTGGATTAGGAATTCATTGGTACATAAGGGTTCATATGTATGTAGGTATACAGGCCAGGTGAGAGGTTACCCCCCCCCCGAGTTGAGTGTGGGCCTCAGTTGTCACAGCAAGCAAGAGGATTGCTTAAAAATCACAGCTTTGGGCTTGAAAGAATTTCAGTTTGTTTTCTTTTCATTTTTTAGCCATTGTGGATCTTAAGCAGCTATACAATAAAACAATACATTTTACTCATTTAAAACAAGCAAATCTGAACAAATAAAATTTAATTGAAACTAATTGTTGTACGTATAACTTACTTTTACGTGTAAAAAGCTTGTTGCAATTGAAAGTGTAAAATTGTTGTCTTGTATTTAGGTGTAATCGCTCTAGCCATTTGTTTAATTGTGATGAAACCACCAAAACAAAAAGAAGATTCCTCAATTTACGTTCCACAACACAACAGTATCTACGAACCTATTGGGACTGCTCTTGAGGTTAGCTCTTTGTCGTAATATGACAGAGAAAAAACATTGGGACTACTCTTGAGGCGGGCTCTTTGTCGTTATATAACAGAAAAAACATCTTGTTGATACGAAATCAAGCTTAATGTTTTGTTTCATGATTCAGTTTCTCTTCATTTATTTCTGATAGATGGGTTTATCACCTTTTTCCTTATGCGTAGATTATAACGATGTTTGGTTATTTGTCATCTTATTTGTGGACACTTTTCTATGCTGTCGATGCTTGTTCTCAAATATATGAAAAAGAGTGGTGAGGAGACAGAACGTTTTATGGCGTTTAGTGATGTAAAAAATTTTCACAAGTTCTATTGTAGCTAGTAGTTTTCCGTTCTTCCTATGAAAACGTTGTTGTAGTATTATTCATCTGTTGCTTCATATGAAGGAGGAACTCATATGAAAATGGTGCTGAATTTTTCTTGGATTTTTTATAGGTCAATGGTCGTTTATCACATCCTTGCTTGGGGAATCCCTGTGGAGCTTATCACAATCATTGAAGCTGTTAATCTTGGAGAGTATCCACACGTGTAAGCATGCATTTGAAGTAAAACGGTTCGTTGCCAAAACTTGTTATGTCATCTCTCTTGTCCCCCAGTAACACATTTTCCTCTTAATTGCTGCAGCTTTACTTAATTTATCAGATCCATTTTCTGTTGTTTAGATGTGAAGAATTCTACGGTCGTTTTTCTCGAGTACTGCTATCTTACACGCCTGTAATGGTTATTGTGATTGCGAATCCGATTATTTTCATCGTGACTTACGGCAGAAGTAAGTTTTATTTTTTCTGAACGTCGAGTATCAAATTTGTCAATTTGCCTTTCGAGAATTCAGCAAACACGGAAGATCCATTTGATGTACACCGTGATTACATTTTACGGCGCTTGAAAGAAATGGTTTTGAAACTGTGGGAGCTATTTAAACAATAATCGACCTCAACAGTTATTACAATTGCTAAAATAGAAGACTGACATAGCTATTACCTCAAAAGACGTTTCTTTTTAAGAGGTAAGCACTTTCCTAGGAATTGAACGACAATTTTTAACTTGCATTTCGAAAGTCAGATATCATTTCAAAAAGAAAAATGCTAGTATCCACTACCATTCATCCGCTAAATTACATGCATTTTGTATGACGCTCTGACAATGCATGAATTTTTTCAAGCAATCTATTTATTTTCCACTCTTTTGTCCATTCGCCTGAGAAATTACATCAATGTCACATGGATCTATTGCTGAAATAACTCCTGCAGCTTTAAAACCATTTATTCCAACCTCTAGGATAAATGCTCTTACTGTATGTATTTATTCAAGCTATTATTTTTTGTCAATATGCTCCTAATCCTTCATAGCTACCAGTATCGCGTATTGAAATCTCTAAGAGATTTTAGAATTTATAACACACTAGTGATTTCGATAATGTAACTGATGTATTGAAGCACAGATTTCATACTGTATGTACAAAAAATGAACAACATATATGTCCATGGTTTGTTGTATCATACAGGCTGTTGTATATTTGAACATCACTACCTTACTTGTGTTGTGTATACAGTTCTTAACCAATCTTTTCTTATTATAGTAAAAAAGAAACTACGATCTTCTGGCAGTTTTAATGATGATCATCGAAATGCACTTCATACAATGCGAAGAAGATTTTGCTGGATGGTCACTGCATTCGTTGCTTGGTAAGATCTTCACGAATATTTGGTGCTATTTAGTCATGCAGCTTCGCCTTAAGTTTTTTTTGCTGAAACTGTTTCCATTAAAGTTGATATCATTCTGGGTTTTTTCTCACAGTTGGCTGCCTAACATCGTTTCCGTCACGATATACTACGTCATGTACAAGAAGATCTTGAGCACTAAAATTGCTCCCGTATTTTGGTATACGGAGGTGAGTACGGAAACTACCCTGTGATATTTTTCTCATCTTTGTACTCGTATCATACTCTTATCTTACATACTCATATCGATGGACTGCCTGAATAAACATCATGCCGCCAGCATATTGCCAACCCACTGAAAAATCCCAGCAGTTAAAACTCATGCTGTAATGTCTTTTTTTAAATCTTTTCGATATTTCATTGACAGGCGTGCTTGAACCCGTTGCAGGGATTTTTTAACTATTTTCTGTACCGTCGTGCTTTTAAAGTGACTCCAACCGACACACGACCCATGCCCAATTCCTTACCCCCTGTACGCATCACGCCTTCTTGGGGCATTTACCGAGCGGATCGTCGTAGTTTTCCTCCAAAAGGATCTAAAAATCAGACTTTGCAAAGAGTCACTGCTTCAGAATCAAGTCATGATGAAGAAAGGCCGCTTATCCCACCGGAAACCAAGATAGCAAAAACCGGTCCACGTTACGTTTATATAAGCAGATTACTGGGTGAATAGCATGACCATACGTAGTAGAGCCACAAAATTTCTTGTGAAACGTTTTACAATATTGTGGTTAGTACACAATCACATTTATAATGAAGACCTAAACAAAAGAGTATAATTATTACAGACAATATGTGTTTTGATTCCATTTCTTTTGTGCTCATACTTGCTGAGGAGGGGGTGGGGGAGTCAAAAGATTCAAGATTCAAAACTGCAATGTTTTTTCCTATCGTATGTATGGAAGAAGAAACGTTGGTAAAGTATTTTTATCTATCATCTGGTGACTTGAGATTCCAATGTTATGCTAATTTAGAAACGGTGATTTTATGGCAATATTTTTGTTTCAACTTAGTTTATCATACTTAAGTTCTTAAGTAGGTCAATGAATGCAGCCTGTTACGACAGGCTTAACTACACACATACACTACAGTCACTATACCTCACATGAAAGACCCCCAAAATAATTTCACGCATACTACCATCATAACATTCATTTGAGTTGCTCACCAAACTGTATCTTCAATTTTACTGTGGGTATTGAAAAAACAAAAGCAACCCCTAAAACAGACCAAGGGCAGTGTACATGAAACGGGCAGAAAGTTAATTACGCCACTAAACCAACACAAACTCTCCACAAAACATTTCTGAACATCTCTCAAGTGAATATGCACCATGATACCTTGAACTCGGCCGCCTGCTTAACTATAGTACTTTTAAAACATAAAAAACCCCTTACTGTTTTCACGCATTTTTTACAAATCATTACTGAACAGAACTGTTTACTTCCTTCAAGTTGTTTCACTCGCATTCACAACCAATAATGTCACTTGATGAAATAAATTGCTAATCACAATTTTCAACTAAAATTATTTCTTGACCAGTTCCTAGGTGAACAATTAGGTAACATCAACGAAGTACATTTTTAAGTTGACATTATATAGCAATATTGTCGCAAGGAGATGAGAAGAGAAAAGAAGAGAGGAGCAATGAGAGACATGACTGAATTTTGATCGACGCCCCTAAGGAGACAACTTTTCATCGAATGACGGGACATTTCTTGTCAACTCTCGTATCATGGTATTTATTCAGAGTTGTATCTGTTTAATATGTTCCTTAGTTACCAGTGGCTTGTATGTTTCTTTTCAGGTATGAATAGTTTTTACACCTGAGTTGATACGCCGTGGAATGGATGTATAGATATCAATTAAATCGTTACCGCTACGACCGAAAGCAGCTTCTTCAACCCAATTTCTCAAACAATTTAACAGCATTTCAACGTGTTATGGAAATCAACTGATCGGCCCAGTGAGCAACCAGTGTATGAATAAAATTGCATTCGTAAATCAAATGTCGTAACGAATAAAACTCATACACTCTTTGTGTATATTTTCCTGCATGCTAAGCAATTATTTCAGCGTAAGTTTCTTTCCAAATAATTTTATCTTAGTTTAGAAGATTGCATTTTCCCATACATTCCACAAATTAAGAGGATTAGCAATTAGTGTATAGATAGTAAGTAGACCAAGAGTTGATGCAACCATCTATGGGCCAAGTTATAATTTTCCTATTTTTACTCCAGATAAGAAAAAACCCCTTTCTGTTAACCGAAATTTGTGAGTTGTGCACATTTTAGTAACAAGCGACTTTCAGGAGTGGCCATGGCAGAATTAGGATTGATGATGGTTTTGTTTCTCCACTTTGCACGTTGTACATCAATCAGATTTATAGTTTCTCGTGTAAACACTCGACAACTTTTTCTGAGAAGGAGGAGGTCTATCATTCCATACCTAACAAAAATTCCCTAAGTTTATAATCTATAGGCAAATTTTTATTTGATATGAGCCGGAAAATGGCCGACATACCGCGTGGGCGCACTAGAATTCCACAAATTTGTCTGTGAAACCGCTAAAATGCTCTGAAAACAAAGACTTTTATGTAACCTTAACAACACTATTTTGTGTTGCACTTGGGCGTTTTATAAACATGTGTATGCTTGATAAAAAATATTTGCAATCCTATAAAATACGTACCACCACAGCCAAGGACTTTGGAAGGTTTTAAAAGTTGTGGGTGTTCTATGCTTACTATGTGCTCACCCACTATAGTTAAACTAGTATTCAAACTGCTTGAGATTAGTTATGTTTATTCTGTTTCCATCATTGAACACTACCTGCACCTGTAGCAAATGGCATTAAATATATCACAAACGTTTAAGCAAAGAGTTAATTTTGTGGGTGTCCTTTCTATAAGGGACGCCCACAATCCAAAAATTGTGGATGTCCGGACACCCAGATTACCATGGCTTCCCAAGCACTTATGGCACTCCACAGCAGTGAGTTGTCGTACAGTGGGTTTTTGATTGTGTAATTTGTTCATTCAGAATTTAACACAGGAAGCCTTAATACGACGAACAAACCAGCAAAACAAATTAATGATATCCTGTTCATCTATCAAAACAAAAAACTACCTAAACATGTGTTATTACTTCCCAAATCTCCAGAAAGATACACAAAAGGATACATATGTATATAAGATACATATACATTTACATTTAAAATACCATTTACGTTATTATAAATCTTCTTAAAACTTTTGTTAAAAGGGTTTAGAAAAGTTGCTAGGTGTTTCAAAAGCTAATGCCAGGGGGAGAGACCATAAAGTTGGTAATTTACACTTGCCTAAGTGAAAGAAAACTTACTTAGAATACGTGCAATTAAAGGAATTTTGTGTTACAAAAAGCTCTTTTGATCCTTTTGTCTTCAGAATCTGTACCTCCTTTAGCAGTTTAATTGTTTATAATTAAAGGGAACTCAGCGAGAGCTCATAACTTCGTAGTTTTAGTAAATTATTCAAGTAACTCGGACACAACCAATCATATAATATTATTGTAATGCCAATTATTTATTTCGTTGTTAAACAATATGAATAATTGGAATCTGCTAGAATTTCAATTATGAAAGGTTTGTCCGGCGATAACTACACAAAAAGATTTACTCATGCCTTTTACGGCATTTGTCTTCAACTGTGTGTGGGATCATTGATTGAATCTGTTTTCTAATTTCATCTCACGCTCGAGTTTATCACTTCAAGCAACTCTATCTCAAATTACAGATATTAGTGTGACTGTCTCAGTGTGACTGTGACTGTCAATAAAGCCATTTATTTCGCCACACTTTCGTGATCACAATCACTCCGATTATAACAACCGGTGAGTTTAGACATTTACAGCCAGACAGGCAGAAGAAAAAGTAGAAAAGACTTAAAATGTTTTACACCAAGATACTTATTACATTACTGCTGAACGAAGTATTGGTATCGGAAATGTTGACTTCAAGAGGTTAGTATATCTGCCAGACTACGTGGGCACAACATATATCTGAGTACATCAGTGCTCTCGCTACTTCTGATTATTTATTTACCACAGGCAAACAGTCAAAACATTTTACATAAATATAAACACCTTTTATTCCAATTAACCAGTTCTTTATTTAATTTTCGTTCTAATTTTGTTCTTGTTTATTCATGATTTGACAAATATGCATTCTGGAGACGTGTTATTGAATTGAATATAATAACCGAGTAGATAACTATTAGTTGTTATTATGTCCACCATTTAATGTTGACTAAATACCACTTTCACTTTATTATCCTCAAGGATCCCAACTAGTATTAAAGTAAACAAATTCGCCTTTTTATGACTATAAACTTTTCACGAAAATTTTATTACTTTTTGATTTTTATGGTCTGATGTGTTTATTAAGAGTTGAACGACAATTTTAGCAAATACAAGATTATTGCATTTAAGGGTTAAAGTGTTTTATCTGATAACGCATTATATGATTACATGCTGGGCATTGGAATTCTGTGTATTGCTTTGATTATAGTTCGAGCATGACGGCCTATTTAGTGGATGTCACATGCACCAACTCTCGACCTTTTCACGAAATACTTTTAACAATCGCTCACTGAGTGTCTAATTCTTGCTTGAAAATGATATTGCCCTAGTCCGGCAGCATCTATCATACATTTCAAATATTAAAAACAACCTTGTTTCTTAAAACTTAAGTTGTTTTCGTAAGCTAAGAATGAAATGTCTGTTCAAACACGATAAAGACATCATTAACTAATTGCTCCGAAAACAACTTTATGGCTAATGTAGTTTTCCTTATTTTCTTTGTGAAACAGGAAATGCCACATATATCTTTAGCATTTGTAACTCGTCTCACAATATCACAAATATTGAGCAAAGTCAGCAAACTTTCGCATCTGAGTCATACATTGTAGGCCGTTAAATGTTTTGACAACAAGACCAACTGTACTTTACTGTCTGAGATTCTGTAGGTACGCATTGTATTGAGGGTACATACCTTATATTTTGATGAAATTCCGAAACTGCATTTATGTTTAATGTCCAGTGGAGCTACGGCAGTCTCGCTTGACAGCAACTTTGTAAGTGCTACGTTTGATGTGACTTAAGTTATGATTTGACCTTATATTTTCTATTTTGCATATCATTCATACTCCACAAAGCAACACTGAAAAACATTGGCTTTGTCTAATTACTCCCAAAGTAATACCTCCAAACTACTCAACATCCATGTGTAAATTACCAACAAGTTAACATGTATTGAGGGTGCTATGTGCATGTACATAGAAAAAGATAATTACCGATTGAGAACAGCTATTGTTAAAATGCCATGCAAATTCCTCAAATTTATTCTAAACATTAGACTTGAATGCTTCATTTAAAACCTCAGCTTGGAATTTTCAACTAGCCTGTTGTTGTATCTAACCGTGTGCTTTGGTGTGTGTGCTCGTTATATCAAACGATATTATCGTTGAATGACCTCAACATGCATGCATTGGTTTAAAATACTTCGACAACTTCTTTAAAACAATAAGTTTAATGTGATAAGCCACTAAAACCTTGCAGCTGCTAATTCTGCTGAAGGCAACGTTATTTAAAACCCCAAGATGAAAAGATCGAAGGACTGCCGAACAGTTTTTTTGCTATTTGATAAAACACTTCAATTATTTCGAAGACAATTGCGTCTGCTACGTAATATTTTTTTCAAACTCAACAGTTTCCTTAAACCATTAAAATTCCCAAATTTCCGTCCTGAAATAAATCGATATCTTCATAATTTGGTAAAAAATTCAAAAAAATGACTTACAGACAACTACGCATGCGTAATTCAATATTTTCTTGACGCTCTTTAGGTGAAATTACAGTTTATTTTCTTTTTAATTCAGTTGAATGGCCACTGGGCTCTTATACATTACCTAAGCCAAAGTCGGGATGTCCGAACACTGCAAGTCTTACATGGAAAGAAGCCTGGCGTTTTCAAGACTTAGAGAATGACGCCAGACAAGAGTCAAACTTTTCCACGCACTTTCACATGGATGCAAATTTAAGAAACAACGATATAAAGAGATCGTTTTGTACAAGTCTTAACGAAAATGTTCTAGAACCATGGCCTAAAGGTATAATTGACGCAAATAATTCATTTGATCTCGCAATTAGTAATTTTAGAAAGTTAATTTAAGACACTATTTATGCATGCTTCGGCAAAGGTGTCGGGTGAAACTTAGATAAGGTGTGCCCCGGATGCATAGTGTCACAAACCTATTGCAGTGCACCTTCAGACATTGAGACGTCACCTATGAAAATAGACACAGGTATACAAGGCGTGGCACATAGTTGAAAACAGATGGTTTGAGTGTTTGAGCAAAAATTTCTTGCATTCCGTAATCGTGAACATATGTTCACCAAGGTGTAAAGATAATGATGAGGAAGTTGTTGCCTTCATAAGACGTCACAGGCATAAATATCCTTTTACCATTCTTAAAGGTCATACCATCAAATATCTAGCCAACCTTGCTTTTATGGATGGGCGGTTAGGTGTTATGGTGCTGAACGATGATGAAGTAAAATCATTGTTTTTCTGTTCATTTATTTTTAGGTTCCTACTGCATTTATCGAAACTCCAATTACTGTCCACCTGATATGAAAGAGGGCTACATCGAGTTCTTTGATGAGCAAACCAACAATTCAAACAAAATTCATAACTACTTTTATTTACCAGACGGACTTTATTTTGGTCCCTTCACAAGATTACTCTTTTGCTGCAAAACCGCTGGCAGTTGGTATCAGTCAATCGAACTTCCCACAGAGAATCCCTTTTACTTAATGCCTTATGGATCACAAAACTGCCAAAGAGTGAAAGGAGCTATTAGCTCTCTTGAGCACATTATTTACGATACTGAAGATAATCAAAACTGGGATGAATATACTGGAGCTCATGCTCACTTGGAGGAACTGTCTCAGAGCTTGCTGAAAGTCTATTATTGTTATTATGAAGGTAATGTATAATTTTTTAGACAAGGAAAGCTAGTAATTATTCAAGATTCTGCAACATTTTAATTGTTATTGTATGAGAATTTTCTGTTGTTTGTGGTTTGTTATATTTGGGTCTGTGTCCTGTTTTCATTTCAACGCTACATGTAAATACAACTATGTTATAAAAGATACAATTATTTTCATAAAATATAGGCTGCCAACATGACTTGAGACGTGAAAATGGCTCATTTTCATCGACAAACTTTGCAAATAATTCCTATCCAAATTTCCAGCAGTGTTCTTGGTCGATAAACGTTAATTCATCTCGACATATTTTGCTGGAATTTTTAACGCTTCATATACCAAACTGCCACGAAAACTATTTGGATATTTACGAAGGAAACAACACGCTAGTCCAAGCTGTAAGGTTTTGTGGTGCAAATGCCACGTCTGGAGTGAAATATGAGTCAGCAACAAACCATCTTATCATCTTTCTTCAGTCTGGCAACAATTCTGCATTTGGAAATACTTTGAAATTTCATGCAAAGTATGAAACATTTTCCAAAGGTAAATTGCTCAACTCACGTCACGTTCATAGCATTTGTATACATTTTGTTAATTTCTTGGGTTTTATTTCTTACTTTGTAGAATCCTCTTTGGCTAGTGAAAATATGTCGAGCACAACAGCATTTTTGTCACCTACGGTGCTCAGCGAAAACACGTCAACGGGTCGAGTCCCATCAAGTGATACATCCACCCAGCTTAAAACCACATCTTATACCTTAAAAACAAGACACAGTACTGAAAATCAGTCAAGAACATCAACTTTTTGGTCACCTACAATGCTGAGCAAGGAGACGACATCGAGTCGAGTGCCATCAGGCGATACTTCCACGAAGCTTCAAAACACTTTTCCTGACTTAGACACACGAATCCCAGCCATACCGTCATCTTCAGTTAGAAATCAAATAAAGAAGACTACTCAAGACTACAGAAGCACAACTGAAAAAAATTATGTCTTAGACAAAAAGTTTCACTTTTCTTTAGAAAGAAAGACAATATACATAATTGTTGGAACTTGTTCTTTATTGGCTCTGTTCCTTATTGTAGTGACTGGAGTGCTCTGTATATGGAATGGGTAAGAGTTTTAAGATAATGGTTTAATAAATGTAACTTTTGGTCCTTGCCTTAGTTATGGATGTGGGGAATGAGATCGCATCTGTAAGGTGTTGAAAGCAAATTGCATTTGTGGGGGAGAGGGGGGGGGACAGATAAACAAATCAAACAGTAAACATTTAGAGTAACAAATTATTTTCTGAATGATTTGTGGGAGCAGTGCCTTTACACCCTCTTCATCTGTAGTTATGTACCATAGCATGATTTGCATCAGTTGCACAGGAAGTGGCATCCAAAGCTAAAGACTGTGGCATACGACATTCAATAATATTAAGGACTGTAGCGTATGATATTCGATCGCAAGTTATGGACTGTGGCATACGACATTTGATAAATTTGTGGACTGTATCATACGACATTCAGTAAAGTTTTGTACTGTTGCACATGACATTCGATCTAAAGTTATGGATTGGACTGTTGCATATGAGATTTAGTAATGTTATGGACTGTATCATATGACATTCAATAAAGTTGGGGACAGTAGCACATGACATTCTATCAAAAGTTATTAACTGTAGCATACAAGGGCAGAATTTTATTTTTGGAGAACAAAACACCCTAGAAATGTCACTTACATAAATACGCATTGTTTGATATCACTGACATTTTATAGTAATATACTTAAAGACCTTAAAATGGGAATTGTTAGGGAGGGAGAAGTCCGCCTTTCCTTGCCGATGCCTTTGATAGCATATGACATTCAATCTAAAGTTACGGCCTGTAGTTTATGAAATTCCATCTTTAGTTATGGACTGTAGCATATGCGGTAAATAACGCATGAAATTTTTAATTTAACACACAAGTTTACCATTTTTAGGCGCAAAAAGAAGAGATGTTTTCATCTACATCACAAAAACAAATGCCAAAACAGCATTCAGTACGTTTGATGCACAACATCGAAATTCTCTTTAGGTCTGTAACTTAAGTCAGGTTCTTGAATTTTTATACAATAATCTTATGGTGTACTTTGTGGTGGAAGTAAAAGAACAGAGTTCATTTGACTTTCACTTGTTTTTTAGTGCAAGAAATTATCCAAGTGGGCGTGAACTCGCAGATTTGCTACTCACAAACAACGGAATGCTTGGAAAGTTTTTATCATAATAAATCGTCTATTATTATGATCGCAACCTAATTCCTTAAAGGACATTTATTATATTACTCCATCAAAATTACAATTTCGAGAAAATATTATATGAATGGCGCATGTTCCAAACGTACTCTTGCATACGTCACAGACCATCATCGAAATGCCTAACAACGAAAAACAATTTATAAAAAATGTATTCAATGAAACTATTGAAATATATTTCTTTATGTAAATAGATTTTCAGCATAAGTTACTTATTGTACAAGCATATTATGAAAGAATTGTAATTATATATATATTTATAAATTATGAAAAGAATTTCTTTTACAGATATTGTTACAAGTACACAATTTTTTAGTTCCAGGTAAAAGAAAGGTTTTTTGTATACAGTGCAAGAGCATATCCAAGATTTCATTCAAAAATGGATGCATGATTTGGAAATGTCGTTATACTATGATATTTTCATTTCCAAGCTATTTAAGTCTCTGAGCTCAGACAGAGGTGCACACCCTTGCACCCTTATGGACCTTATGCACCCTTATGGAGACTTTTTTATCTACTTATCCATACACAAGAACATTTTGAAATAAATATAGAAGTATGACGCAGACCATTACTTAACTCACTCAGCTTTATGATCAGTGTTCTCACATCTTTCCGAGCATGCACATCATGAATGAAATACTGACGTAAGACGATGTAACTCGCTTTAATCACTCTCCGCTTGAAGGGAAACATAAATCATACTGTCCTCATTATCCCTATCACCCACACTTAAAAATATCTTACACGTCCCCAGCAGAGCACTCAATATATGCAATGTATAAAGATGAAAGATAATGAGAGAATGGTAAAATCACTGAAATGAGAGAACTTGATTTATAGTTAACTTAGTCCACATCATATGCTAAAAAGCTAATAAAATCATTAGCTTCATAAGAAACTTCATAATTTCTAGCATTTTCTGCGTATACTATAGTATTTTTGTCTTTGCTGTTATTTCTTTTCTCACATTTACAATATCGAGCGCATTCGTAAACATGTCAGAAGAAATGCTCAGTTCACTACAAACGTGCAAACTATCAAGTTTTTTCATTGTACAATTCAACTCTTAGCATCTTTGCTAATTGCCATTTTACAAACTGTTTCTTTAAAGATATGCAGACTAATATATTATCATTTGCACTATACATATCTAATTATTTTACATTTGAGTATCTTTTGCCAAACTCTGGGTCATCCCTGTCAATTTGCAAACTGTTTTCTTGCGTGTTCCCAGGCTCATATAAGACATTCACATTTGCATTAAACAGCTCTAAATCTTTTACAGTTGAATATATAACATTAAACTTTGAGCCATAAATTGGATTTGATGTTTCTTTCGAATTTACGTCATCATTTCCAGATTGATCTTGATTTGAGGTTAAAAAATCGGGATTTTCGTACCTAATAAACGAATTAAAAAACACATTTTCCAAAAATGAATTGATACTGATAATTGTAAGGGAGAATCATTATTTGTGGACAACACAAAACTGTTCTACATCTCATTATTAGAAATCTTCCTGTCTGCAATATCCTCCTGGAAAGCTGGACTTTGTTTCCGTCTACAAAAAATTGACAAATTTTGCATTAAATCATCATCATTATAGCGTTTTAGTCTTCCGCTCACATAAATAACAAGTATATAGTTGCTATGATTTGAAAATAGTTTACTCACCTTTTGAAATAAACAAAGAAGACGACACCAAGAACTACAACAAACCCCAATGTAAGGATTGGTAGGAGTATTTTTAATAATGGCTTTCTCTTTCTTTCTTCGTCAAACATATTCTCTTCTTGACTTCTATATGTGCCATTTGTTCCATTTGTGACATATGATGAAGTGGAAAGAGTGTTCTTTGTTGTCACTGCAATGTTTCATTAAATTGTTTATAAAATTATAAATGAAAAAATAAACTGTGTTGTTGCATCGCTAACCTGTTGACAATGATTGGTCAATAGTTGTCAACAAGCGAGTAAAATTGATCATTACAAAAGAGCAAAAATTGAAGATAAATTCCTCAAAGAATCATAACGAGTGTTTTTAAACTTCGTTGTATCATAACTCTTTACTACAACCTCTGTGCAATTCGGAAGGCCAAAACGTATATATGGTGCTACGTAAATGGAACATCATCGCTGACAGATACCCTTGCTTAGTTCAGTTGAGCAAGCTACCAAGTTACTTACCTGGCTTAGGATTCCTAATATTTGCAAAAGTTGCGTAACGGGCATAAAAGCCAAAACCAGTTGACGATTTTTTTCTACTTGTAGTTCGTCCAAGTTTCATAACAATAAATAATTCATTTCTTGTAGAATTTATCTCATTATGAGAAGTTGCATTTCTGCCACAATAAACAGCCAACAGCATCGAACTCGTGGCATTTTGCCCATCATAAATTGCCAAAAAAATTTGTTGACAATCCGGCAAGTTTAACTGATGAAATACCAATGAAATTTTTCGCGTCGAATCAACCTTTATTGACCATGAACAAGAATGGAAATCAGAAAAGGAATTGTTAACATTTGGTGACTTGAACAATCCAGTATTTCCATGAAGTTCATACCGACATCCTAAAAAAATCATAAATAAATCATATCATACATCATACATTCATTTTCTCATCATTGAAAGTTTTTGTTGCTTGCATGAAGGAGGTGTCTTAATTTGCATAACTGTGGTGTCAGATTATATAAAAGCGTAAAATATTATTTCAAACACTGAAAAATAAAGTTGATTCATCAAACCTGCGTAATAACAGTAAAATATTTTTGGTAAGCTTTTCACTTTATTTGTGTATACGTGATGTCCAAAGAACTTATCTCCATTCATATCATTCTCAGTATCATATACGATGTATTCAAGAGAGCTGACCATCCACCATACGCGCTGACAGTTGGGCGTTTTATATGGTAACAAATAAAACGGTTTTTCTGTAGGCAACTCAACTGGGTTGTACCATTGTCCTTTTGTTTGACAGCAGTAAAATAGTCTGGTTGCTCCCAAATTGGAGATCCTCTGTGAAAACTTTGGTAAAATTCCTCTATGCTTATTTCTATTTACACCATCAAAATTATCTTCATCATCAAGTTGAATCCAGCCTTCATCCAAGTCATATGGACAATCATTCTTTTGGTAAATACAATACATTCCTGCAAAGTGCCAAATAAATACTATATTTAATCTAATTCAAATCAATGTGAAGTTAAGGAAATGTAGTTATAGTATAGTCTTAATGGATGAGGATCAACAGCGTGTATTGTAAAAATCAAGCTCGCCTTTGGTAAAATGTTAAAAATTGTGATTGATTAAGCATTATAGAATGAAGTTTTGATCAAGTTTATAACATTTCACTAATTAGAAATGATAAAGTATATTTTTTATCCACCAGTACAAAATTTCTTAGTTAACAACGTTTCTACAACGACCAAAATTCTAAAGATGAACCATTAAAAATGTAAATTTTAAGCAAAAGATAATAATTATTTAGTATTTAAGTTTGCACCTTTTGGCCAATATTTCCAAATCGTTTTATTTCCAAATGTCAAATTCTTTGTACAGAATTCTCTGTCAACAAACTCATATTGTCCACTTTCAGTTCCATTAACAATACTTGCATTCATATGAAAATTTGAAGAAAATTTACTTTTGACATTTATTTTGTCATTTATGTCATCATTTTCCATTTCTTGTCTTAGCCATCCTTCTTTCCAGGAATTATCTGGACATCCTGTTTTAGGTTTCGGTAGACTATATTCCCCTGCTGGCCATCTTGCTGGGAGAAAAAATAAGATATCAAACTGTCAAATTTTATAACTGGTTTTGGTGCAAACAGTGATCTTGATTGACAATCATCGATCAATCTATCATATATATGACAGGTATCTTTATTTGTTTTCATGTATCAAAGTTAAGCATTACTGCTTCATCTTCTTTGCACTCAAGTATTTGGATACAGTAAAATATCAATCGTGCCTTCAAGCCCCAATTTAAATCTCACAGTTGAATTGTCTCCTCTTGTCTGAACAACCTGGGGAGGCCACTGCACGCAAGCAGTTGGCATATTATGTATGATGTGAAATTTGAAATGTATCATTGAGAAATGTCTGTACAAACAATTAGAGAGAAATGAAGAACAATGCACGTCAATATGAACGAAACATTTATTTTTAGTTATAATAATTGTCCATGATACTCGTAGCACATTTTAGTAGTCAAAGAATGAAGATGCTACTGCCATTCAGGATGTTATACAAGTGAAATGATATACAAGCACAAGAACTTGTAGTTCCCTGTATTAAACTAGCTTACTGTTACACCAAATATTATAAAAATGTTTTCTTACCTTCCAACGAAAGACTGTTTGATTTAAAAAGCAACGTGATAAAATTTAAATTTAGCAAGAAAAATCCCACTTTTTCCATTCAGCTGAAAATTACGACGCATGAAATTGATTGCTATTTATTGCGTTGGCTTTGACAGGTCAAGACTTTTAAACAACGAAGTTCTTATATCGCAAAAATAGGAAGCAGTTTTCGCCTCGCTTTCGATACAGAAAGTACAACGTATAAGCTCTAACCATTCTGCAAAATTAAAGACAAATAATATTGCGAATGTTGTTAACTGTAAATAAAAGCAACCTTTCAAATGTATTCATACAGGATTTGACGCAATCATATCAAATTTCAAAACAGTTGAAATAATATACCGCCCAAAACTGACTTCAAAATTGAAATTTTTAGATTAAGTTTATTTAGTCGCGCACATGCAAAATGCACTCAGCCAATATTACAGTTAAGCATGAGTGTTCTCGGCTGCCAATTCATTGCTTAGGCCTGTTTCAAACGTCATATTTTACATGAGCCGAGTGCATTTAAAACAAAAGATAATGGAATTTTTATCTCGTTTTCTTTTTTCTTTAATGCATTCGGTGCATGTAAAATGCCATGTTTGAAAAGGGGCTTATGCATGTACAGATAGTGATAATAATCATGCATACCATGAAAACAATTGTGTCTTTTTATCGTAAAACACAAAGATTATTGCCGATGCTGAATGCTGATATTACTACAAACGAACTGCCATAATCAAGAATGGAGAAAATATTTTTTCTTTGTCCATTACCCGACGAATTGTCAAATTTCCCTTGACGGGGGGTTAAGACTCCCCGACGGGGACGCTATAGCTCCCTGCTCCCCTAAGGCGCAACCCCCTGGACTTTGGTGTACTGTGACGTTTTGACTATTGTATAACATTATACTTTCCACACTTAAAAAACTGATCCCAACCCTTCAACAGGGTTCACCGGTTGTATACACGCTGCTCAGTTCAACAATTCTCGTTATTTCAATTTTTATTCTTCTCTGATCTATAATACCTTTTACTTTTTTTGATACACTCAAATCTTGAATCAAACACCTCTTATCATGAATCAATGGAACAAATTCCACAAATGAAAATTTTCTTCCAACACGAAAAACGTCTCGACGCCATTTTGATCAAGCTCGAAACATTTCGTATGCTAACATTCGCACATCGTTTTTATTTTGGTATTTTCCAGATATCTTCGTGAGGCCTGCTGGATGATGCATTTATTTCAATAAAGCTTAAAGTGACTGGTCACACGTATTTCTTTTTCTGTTTATAAAATCAATAGTTAAAAAATTAAGTTTATCTAAGCAGAATTCATGTTAGCTAGATAGCGTAAATTTTACTTCTCCTATCTTTTTCATCTTCGACAGGGTCTATACATTAAACATAACTTTATTCTCTTTGTTGTGGCTTTGCACAGAATTCCATTGCTTTTCAAACAAATCCGACGACTGACACAAATACTCTTTTCAGCCCGTCATCTTCAATCAATGTCCAGAATAGCTTCACAGTCACCAAAATCTTTCCTTTGGCAATTGCACATCCTCAATCCACAAATATCAAACAAAATATAGCTAAATGGCAACATAATAATCTACGCCCCAAAATACAAATACATTTAAAATCTATATTGTTAATTTTAATAACTATTGTCCATGTTCATTTGCGCAAAACTAGCCGCATTTGCATGCACATACCTCACCTCTTGTTCAAAAACAACCAAAATATAAACTAAGTCAGATATTGAAAATAGTAATCTAGCACTCGAGCTCGGTCATTGATTTAAGGTTATTGTTCAATGTCAATTGACCCTCGGGATTTTCCTGCATTGCCAATTTTCAATTTGTCCTGTTGTGGGTTTGCAGGCTCATATTCATATAGCGTGTTGCCATTTGCATTAAACGACTCCGAGTAATTATTGTCAATTTTCAAACTTTTATCTTGCGGATTCCCAGGCTCATACAATACATTTTCATTTGCATTAAACAACTCTAAATCTTTTATAGTTGCATATCCATCACTGAACTCCGAGGCATAGATCGGATTTGATGTTTCTAAAGAGTTTACGTCGTCATCGCCATATTGATCTTGTTTTGAAGTTGATAAATTGGGAGTATCGTACCTATATAAACCAATGAAAAAAAACACATCTCAGTGATGAATTACATGATAATGGTAAGTATGTAGAAAGTCATTGATGTTATCATTGTTATTCACATCAGCAGCTATGCTTAAGGTCTTATAAAAAGAAAATGTTCTACATGTTATAGTGGACTCCAGCAAGCGAAGGAAAACGTGATTGTCTGGTAAATCACATAAGATTGGTTGCATGCTACTGATGCAAGTCCAGAATTATCTTTGATCAAGAGATTACAAAATCATAAAACTGATTTACATGTCTTTATTTGAAATATTCTTGTCTGCAACGTCCTCTTGCAAAGCTTGATTTTTTTTCCACCTACAAAAATTAGAAAATTTTGTTTGAATCTTTATTGTCATCAGGTTTTGGTAAACAACAGACACGCATGCGGTTGCTATGTTTTACTAATAATAACACACAACTTTCTCACCTTTTAAAACATACAAAGAAGACGACACCAAGACTCACAATGACCACCAATGCAAGGATTGGTAGGAGTATTTTTAATAATTGTGATCCTTTTCTGCGGGAGCTTCTAATATTTGAAATTGTTTTATAATGGGCATCGAAACCAAACCTTGTTGACCTTGAACTGTTAGTTTGTCTGTGTTTCATGACAATGAATAATTCATTCGTTGTGGAATTTATCTGGGCACGAGAAGTTGCATTTCTGCCACAATATACAGCCAACAGCATCGAACTGTTTTCACTCTGTCCAGCATAAATTGCCAAAGAATTATGTTGACAGTTAGGAAAAAATAACTGCTTAAATACCACAGAAATTTTTAGAGTTAAATTAACTTTTATTGCCCATGAACAAGAATGGAAATCGGAAAAAGAGTTGTTGAGATATGGTGAACTGAACAATCCAGTATTTCCATGAAGTTCATACTGACATCCTAAAAAAATCAAAATAAATCAAATCTTACATTCATTTACTCTTTATTGAAAGTTTTTTATTTCTTTAATGAATGAAGTGTCTTAATTTGCATAACTGTGATGTCAGATTACACAAAAGTATTATTTTAAGTATTATTTTAAGAAATATTATTTTAAACACTGAAAATAATGTTGATTTATCAAACCTGCGTAATAACAGTAAAATATTTTTGGTAAGCTTTTCACTTTATTTGTGTATACATGATGTCCAAAGAACTTATCTCCATTCACATCATTCTCAGTATCATAAACAATGTATTCGAGAGAGCTGACCGTCCACAAGATGCGCTGACAGTTGGGCGTTTTGTAAGGTAACAAATAAAACGGTTTTTCTGTGGGCAACTCAACCGGGTTGTACCATTGCCCTTCTGTTTGACAGCAGTAAAATAGTCTGGTTGCTCCCAGATTGGAGATGCTCTGTGAAAACTTTGGTAAAATTCCTCTATGCTTATTTCGATTTATACCACCAAAATTATCTTCGTCATCAAGTTGAATCCAGCCTTCATCCATGTTATACGGACAATCATTCTTTTGGTAAATACAATACATTCCTGCAAAGTAACAAATTATTGCTTTATTTAACTTAATGCAAACACAAAGTAAGGAAACTGCAGTTATAGTATAGTCTTAATGGATGAGGATGAACAAGTGTAGTTTATTAGACTTGTCTTCATTGTAATTATATGTATTCAAACTCACCTTTTGGCCAGTATTTCCAAGTAGTTTTATTTCCACTGAATATTGAATTCTTTGTACAAAATTCTCTGTCAATAATCTCATATTGTCCACCTTCAGTTCCATTAATAATACTTGCATTCATATGAAAATTTGAAGAAAATTTACTTTTGACATTTATTTTGTCATTTATGTCATCATTTTCCATTTCTTGTCTTAGCCATCCTTCTTTCCAGGAATTATCTGGACATCCTGTTTTAGGTTTCGGTAGACTATATTCACCTGTAGGCCAACGTGCTGAAAGAAATCTGTATCTGAAATTTGTATCTTACGCCTTACGGATAAACATATTTACAAACGAACAACTTTGTAACATCTTTGAGTGCAAGTGATATAACCGGTTTTATATTTTGGTCGGTACAATTGATCCATCATAACAAGAGTCAACTTTGTTTTCAACATCCTTGTATCGTCTTGTATCGCATTCAAAACACAGCTCTTTGGATTTACTTCAATTGAATTTGTTAAGTATGTTGTTCTTGTTCTTAGCACTTTAATTTTCGAAATAAAATATCGTACATATTACTATTATTCAGGACGTGATACGCTTAAAGTAAAATCGTAAAAGCTTGTATACCTGTGTTAAACTGCGTCATTGTACTGCCCAATTCAATTATTATTGTTTAACTTTCTTACCTTCCGACAAAAGACTGTTTGATTCAACAAGCAGCATGATTGAATTCACACGTAACAAGAAAAACCCTACATTTTCCATTCGGCTACAAATTTCCAAATCAAAATTTTCACAAGGCGTCAAGTTGTAGTTTGCGACGCTGGCACTTATAAGGTCACGACTTTTAACCACAAGCCTCAAATATCACGAGGATAGGAAACATTTTGCCTCCATGTTTACGCAGAAAGTAAAATACGTAAAACAGAATGAAAACGAGGACAAAATTGCGCTAATGGTATTCCATATAGAAAAAGCTTAATTCTTCCTTCACACAATTACATGATTTTGTATAGTAATATCAAATTTCAAAATATTATATGATTTATGTCCATGGGAAGTGATGCAAGCCGAATTTATTATACAAGATGTGCCAAGCTTAGTCAAGTTACTTTGCATTTAAAAAATTCTCGGTTTAAGTCAAGCATTAAATCTCTAAACTTGGCTAAAAATACAGTTTATCATGAATATTTGCTTGCCCATAATTAATGCGATTGTTTTAATACAGAATTACTCCAATATTTAAAAAAACTTTTCTCATCATTTAAAAAATCGTTTTCATCTTTTTTATCGAAAGTTCTGCTGTTTCGAAAGCTTCCATGTGCCTCGGCAATTGGTCTCGCCCTGCCATTGACACATAGCATTTGAGGAACTGCTTGACAAAGAGGCTTAGCCAGTATAGTCTACTTGCAGAAAGGATTACCGTGATAAGGGCAATCGAATTGTATTATGGCATACCCCAGTCGCATAGGCGGCCAAAACTCCCACCCCTTGCCACTGGCTTGTCAGACATTGTATATTGTCTCATAAACCTACTTTTTAATTTAAATTACATTCAATAATAATTAACTAATTCTTGCGATATTTTTATGTGAAAAATTATAACAAATATTTTGACTAAATTTGATTTTATTTGATTTTGACTAAATATTAACTTTTATTTTGACTAAATTTGATAAATAATTCATCTAAACATCACGAAACGATGTAAAAAAAAGAGTAGAAGGGTTGAGCAGATAGGATGTCATGAGTCTGGATCAAAGGGTGTGTATTTTTGCTGGAAGGGAGAGTCTTCCCATGTTAATACCAAAATAGATGTTTAAAACTTTGTTTTGAGTATGTGCGTAGCCTGTAAAACGGTTACTTTACACAAAAATGCCGCCAAATATTTAAGTGAATTCTTGTGCGGGTATTTCTTTAAAGCCGATGGTCGCACAATGATATGAAATGTCTTTTTTTCTTGGTACGTTATCCTGCATGATTCGTTACTAAAGTAACTTAAAGATTTCAGCTTGCACCACGGATGAAGTTTATGTTCAAGCTTCAAAATTTCGTAAGAAATTACCTTTTTATTTGGCTAGTTATAATTACAAAGTCAATTTCCCTTTCAATATTGTGCAGTCCAGAAAATTTGTCCTCCTTCCATAAATCAAATAACGGTCTCCTAATAATTTCTTTGAAATTGATAGTCATTGATTTCGTTTTGCCTCTTTCCTGTTATATCAGCAACTTCACATCATTTATCAACGATTGCAATAACATATTCCGACTCACATCATCTGATTTCTTGGGCAAATTTTTACCGTGTAATTGTCATTCTGATCAATATTGTCACAATTTCTTGGAGTTTGTTTCTATTAGTACTGTATGATGCTTTATTATTTGCTTTCTGTTCCATTATTTCTTGTTGTAAATGGCGTGTATTCGACAACTCAACTATTGAAGTAACAGGGAAGTTCTACTTTCACCTGTTAAATTCATTCGATGATGTAATAACGTAGAAATAGTTTGCGAAAGTATGAATTCCAATAAAACCCATAAAACCAATGTAACATAGATAAAGATAACTTTACGTCCTGTGCTATTCTGTTGTGGTGTCTTTGTAATTGACCTGAAACTTTTGTATAATTTGTAATAGCCTGCTGATTGATTATTTAAAATAAATTGTATTGGGGAATAGTTTCTTTTTATAAAGTGTACTGGTTGATAAATGTAATTTATTAGAAATATTAAATTCAATTTGTAAGTAGTGTGACAAGTTAATGATGTATCATACCAGTGACACTTACTAAAATTCATCAGGTAAATGATGCACTCTCTCATCAAATTGTAATTATATAGAAATACTTATTTCTTTACAAAATAGCTATAATTAGAGTTTTATGTTGGGCAATTGTTTTGCTAACAGAAACCGTTTTCCGCCAGGTAAGTCCCTCGCTATCATTCTTTCATCATTGTGCGACAACTCTGAAACTGATAGTTTTTTGTTTTGTTGTTGCCTCATTTCTTTGTATCAGTAATGGCAAGTCTTTGTCTTCAATTGGAATGACATATTAAGACGCACTCGGTAAATCATTTGATTTCTTAAGCAAATTTTTGCTGTGTAACCCTTCATTGACAGAACGATTGTCTTTCCGTGATAGTTTTTGACTTTTTTGTCGACCCATTCCTATCGTATCAGTAACGCCCAGTCTTTTATCTTCAATTGGAATGACATATTCCGACTCTTCCGAGTCACTCAGCAATTTATTGGATTTCTTTTGCAAATTTTAACTGTGGTATTGTTGACTGATAGAGCAATTGTTCTTCTGGTCACAGTTTTCATAACTTCTTTCATTTCGTTTTTTCAATAATGATTGGTAGTTATTGCTTTCAGTCTCATTATTTCTTGTTTGATTACATAATGGCGTGTATTCCACAACATCTTCATACTGCAAGTCATCAGGTGAATGATGCTGTCCCTTTTCATTGTGCGACAACTCTGGAACTGATACTTTTTGATTTCGTTGTTGACCCATTCCTATCGTATCAGTAACGCCCAGTCTTTTATCTTCAATTGGAATGACATATTCCGACTCTTCCGAGTCACTCAACAATTCATTGGATTTCTTTTGCAAATTTTTACTGTAGTATTGTTGACTGATAGAGCAATTGTCCTTCTGGTCATAGTTTTCATAACTTCTTTCATTTCGTTTTTTCAATAATGATTGGTAGTTATTGCTTTCAGTCTCATTATTTCTTGTATGATTACATAATGCCGTGTATTCCACAACATTTTCAAACTGCAAGTCATCAGGTAAATGATGCTGTCCCTCTTTATTGTGCGACAACACTGGAACTGATACTTTTTGATATCGTTGTTGACCCATTTCTGTCGTATTATTAGTAACGTCAAGTCTTTTATCTTCAATTGGAATGACATATTCCGACTCTTCAAAGTCACTTGGCAATTCATTTGATTTCTTTTGCACAACAACTTTATACTGCAAGTCATCATCATTGTGCGGTAACTCCATGCTTGAAACATCATTATGGTCATATCCAGAGTGGTCTTGTGCTGAGTGTGATAGACTGGGATTTTTGTACCTAAACAGACCATTCAAAAAATTCACATTAGTGAATTTACAGTAATAATTTTCAGGAAAATTCATCATCTGTGACAAAAATCACAAATCGCAAAACTGCTTTACATTTTTTGAAATATTTCTGTCAGCAATGTCCTCTTAAAAGCTGAACATTTCTTCCGCATACAAAAAAGTTGATAAATTGAACTTAAATTCTCGTCGTCATCATTATCATATTCTAGTCTTATAAAAGTCATCTCTTGTGGTCATCATTTTCATATTCTTTATTTCGATCAGTAATATAAATACAAAGCGTATATTTGCTATGACTTACTAGTTACTACTAATAATAGTTTACTCACCTTTTAAAATAAAAGAAGACGAAACCAAGAACAACAATGAACGCCAACGCAATTATTGGCAGAAGTATACTTATAAATAGCGATCGTTGTACTCTTTTGTTGTTGATTGCCTTTTCTATAAATGTAAATATTGTGCAGTGTGAGATGAACTGGAAGAAGTGTGCTTTCGTTCAATAAAGTTTGGGCTAGAGTACGTCCAATCTAAAAGGTAATATATATATTAGCATTTCAAACAGTAGTACCATAAGAACTCCTTATTACTCCCTAATTTGAAAGTCCCAGTGTGTGGCTGTTTAATACAGACTTACCACATAAATGCTATAAGCAGAATACTTACTTATCCTAAGAGAGACAGTATTTGCAAAAGTTGTATAATTGGCGTAAAACCAAAGCCTTTTGGCGTTGAACTGTTAGTTTGTCTGTGTTTCATGACAATGAATAATTCATTCGTTGTGGAATTTATCTGAGCACGAGAAGTTGCATTTCTGCCACAATATACAGCCAACAGCATCGAACTGTTTTCACTCTGTCCAGCATAAATTGCCAAAGAATTATGTTGACACTTAATAAAAAATAACTGCTTAAATACCACAGAAATTTTTAGAGTTAAATTAACTTTTATTGCCCATGAACAAGAATGGAAATCGTAAAAAGAGTTGTTCAGATATGGTGAACTGAACAATCCAGTATTTCCATGAAGTTCATACCGACATCCTAAAAAAATCATAAATAAATCAAATCTTACATTCATTTACTCTTTATTGAAAGTTTTTTATTTCTTTAATGAATGAAGTGTCTTAATTTGCATAACTGTGATGTCAGATTACACAAAAGTATTATTTTAAGTATTATTTTAAGAAATATTATTTTAAACACTGAAAAATAAAATTGATTCATCAAACCTGCGTAATAACAGTAAAATATTTTTGGTAAGCTTTTCACTTTATTTGTGTATACGTGATGTCCAAAGAACTTATCTCCATTCACATCATTCTCAGTATCATATACAATGTATTCGAGAGAGCTGACCGTCCACAAGACGCGCTGACAGTTGGGCGTTTTGTAAGGTAACAAATAAAATGGTTTTTCTGTAGGCAACTCAACCGGGTTGTACCATTGCCCTTCTGTTTGACAGCAGTAAAATAGTCTGGTTGCTCCCAAATTGGAGATGCTCTGTGAAAACTTTGGTAAAATTCCTCTATGCTTATTTCTATTTACACCATCAAAATTATCTTCATCATCAAGTTGAATCCAGCCTTCATCCATGTCATATGGACAATCATTCTTTTGGTAAATACAATACTTTCCTGCAAAGTACCAAATAAATACTACATTTAATTTAATTCAAATCAGTGTGAAGTTAGGGAAATGCAGTTATAGTATAGTCTTAATGGATGAGGATCAACAACGTGTATTGTAAAATATCACCCATGTCTTTTGGAAAATGTTCTAATCAAAATCTACAACATTTCCACCTAAATTCGAACAAAAATTTCTTAGATTCGCAACATATTTGACAACCGAAATTCTCAACATACAAAATTAAAAATGTAAGATAAGTAATTATTTTGTATTTAAACTCGCACCTTTTGGCCAATATTTCCACGTAGTTTTATTTCCTAATGCCAAGATCTTTGTACAAAATTCTCTGTCAATAAACTCATATTGTCCACCTTTAATTCCATTAAAAATACTTGCATTCATATGAAAATTTGATGAAAACTTACTTTTGACATTTATTTTGTCATTTATGTCATCATTTTCCATTTCTTGTCTTAGCCATCCTTCTTTCCAGGAATCATCTGGACATCCTGTCATCGGCTTTGGTAGACTATATTCGCCTGCTGGCCATATTGCTGGAAGAAAAAAATAGGAAATCAAACTGTAAAATTTTATAAATGGTGCAAATATGATCTTAATTGTCAACTAACTACGATATTATAAACGACTAAACTTTCACACGTATTTCATTGACACTATTTATACGTATCATTTGCTCTGAGATCAGTGAGATGTATTCAAGATACCTATTTAAAACATTAAGAATAAGAAATAGAATTTGATGTTTATCTTTACTCATGATTATAAGACATCCTTTTTTCATAAATCACGAGAAACAGGAAATATAAATGATGAAGAATGAAGGATAATGCAAACAACCTCATATGAGTCATATCGATGGACTAATTCAATTGTAAAAGATGATGGTATTGGAAAGCTTCCAAGGTAAAAATTTTGTCTGTTTAAACTGGGAATATTGCAAGTTGGCAACTGGTGATTGTTTTTGTCGTAGATAAACGAATTTGTTGCGTCTATTAACACTATTAACACCAAGTTAGTTCAAATCTTGCTCAAGCCACATGTCTTTCACGTGTATATAAATACCATGTTATGATTCATAATTCACACTAAACAGTTGGCATGTTTTGTATGACAGGGTGAAATTTATCACAGAGGACATCTTTTAGTTAGTGTAATTCATCTAACATATACTTGAGACTTCGTTTATAGTAGTCAAAGAAAAAATATACCATTTAAGCTTTCATTCACACGTTATACTAGTGAATTGGTAAAATTTCAAAAACTTGTACATCCTATTATTCCTGTAACTTGCTTATACTAGTATCAACAATACAAATATTTTAATGGTACTTTCTTACCTTGTCTTTCGAACGAAACTCTGCTTGATTGAACAAGTAATGAGATTAAATTTATACGTAACCAAAAAACCCCTACTTTTTCCATTCTGCTTAAATGGAAGAAATGAAATGCTTACGGCGCATCAAATCAATTTATACTGTGGTGTTTGCGTTTAAAAAATCACGACTTTAAATCACGAAGCTCCATAATCAGGAAAACTTGTAAAAATTTTGCCTTGTTGTTGACACAAAAAGGAAAATGAAAAATGAACAGGTATATAACCATTCAGCAAAATTTAAACGAGAACAAGAAAGCATACGAATACTGTCACGTATCAAAGCAACCTTTTATAAATTTGTCGGGTTTGACGCAGTCATATCAAATTTCAAAACAGTAGAAATTAATGCTTGTGGCTTGGCTCAAATATTTCATTTCAAATTGTAAAACAACAGTTAGTGGCCAAAATATAATTGTTAACTAATCAAAAGTTATCAAAAATGAAAACAATATACACCTATGTCCACTCATGCAGTGGCGTAGCCAGCCCGAAGTTTTACTCTCGCAAAGCAAATATTTTTGTCTTTACTGACCGTGAGAACAATAGATTTTTAAAAAAATGAATAATGGTAATCCTTTAAAATTTACTTAGCGGGTGCTTCAAATAACGTCGTTACAAATAATTCTAATACATTTTTTACGGTAAATTTATGGATAACTAGTTTTTTGTTGCACTGAGGCGACAGTGAGTTGATTTTTAGGCCATTTCGTGGCAGTGCATGCAGCATGGGTTAATTTTTAGGCCAAATCCATGTTCGATAAAAAGTGATAATTATCAAAGTTTGCTAAGCCGATCAACAAAAATTTTCATTATGAGTAATTTTATTAATTTTCTTCATTGATTTTGAAAGCCGATTGCTTTGTGGTTCTTAAGTATGGCTTGTAATATTTTATTAACTCAGCAAAGCAAAGAAGTATCATTAAAAAGTAATAAAACATTATAAAAATAAATTTTTAACTATATATATACATATGTTTTCAGTGTAACTTTGTGGTAATAACTAATAAGTTAGGACTTTTGCAGTAACTTATACTGATAACTAGTTGCAATTTTGAGCATTCAACTAAAAGTGGAACTAGTTCCAAAAAAGTTCCAAAACTTTTATAGCCGTGGTGCTCGAAATTTTTAATAAAATGATATGTCGTATATAAAACTACTTTTCGCGTGATGGCAAAGAGCATAAGCAGTAAATTAACTAAATTTCACTGCTCAAACATATAAAACGAATACATGAAACAGTTCCTCTCTACCAAAGTGATGTCTTAAAGGTCAAAAACACAGTAGAAATGTAGAATGATACGTTACCAGTGTTTGTTAACTATTGATGTTAGACGCAAGCATCAGGATAATATAACTAAGTCAAGACATCACAAATCCTCCAAAAAGACTGGAATTATCACAGCAATTGAAGACATTTGTAGTTTATCTTTATCTTTATTAACAACCTGTGACAAAAAGACAATTTAAAAAAATGTTATTTTTTTAAATAGTTTTTTTTCTGACAAAAAAACGCGTTTCTGAGAGCACGAGACATTTTTTGAAAAAACGACTACTGCGCAATATGGAAATGCCACCCTCTGTATGCACTCAGCACTTTATAGCTACTTATTCTACATAGTAATTTACTCGTATTTCCAACAATAGCCACGAGATACAAATTTTGTTAACATTGTATAACAATAATGATATCCCTGCTTAATCAGGACTACAGAACATATATTTTTCACCAATTTTCCGGAACTGTCATGGCGTCACTTGTTGCTTTTCGATGATGATATTAACATTTTTAGTATAAAATCATTGGAAAGCGTTCGATTAACATCAGTTCTAATACAACGTTGTCGATTCGTATAGTATTTCGGTGCCAGTCTGGAAAATTGGTTTGCTTTTACAAAAACGGCAATAGCCAACAATAAATAGTGGAGTGCAAACTAGTTAATATATGAAGTAACTGCAAACAAAAACATCATTTAAATATCTGTCACTATGTGATGAATTATAAATCATAATTACCTTTTATCTAAAATATCAAAGTCCCCAGTCACATATGTTGTCCACAGAGTAAGGTTTATTGATGAAAAAAATTTTATTTAAGTCCATAATGACGGATTCAACGACTTTTCATAATGTCCTATGTTAAAGAACCACTGACCACTGTCAACAATATATAAGGGCTATAAAAGACAACAATTTACATAAAATTGAGATCAACTGAGCAAGAATCCTATGATGTCAATACAAGTTATACAATAAATAAAATTCACTTTAGGCAATACAACTATAATGTATTGTTTGTGTTTTGCTATAATGCAAAGCACGTTACTTTACAATTTGAAAGAAAACGGTCATTATGATAAAAATAGTTAACATGAAAACAATGTGAGGAATATTAATACGTGGTTTCAGAATGTTTATTGAACCACTGAATGACGTAAGAAGACGTAGAAAAACGTTCATGATTAAAGGGAACTGAAATTTCATTGTTATTATCCCCACTTCGTTCCCATATAAGAACATCGTATACCTTCGCCCTACCCTGACTCGACCAATGAAAAATATCTTACTGGCTTAATTACACCTTTCCTAACGCACACGTACAATATGCAATATGTATAGATAAAAATCAATAATGCAATAATGATTAAATCACTGATATTGACAAAAATATATACTTATTTTATTTCACATAAGTAAAAAAACTTCTCTAACATTCATTCAGTTCCTAAGGTCTTTCACCTTTCAATTTAAAATCATATGCGCCTCTACTGATAAACGTTTTAGAAAGAATGTCCATTTCAATAATAATGCGAATCATCAAAATTGTATCGTCAGCTTTATTAGTTTTGAAGAAGTTCGCCTACATATTCTTGAATTACAAATCTTGACCAGCTACATTCATTGTGTGATACAAAAAATATTTTTCAGTATTATTGTTGTGATACCAGTTAAAGGAGGCCTGTATCATTGTTTGATAAATCTCAAGAGTATGGCTGCAAGTAAAGAATGAGAGATGCAATATTTAAGATTATTGTTCAATATTCTTTAAGTATCAGGATTTTCCTTCCTCGCCACTTTTCAAATTGTTCTCTTGTGGATGTGCATGCTCATATAGCGTATTATCATTTGCATTCAACAACAACGAGTCATTATTGTCAATCTGCAAACTTCTCTCTTGCGGATTCCCCGGCTCATACAAGATATTTTCATTTGCATTAAACAACTCTAAATCATTTATAGTTGAATATCCATCACTAAACTTGGAAGCATAGATTGGATTTGATGTTTCTTTAGAGTTTACGTCGTCATCGCCAGATTGAATTTGTTTTGAGGATAAAGAATTCGAATTTTTGTACCTAAAATAAACAAATGAAAAAATAATCCCTTCAAAATAGTGAACCGACAATAATTATTGTCGTTGTTATGCACGTCAGCCGTACTAGGTTTTTTTAAAAAAAGATTTTTCAATGCTATTATGGGCTCCAACAGGAGTGCAAGGAAATCACAAAATACAACTACATTTTGTTGTTTAAAATATTCATGTCAGCAACTTCCTTCTGTAAACCTGCATGTTGCTTTCGCCTACAAAAATTAAAAAATTTGTATGAATCCTCGTCATCATCGGATTTTACTCTTTCCTTTTTTTTTGACAATTCATATGAATAACAATAATAATTTTATTAATTTACTCACTTTATGAAATATATGCAGAAGACGACACCAAGAACTAAAATGAACACCAATGCAAGGACTGATATTAGTATGTTTAATAATAGCTTTCCCTTTTTCCCTCCGTCAAGCGTACTCTCTTCTTCACTCCTAATTGTGCCATTTGTGACATATGATTAACTTGAAGGGGTGTGCTTTTTTGTTGCTGCAATATTTCAAAAGTAAAAATAATCTGAGCTGTTGCATCACTCACTTGTTGATAATCATTGGTCAATTGATTGGTCAACAAAATTAACGAGTAATAAATCACTATAAAAAGATGGAAGTTTCATTTTTCAAGGAATGATACTTTCTTTTATCAGCAAAACTCATCAGTGTATATAGAAAGACACAAAGTATTTGGGGGTGGCAGTTTACTTACTTGGTTTGAGAGTTTTTATATTTGCAAAAGTTATGTAATCGGCATAAAAACCAATATCTGTTGTGCTTGAACTGTTAGTTTGTCTATGTTTCATGACAATGAATAATTCATTTGTTGTAGAAATCATCTGAGCACCAGAAGTTGCATTTCTGCCACAATATACAGCCAACAACATCGAACTGTTTTCACTTTGACCAGCATAAATTTTCAAATAATTATGTTCACAGTCCAGGAGATTTAACTGTTTGAATCTCAATGAAATTTTTTTAGTCAAATCAACATTTATTGCCCATGAACAAGAATGGAAATCAGAAAAGGAATTATTAAGATTTGGCGACCTGAACGATCCAGTGTTTCCATGAAGCTTATGCCGACATCCTAAATCAGACAAACCAAATGAAAAGACATCAATTTGTTTATAAGTATCATTTTTAAGACCTGACTAACCTACATACCTTACCACAGTATAGGAAATAAACAGTAGAGTCAACTATTTAAATTATTTGTATCATAAATATCTTGTTATGTATGTGATTACCAATTGGAGTCAATGAAAATTGAAAAGGCTATATATCTACCGCCAGCTATCAAATTAAATATACAGTAACATGTTGCACAGTTAAGCGGTCGTTTTTGCATTCTTCATACTACGATCAAACGTAAAAAAGTCCAAGAACATAAACTTTTTTCATATTTTCCTTAACATAAATTTTAGTTCTCAAAACTATAAATTTTTAACATCCAAATAGGACTCACAATGAATCACTTGCGCAACTAAACATATTTCATAAAAACGTAAAATGCAATTTTAAGCAATGGAAAAATAGAATTGACTTGTCAAACCTGCGTAATAACAGTAAAATATTTTTGGTAAGCTTTTCACTTTATCAGTGTATACATGATGTCCAAAGAACTTGTCACTATTTAGTTCATTTTCAGTGTCATAAACGATGTATTCGAGAGAGCTGATCGTCCACCTTACGCGCTGACAGTTGGGTGTTTTGTAAGGTAACAAATAAAAGGGTTTCTTTGTCGGCAACTCAACTGGGTTGTACCATTTTCCTTTTGTTTGACAGCAGTAAAATAGTGTGGTTGCTCCTATTGTTGAGACCCTCCGTGAAAATATGGGTAAAATTCCTGCATGCTTATTTCTATTTACACCATCAAAATTATCTTCATCATCAAATTTGATCCAGCCTTCATTCATGTCATATTGACAATTATTCTTTTGGTAAATACAATACATTCCTGCAAAGCACCAAAATGTTGGTATATTTAACGTAAATTAAATACTAAGCTGAAAGGGGAGTTAAGAAGTTACATCTGTATTGTCTTACATCGATCAACATTGAAAAGAAATCACATTTTTCTCATCGATAAATTGTTAACCTGCTAGTCAACACATCAGTAATATAAAATGAGGTTTTTTTGAGTTCTAAGATACGTTCACTTAGAGAAATTTTTAAAATTCTAATGAAGTTCATTTGATTTCAATGTTTTATCTGCTAAATATAGAAAAATGCACGACCAACGTAAATTGATTTGAATGGGATCAGACTGATCAGTAATTATATTTAGTTTTCAGACTCTCACCTTTTGGCCAATATTTCCAAGAAGTTTTATTTCTAAATGTCAAACTCTTTGTACAGAATTCTCTGTCAACAAACTCATATTGTCTACCTTCAGTTCCATTAACAATACTTGCATTCATATGAAAGTTTGAAGAAAATTTACTTTTTACATTTACTGTGTCATTGATGTCATCATTTTCCATTTCTTGTCTTAGCCATCCTTCTTTCCAGGAATCATCTGGACATCCTGTTATAGGTTTTGGTAGACTATATTCCCCTGTTGGCCAACTTGCTGAAAGAAAAGAAGAAAACAGACAATCAAATTTTATAACTGCTTTTAGTGCAAAAATATGATCTTTGTTGACAACTATAGCTAAACTATGTATAGGATTTGGCAGGTGTTCATTTGTTGTATGTGTCATTATTAAGTTAAAGGCAGTAGTTTTTGCTCTTCATCAATTCTTTTTTTCCAAGAACGATGTTTTAACAAATCAAAAAATCTTTGATTTTATAAAGAACTAAATGACTGGTTTGCTGACAAGATTCATATTTAGAAGAAAATTCAACTTTTTTGGCTTGTGACTTGATAGATGTTTAAACAAAAACCTGACGAAAAACCATACAAAGGTTAAATGTAGAAATTTTGCATAAATCACGAGTGACTGAAAATATGGAAAAATCAAAAAAATTTTGCAGATACGATATGTATTGAGCAAATAATTAAGTACGGATAAGATTATTAATTTATTTAAGATGATACGTGTAATTGTGTATTGAAGTCAAATTAGTCAATGTAAAGAATGTCATTGCAGCCAATGTATTGAACACATTTATTTTTATGGAGTATCAGCTATCAACGACTGTCGTCTAGCTTATTTTGTATCGTTATCACTATAAAATGTACGTATCCTTGAGTGATAATACGTACATTTCAATATTAAGAAAAAATCAAACAAGAAATGCATCATTTCTTTGTTTGTTTAATTGATTGTTAATACATCATAACAATACTTTTGACTTCATCGATGTCGTATTTCAAATACTACTCTTTGGATTCTAATTTAATGATTTTTGAGACACTTTCTCGTTTGTACTTTGCATGAGGCCTACAAAGAGGGCTGGCACTACACAGCGAGATATCGCTATTGTTTACCCGAGATCTCGCCATGCAGGGCTGGAATATTCTCATGTAAACGCATTCGGTAGGGCTAGCCCTCCCTGCAGGGCTGAAAATTTAACGCATTTGCATGCGATAAGGGATCGCTTTTAAGAATCAACACGAGCAAACAAACTAAGAAAGCGTACAAAATCAAAAGGCGACAACTATATTGGGTTTTTTCAGCTATTTTGTAATTTAGCGTCGAAATTCGCAGTCCAAACCGAGCTCTTGATGTAGGGCTAGAATTTCCATTCAAAAGATAGGTAAAATACAGCCTTACAGAGAGGGCTAGCCCTTTCCGTAGGGCTCGTGTAAACAGCCCCTACTTGTGTGTCGCCACTATCAAATTAAAATATTTTAATTGAACTTTCTTACCTTCCAACAAAAGACTGTTTGATTTAACAAGCAATAATATTATATTTACACGTACTAACAAGATAACCCTCGTTTTTCCATTCGGCTAAAGATTACCAAATGAAAATATTAACCATACATCAAGTTTATTGTACGTTGTTTGTGATGTTGACGCTTATCACGAGTTTTAACCACAAGACTCCAATATCACGAAAATAGCAAATATATTTTGCCTGGATGTTTACGCACAACGTACAACATATAAAAATTCTGAAAAATTAAAACGAGGACAAGAAATCTTGTGAATCCGGTTTATAAAATCAATCCTTCAATGACACCCTTCCTTAACAATATAAAATAAGTGCACTAAAGATATTAAGCATTTTAAGTGAACGACAATTTTGTTTAAAGTAAACATGTTTCGACATGCTCATGTCATCTTTAGTACAAGGAATAATGATGATTTCTATTTACAGCTAGCTATATTTGTACTGAAGATGGTATAAGCAGGCTTAAACATGTTTACTTTTAAACAAAAATAATAGTTCACTTGAAATGTTCAATAAAAGCAGTCCTTTATAAATATTGAAAAGATTTGATTTCATATCAAATTTCTAAACATTATGATTTTTGGGAGATAAGATAAATTCATTGAATTTATATTGCAAGCGTCAAGCGAAATGAATTTAATTTGCAACTAAAAAGTTCGCCGTGCATGTCAAGCAATAAAACTCTAAACTTTGCCAAAATCAATCATGAATATTTGCTTTCTGCATAATTTGATGCGATTGATTTTAATGGAACAGAATTACTCCAATACTTATTGCAAATGTTGAAAGATGCCCAATCGTTTAAAAAATCACCTTTTTCTCTTTAATCGAAAATCGTGCTGTACAGAGCTCGGCGTCGTCAGGTTGTTCGAGACTAAGGGAACGATGCAACCGTGAGACTCGAATGTTTTCAACTGAAGTTTTTCTTTAAAGCAAGTGGTCATTCAATTAAACGAAATGTGTTTTTTTCTTGGCCCTAGCTTAATAATTTTTACATGTTTGTAAATGTAGATCGTCCGGGTTGGTATAGTCCTGAGAAGGACTGTTTTTGTTGTTGTTCACTGACGTTTCGACAATCTTAGCGGTAGTCATCTTCAGAGTTAAATCACATCTTCAGGGAAATAACAGGTCAAAGAAACATTTGATTTTTGTAAATAACAAAGAAAAATATTCAACTAACACATTTGTACTACGGTTGAAAATAATTTTAGACTAACGTGACGCCAGTCTGAAAGGTCATATATATATGTATTTGAAAATTGGTAACCCAGGCATATTATGATAATGATAAGGATTCTCTGGATTTTATTTTGAAATTTTTTTATTAAGCTTTCAAGTCGGTGCTTCGAGCCTTCGTCAGAATGTAAGAATATATTATTTACAAAGATTTTGTAGGCGTTTGGAGCGTCTGAGTGGTTGGTTAGTAGTTGAGTCGATATTATTGGATGGTATAAGATGCGTTGTCATGGTTCGGGTGTATGGATTGCGTTAATGAAATTTGAGTGTTTTATTTTAGTCGTTGTGTTATTAGTTTGTTGTTTTGGTTTTGTCTTTAGTTGTGAATAGATGATGGGGATGTCAATATGTCTGTTTATTGTGTTGTTGTCTTTGCTGTACCATGCCTCTTTGAATTCCCGTGCGGGTTTTGTCTGTGCGCGTCCAAGAAGTTGTGTTTTTGTCCAGTCAAATGTGTGGTTGGTATCGTAGGTATGTTCTGCTGGTAGTGATTTTGGGTCGCGTCGTTTGATGGCATTCTTGTGTTCAGTGAGTCTTGTTTCAATTTTCTTGGATGTTTGTCCTATGTACTGTTTGGGGCAATCTTTACATGGTATCATGTAGACCGCGTTGGTTGTGTCAAATGTCGTTGTTCGGTCTTTATGTTTAGTGAAGTATGATTTGAGTTTGTGTGTTGGTTTATGTGCGATGTTTATTTTGAATGGTCGGAGTAGTCTTGATGTCATTTCTGATGTGCCGTTTATATATGGTAATGTCACTATTTTTACTGGTTCGTCTGTATCTTCGTTAGGTTTTTGTGGTTTGTTGTGTATTTTGTTTAATACTTTGTTGATGAAGTTTCGTGGGTAATTGTTGTTTATGAAGGTAATTGTTGTAGAGTATAAGTAGTTGCGTTCATTCAACTAGTTGCGTTCATTCAAAGAGGCATGGTACAGCAAAGACAACAACACAATAAACAGACATATTGACATCCCATCATCTATTCACAACTGTCTGATAGAACTGGGTCTCCGGCAAAGACCCGCTACCCGAGCAGGACACAGCGGAGAAAGGTGACCAAGGTGACCAATCATCTATTCACAACTAAAGACAAAACCAAAACAACAAACTAATAACACAACGACTAAAATAAAACACTCAAATTTCATTAACGCAATCCATACACCCGAAACTATGACAACGCATCTTATACCATCCAATAATATCGACTCAACTACTAACCAACCACTCAGACGCTCCAAACGCCTACAAAATCTTTGTAAATAATATATTCTTACATTCTGACGAAGGCTCGAAGCACCGAGTTGAAAGCTTAATAAAAATTTCAAAATAAAATCCAGAGAATCCTTATCATTATCATATATATATATATATCTTAAATGTAGAACGATACGTTACCAGCATTAGCCAAGTTTCCAGTGTCACAGCATGATTTTACAAGCATTAGGATGAAATATCTATGACAGAACATCACAAATCAGGAGCGAACTGTATCGATCACTGAAGACTTTACTGAAGGTTTAGGTTTGCTTCCGTCTCCCACCGAAATATAAATGTGTCGGTGTGCTTTCATGAAGCTGCCAAATGTGATTCTAAATTCTTCAATGACAACAGGAAATTGAGGAAAACAATCACATGAAAAAAATCAACCTGGAAAAAGATGCAGAGAAGTATAGTATCTGTAGCCAACTTGATGATGCTGTAGACTTTGTAGAACCCATCAGATGAACTTTTCTTCCTGTTACGTCATTAAAAGAGCAAGTTATTGATAGTCCTTACTTGCAGTTATTGCTTGTAATGAAAAATTGATGAAACTCCAAACGCTTTTAAGCTCAAAATTCGCGCATGTCCTGATATTTTACCTTGTTTTTTTCTTTAGTAGCTCACATCTATTTATTTGCAACCTTATATTGACTTTTTATTTGAATACGTGTGCGTTCAATTTAAAATAGACGGAAATATCGCTTCGTGTGCCCTATGTTTTTTATACAACAAAATAACGACGATCAAATATCCTGTTCCGCTTTTGCTCGTTTGCAGTCCTTTAGTAAAATAATCCAGTACTTGGAAACGGCAGTTTATTAACAACTCAATGTACCCAGTAACTTCAGTTTGAAACAGACACGACGTTAACTAAATGCAAAATCTGCTTGAACTTTAATAAAAGAAACAATATAATGTTAAAAGCACCAGAATAAAATAATTATAAGACAGCACATCACAAATTTTGCAAGGTTGTAGCAATAATTCATTTGTAACGACTACGGAAGTTTAAATATTTCGGCTCCTCCTGCGAGAGAATAAAGGTTTTGGTTTAACAAATTGAAATAAATCTTTGTCCATTTAGTTTCCTGTTTCGCTTTTGCGCCCCTATCATATGATGTAACTACACCATCACAATACACATAAATATGATGTATTGTGATGATGTAGTTATGATATTTAATCATCGAACGTGTTTTATCAAATGAGTTCTTTTGTGACTATTGGCTGTCGTCAATTTTAGTGAATATGTTTCTTTTCATGAATTAATGGCATGTAATGTGGGTCAATTATTGCAACGTAGTCACAATACGTACCTTTTAAAGGAAAAAAATGTGTTTGAAAAACGGAAAATATTTTTGTGATCCAAACTACAGGATTGTTTTATTGATCGCAAACATGCATTGAGAGTTATCTTATGCTGGTGCATGGTCAATAACTTTAAAGAAGTAATGTAAACTTAACCTTAACACTACCATTTTTGAAGGACTCAAATCGAGATGATATATTTCAAACAAAAATGACAAAAGATTAAGACAAAGACTGGCAAACCTTTAGGCCAAGGTCTTGCTCCTTTATTCAGTTTGTTCAACATACAAAATGTTCCATTGATATTTAGCTCCAAACGTATTATTGGAAAGGCAACATCCATAACTTCCATTTTTGTCTACAGTTTACTAAATAAACGAAGTCTAGCACTTGTTAATGGTAGACATAACAATTAAAGAATTTAACTGTAAATATATGTGTTAGTATATTGATAAATATATTTTCAATCATTGAGTAATATTTACTTAAATAGGTAAGATATATTATATCTTTGTTTTCCAAATTTCTAGTAGCATTATTGCTTTTAAAAACATTATGTGGTTATAGAAGTTCAAATGTATCCATACCGTTGCCACTAAGCAAATCTTTAGACATATCATTTCAATCTTATGCAACTGCCGTGTCTATCCGTATTAATGCTGCGTAATCCAATTTAGCTCGCGATGTATGTTGAAATTCCTCACGCTCTCACTGTACTTCCATACAATCATCAGTTTCTTGCTGTTCTTTGGTAATGATTAGTTGTTGTCATTTTCATTGGGTTTACATTCTTTATCACGATAAAATGGCATATCCTTTACAGTTTTGTACAGATACTCAGGTGAATCTTGTGTTTTCCTTTTTGCTTCTTTACTAGGCGACAGACGCTTAGGAAACACATGAAAAAACGTTGAAAATATACCCATAAAGTTACTCTTAAAACTATTCTCTTCATTGGTACTACCAGACTCGATAACACTTTAAAACATTGGCCTTTCTCCCTCTTGCATAAGGTTTTTTCTTAAGTCTTTAGTTACAGTGCTGTTTTGTTAATACAAACAATACAGACAAATTTTTGAAAATAGCATTATAATCTTACAGAAATTTACAAGAAACTAATTTAGGTTAGTATATAAATTCAAAATACTTGACATTTGATGATACAGATAAAACAGAATGCAGCACAAAAAGTTTAAAAGATCAGCAACTACAGTTGAGCTGGCTTATCTTTGAATGCCATTTTCTCGCACATATGAGACATTATACTGTCATGGTGTTTGTGGACTATTTGCTCTAAAGAAATGACTTGACTTAGTTATTCTTATTTTGAATTGATGGTTGTTCATTTTCAACAAATATTTCGTATGAAATTGCTATCAAACCATCATTTAATGTTTATTTCAAAAAGTATAATGGAAAAACAGTTTATCATGCCAGTCTATACCCTCTATACTGTATTGCGCAACTTTTTCAGGTGAAATAAACTGTTCCTCTTGAAACTGCATTTTTTGTCTTTCATCCTTTTATTTCGATTTGTTTTGTTGAATAAAAGTTTCGTCTTGTATGATTTATATCACTATTAATTAAACTATCAAATACGGGGGAATTAAGTTCAATATTTTCTCCAAGCTTCCCTTCTGTAATGAAAGCGTGAAGTACAGCCTTCTTTTGCAAATCTGGTGCCAGTGATCACCATTGAGATAATGCTTTTCACTGCGAACTTTCTTATCTTAGTTGTTAAAAACAGCATGAATGTCTACTATATATCAATATACCAGTATATGTAGCTCTTCTTTAACGTATTAATTAAGTTTGAAGTTTGTCAAAGAGCGATACGATGTGTAAACAGGCCAAAGTCTTCATAAAGTAGTATGTAGTCTTTATACTTGAAGATGAACATCAATTCCCTGCTCGTCTAGCACCTCTAAACAACAGAGAAATTTGAGATCCTTTACCAAATTTTTAACTTCAACATAGCAATTTGTAATAGAACACCTGAGTTGGGGGTAAAAAATACTATTGCTGGATGATACAACAAATTTAAAATTTCAATGTAAATTGACGAAAAATTCTTACCTGTTGTCAACAGATAGGTTTTCTTTGAAACGCAGCTCTGAATAATATAACAATAAGCCATCTTCGTCCCTGCATTCCTCTTCGCAAGCAATTTTTTCGCGCTTAACTATTTTCTCGCCAGTATAAGTAGAGTAAATTTCTCGACGAATAAACAGTCCTCGTTTTCACTACACCATTTTACTGACGAAAATTACTTTTTTTGAAGAAAATTCCAATGAGACACTGCAGAATAATGTCCAGGACCCAGACATGTCAGGATAAAATTTTCGTCAAAAACATCAACTTTAACAACCGATATTTTTTTATCCATAGGACGTCACAAGGTAAGTCAAACTCGTGTCCAGGGCCCGGACATGTCAGGATACAATTTTCGTTAAAAACATCAACTTTAACCACCGATATTTTTTAATTGATAAAGGTTATGGAAAAATTTAAACATTCATCATACTCAGTGCATTCTAAACTTTTGATTCCAACGAAAGAAGAATTAGGTGAAATTTGGTTCCATAAACAATTTAATATAACATAAAATTAGTCGTTGATTTAAGAATAGTGGAGTTACATCAGAAAAAGTTTGGAACAACTAAAACTATTACTGCATGGCTGTATGCAGTAGCGGATTACCCAGTAGGCTGAATAGGCTTTAGTCTACATGCCCAGATTTTCGAGAGGCTCGTAGTCTAAATAGACATAGTTCGTGTTTAGTTTTTGCCATTCCAGACTAACTAAATTGTGCTTAATTTACAACATTTAGGCTGCTGAAAACCGTGCAAGCAATTGATTATTGAGGAAAAGTGGCTTTCGTACTATTTACTGTTTAAATGAGCTATGCTCTGAACTCATGAAGAGGTGGGTTTTCCCAGTTCCCTTATACAACTATGTTTATGATTTTCGAAATTTTGCTTTAAGTTTGTAATTTTTCCCCTATTTAATGCGAAAGATTTTGTCTTAGCCAAAAGGCACAGTAACTTGTAATCCACACCACAGGCTGTTTGCATAGCTAAAAGAAATAACACAAAGAAATTTTTATATGACATAAACAAACCTCAAAGCAAGCTTTGAGCTTGATTAAGATTGAGAGTGTAACCATAGCGTTTTGTGCTTTGTTGTTTGAAGATATGGAAACTTTGAGACCAATCATCGAAACACGACAATCTAAATTTTGGAAAAATTGTTATTATTATGACTATTTATTCGACGTTCATCAAACGTCATAAAATAAAATAACGATCACAAGACATTACAACTCCTCCAACAAGAAATAAGCAATCAAAACATCACAAATTCTCCACCAAGACACAAGCTATATCACAACTCTGGAAGACATTCACGTTTTGCCTATATCGACAAAATACGGTAATTCACAAATGACAATAGTTAATTTGAAAAAAACAGTCACATAAAAGCATATTGTTAAGTTGAAGAAAGACATGCAATGTCGTTAAGGCATGCGCACCCAAAATCAACATGACTAGAATAATGAGCGAAAATTCTTTACAATTGTAATTTCTTTTACGCTGAACACAGGAATTATTTTTGTTATCTTAAACGTTCTTTCTGTTGGCTCCCCGCACATTTTTTTGTCATTCATGAAAATAATAATCACATAAATCTTTAATCATTGGCTCATCCATCACGAATGACAAATGTTGTTCAAAACTTCCCCGCACACTAGGAATTTTTGTCGATCCAACTTATCACGAATAAAGGACCTTACAAACGAACAAATTTTCTTTGACAAATACTCGCTAGTCCGTGTGTACGGGCAACAAACGTTTCACGACAAACATGTACGTGGCGACGAATAGTCTTTGATCGACTGTACGTATCAACATATCGCATTTGGTTGGATTTGTCTTATTATATTTGTAGTCCTTGCAGACGAACAAAATCAGTCATGTGGCAAATTTTCTGACAAATTCATTTGCTCAAAAGCTGGCATGCTAGCTTTTGGAGTCCCTCTTTGAGAATGGCGTGAATTCATGTGATGTCACAAAGTGATCATTTTGATAGGTTACCACCAATGATTAATAATAATAGAATAAAATCAATATAATAAAATAA